ACTTCATTCAAAGCTAAATGTGTATCTCTTTCCTTCCCTGCTTTCTTTCATCATTAATAATAACAAATTGAGACGTAGTATATTCTGGCTTGCTTATAAAACACGCTGCACTCTAAACCTTGTAATTCATAACTTCAGGCTTTGAATTTTGGCCTCATTTCGAAAAATAGTCATGAATTTCTTGTAGTTTCCATTCAATATTTAAGTTTATTCAGTTTCATATTTCTGCAGTTTCGAATTCCAATTTTTTGGCTTTACGAAGTTAGTTGATAACAACATTAACATGAATCACCGCAAGAAGTACAAAAGGCTGACAAGGTTTAGTGCTTCGACTCGTTTTGTGCGTTTTGCAGGTTTGACAATTACTTAAAGTTTGCATTTCTTAATCGTGAATGGTCTGATATTAATTGTAAAAAAGCAAATCGGTTAAAGGGCATCTGATTTTAAAGTTGTTTCGATCAAAAACTAGATTATATTTTAGCCTTAAATCGTTTAGGCCAGGGGTCTTAGACGATATCATAGGCACACGAATCTTTATTCTTAGCTTCAATGGGATTTGTCTGATCTGCTATACGGTAGGCAGATGAAGACAGCCGTATTGTAGCCATGCACTCGTTTAGTTTCAAGTAATCAAGATGATTGATGAGTGCTTTATTATTCCATTTCTTATCATTACCAAGAGTTTCCAAGCCTAAGTTATTAATGACAGACTTAGCTTCTACTCTAAAAATTACTGAAATTCCTCGGTGATATGTTAAGTATGCTTTGAAATTAAGAGTTTTTGTGGGAGATGAGAGTGTAAGAAAACCATTCCTAGCATTTGTTTACGAAAAATCGTACAAAGCATATCAAGCTAAGTGGTTATCTCGTTGGCATGCGCAATAAACCAACTGTGCACTGAAAGGGTGACTTCATGCCCTGCATCACAGCATTTTCATGACTGTTTGGAGCACTTTTTTAACCAGTTCAATATCGCTTTAAAGTCTTATAATTTCAGCTCTCGGCCCTTCCCTGCATAATTAGGATCCTTTTCCAAATGTAACAAAAGCCTCGTTTTACATTGGCAGGCTCATCCCTTTCGTATGTCTATGTGAATACCGTTCTTGGGTTTGGAATGCGTCAAAAAAGCAAGTTGGCACTATTTTCTGCAATATGGTGAAAATAGCTTAAAAGAATTCAAAATGGCACACTAAATAAAGAACTAGCAATTCGCACCTTGACGCAAAAAGACACTGTTGAGCTCTCGGAAACTCATTGCGATAATATAAGAAACGATAGCACGGCGGCCCTTGGAAAGCAGGGCATTTTTGTGCATAAATTTGTATTATCAAGCAATTGCAAGTCCGTACTGGTAGTGGCTAGACCCCGCAGCTGACTTTCTTATAAATAGGCCTGATAAATATTCAAGAGTAAGATCATTCAGGGCTTTATCAACCATGGTGTTAGTTTTGAAATTGGTAAATTCTTGAGTTGTCTCAAAATAAACAAAAATTAAGAATGGCCTAGCAAAAGCTTCAAAGCTGCAGTTTATAAGCATTCTTGTTGCTCGATTGTGAAGCCTTCGCAGCAACAGAATCTAAAGTACTTATGCGTAACAAAATGCAACAGATTTTTTACATCTTTCAAGAAACCAGTGGTTTGACTGGTTTCTATGGATAGAATTTCGATTTCAAGATTTCAACTTTCCAGTTAAGATCACTATCTATGTGAATTCCAAGATAATCTGTAAGTTTGACCACATATCTATTGTTACATCTTGCATATTCAAAAATAAATTTTCCTTATATTTGGCTGGCTTTTTTCTTTTTGTTTTGTTGATGGCACAATTACGTTTAAAGACATTGTAGCATTCAGAGACAGCTTGTAGCCCTCAAAACACTATTAAGTTCCATATTCATTGTCTCGTTCAGTTGAGCAATGTTTTCATATCTGTAAGAACGACAGATACCCAAATCATTTTGAATTTACCAGATGGGTATATATAGAAATACTGGGATTTTCGTTTTAGCAAAGTAAAGATAACCTGAGCATCAATCGGCTGCAAATTACGGCTTGCCACAAATAACAGACGTCGGCTAAGATTTGAATTGGCTTAAAACATAGCAGACACTCGAGGAATGTTTAAATGCGGCCAGAGTTGTTCCATTCCCAAAAACACCTCTGATTGTTCCATTTGACGACTAATTCTTTTCATGATACCTTCTAAACTCATACTTGGCGCAATAAAACTGTTTATGTAGAAATGATGTAAAATGAAATCAGGAAAAGATTTGTCTACAGAAGATGCATAGATGCTAAAATATCATTACCGTTGTCGTGCTTAATTTACTTATTCTTCTTAATGTAGACAAGGACAACGATCTTAAATGTGTAAGTCTGATAATGTGGCTCCAATGATAAGTGCCAAATACAGATGCCACATTCTGCCCTGTAACAACATGCTTAGGGGAAATTATGTACTGGAAAACCACAACAGAAAAGGGGGAAATTTTTCCGCCGGGATGGAGGAATGTGATGTGCCCACGCCTATGGTAATGAAAAAGTGATTCAAGAGAAGCTAAACTTGAAGTTCATGACAGAACTACACCTGGCCAACGACTTTTTCCTTTCTTGAATTTAAAAACAAAAAGTTATTAACAGAGAAAGAATCAACAAATATATAAATATTTTAAAAGGCCCTACGTATAATGGCAACACATCAATGGGCCAGACAGCTTTTTGCTGAAAGATGCCTTGAAAAGAACCCCCCCCCCTCATTTTCATCAGTTCCTAATCGGCAGTACAATGATTGCTTGGTTATATTTACTGTCTTGGAGTTCCTAAAAAGCTTTCAAAAAACCTAGAAACCTTTGATACTGGCTATCTTTTTAACGTTGCTGGGAATTTTAAACTTTCGCCCAACTTCTTGTGTTACTGCTATGTTGATGATGTGATGATAAAATGTCGTTTTGATAAAAGTCCTGTATCTCCCACTGCGCCTCTAATAGCGAGCAGATAGAGAGCAGCATTCGATACTAGCTTTTTCGCCACAAGGAGAGCATCCTTGTTTGTTAACGATAAAATGACGTTTTATCTTATAATAACCCTTAAGAAATATAATTAATTGAGAAATTAAACTTAAAAAACCAATCAAAGGTCTGCCGTCTCCCATTGATTTTTAGATAACCAATCATGTATTAAGGCTATTTTTCTGGTGTGAATGTTTGTAGCCCAAAATCCGTATGTCATTCTGCCTAAACGACATCAAATATTTGTAATATTATGTCTTTTCTATTTATACCAGTGCTATTTCCTTTTAGTATACTGATATTGGTACAAAAGTACATATCTTGGTACAATTTTGATTGCACAGGTATGATTTTTCGATTCCATTATTTTTTAAAGGAAGAATACCTATTTGTTATTTCATTTATTGAATTCTATTAGAGTTTCAAATATCCTCGTCAAAGGGGGCAGATTGTTGTATGTCATCAATTTTAAGGGAAAGTGAAGAACTAAGACACAATTTGCAAACTGAACAAAATTAGTGACAACGAATAGAGCACGTTTGTCTGATGTTGAAGTTCTCAATATATTGTCTAGAGTCTCAACATATTTTACTAGTTGCATTTTGAATATGTCATCTATAGTTATAAATATATCAGAATATATCAATATATCATTGACCGGCATTGCATCAGGAATACGCCCTCATTTTAAACGACCACATTAAATGAAGGCAAACTTACTGAAGAGACTATAAGGACGTTTGAAGGATGGCCTTTTGTTAGATGGACGTTTGAAGTATGCAGTTATATTCTAGTCCATTTTTGGTTTTTAAAAAAGGGTAGCCAACTTGAGTTTGCCAACAGGCATCACACATTGTTGTAATGAAATTCAGATCTGCTACATTATCATATCATTTTTGGCTTTGGTTTTGGAAAAGCTCACAAAGTATTTCTCATATAAAAATTGCTTTCAAGATGCTATCCATTCAATTTTGATGAGATCGCAATACAAACTTGATATCGCTGATGATTTCAAACTTAAGCTTCAACCATATTTCCTATGTCCTGTTCATGTGGAAATTACGTTATAAACACCCTCTTTTTAAACGCCCCTTTTGGATTAACGCCCAACCCCAATGAAATGACAAGCGGTGATAATCGCAGGCAGTACACAAGGACAGACACTTCACTGTCCTGTTAGCCTAACAATTACATCATGGCAACTGAATCTAGTGACAGGATTGTGGTTAAATCTGTTTTACTGACGCAGTTTCATTCATAACTGATCATTTAGCATTTTAACCGATAGGAAGTACCTTTTTGGCTTCCTAACTAGTGAATACAAGAGTGTCGATTATTGTGGTTTATTTAGGTAGTAAGGCACGTGAACTGTAAGCTGATCTCTAAATCCGTAGAAGCATCTTGAAATTTTCTTAAATGTTTACTGGTGACAAGAGGACATCAATTTTGAGATTAAAGGGATCTTTGTAATGTCACATTGCAATTCATTGAACACCCCCGAGGGGTGAGCCTGTGTCGTCAATCCTCTATTTGCCTTTTTTATCTTGTTTGCATTTTGGACAATTTTCTCTGTCCTTTATCTCCCAACGCAGTTTTTCCGTTTATTATCTTCAATTCTGATCTTTTAGTTAATTTTTTTCTGCTTTTCATAGCCTGTCGATGATGGACTCACTGAAAGAGAGAGCTGAAACATTGAAACGTGTATCTTAACTGTCAAGCAAATTGGCTATGTTAACCATCTACTACGATTATTTAAAACGCCCAGACAATTGAATAATTAACAAAACAAGAAAATATTTTTCATGATGTAGATGCATCTATCAAGGAATAAAAAGATACACAATAGAGGTAACTAACGTTTTCCCTTTGTTTATGTTTTATCCCCCCCCCTCCTTAATAAGCGTATATTGAGAAATTATTTTTGACATAGTCAAGCAGAGACTAATTCCACTGAAGGGTAGAGTTTAAATAATGAATTTCATCGTGATGCATACTGTAGCAAATAAAATTATTTTTCAAACCATAGAAATGTCTTAATTGCTGTAGGGATAACGCCTAAAATACTTTCAACTCTAGTAAAACATTTTGATGCTTGCATTTTTTGTGCAAACTTGAAGTGCTTATCACCCTTTAATCTTAAAAACCTGCTCGAAATTTTTTTATTAATGATTCGATGGAAATGCTAGTTTTAGATGAAGAGGCACCTATTTCCATTTCAATACAAATATACAGTAGAAATAAGAGCTCATTGCGACAGATCTGTATCTTATGTAACTTAGAGTTTTTTAAAAGTACTTTAGCACTTGGCATTTAAGGGACGTTTGAGAAATTATAAGTGCTAAAATTCATTAAAAGCCTGGTACTCATCCCGTGCCAATTCATAAGGAAAATATGAGTATTACATGCATCTGTGAAAGAAATATTTCGATAGTTAACTCTCTGGAAAGAATTGTTTAGTCTGCATGTTTTAGTTTCATTTTCTATTCAGGGCTTTTGTTTTGAGCTCAGCTAAAGCGTTTCATCCTTTGCTTTTTTATGCGAAGGGCCAGTTTCGGAACCAACAATCTATGTTCAGAGACAGTCGTTTTATGGTGAGCCCTAGCTTTGGGAACGCAAACTTAGGAATATCGGTAATTTGGTGAGCAGAAACCCGAAATAATGAACATGGGTTAGTTACCTTACTGGATCTAGAAGCAACCAAGTGCGCTTTCTGATGTGCAGAAGGTAATTTCATTATGAAACTTTGGTTGAATTTGTAATCTAACGGTCTTTAAATAATATAAACATTAATTGTTTTTTTGTGTCGACTTTTTCCGGCGATGCCCTCGGAAGGTAAGAAGCAGAGGCACGGCTTGTAAACAAGCTTAAGCAATAAAACTAAGAAAAATGAGCGGCATTCGTAAATTTTGTTAGTGGAATCAAACATGGGGAACAATTCTCTCATTCACAAATTCCTGTGTACTCCAGAGCAATGTAGTTTGCTTTCTGATATCCCCCCGATCTCGGACATTCAACTTCTCTTAGAATTTGACGTGGTGGTTTTAGCTCTGTTGATTGATATGTGTTGATACGACCTCCCAGCGGAAACTGTCTGTGAGCTTAACATCTCTGATCACAGTGGGTAATCAGTCTGCCCATAAACCAAGTTAGGGTAGGAGACCGAAGACAGCAATTCAACCACCAGAGGCATTGTGCGTTCTGAATAGGCAGTTGGGGCCGACTCAAACCTCTGCTATTAAAGACACACATTCGAGCTCCGGGGTTATTCATCACTGGCCTTCCGCCATCGGTCGACTATAAAGTTTCGAGCATCGCTTGGCTGTTTTAGTCGCACTGACAGATCGATAAAGTCAAGAAGCAGTCTGATAAAGACAAGCACAGAGTTTGTGTCAGGGCGAATTTCTGCAGCAATGGCGAATTTTGGAAAGTTTTCGATGATTTTTCTGGTATTTATGGCTTACCTCTCGCCGCTGGCTGCAAAAATATTCAGAGATGCAGAGCAAGGTAATAAATTTATTTTTATTCAAACATTTGTTTTTATTTGCTGTTGAATTTTGCCACTTCCACCTTGTTTCCAGCCACTTTGCTACACGAAATGCGATTTTTTTTGTGCATTTCTTTTAATCGATATTAACCACGGAACTAGTTATCGTTTGATGCTTTTTAAATAGAAATTCTTATAAAAGCTACATTATATGTTTTTTGACGATTTTTGTCCCCTCACGTGGACAATTTTCTTGTTATCTGTTTTCTTTTGCATGGCACCATCTAATATTCGTAACGAGATTTATAAATTTGCTTCAGTTGTAGTTTAATTTATGTTTTCAGAGGCATTCGTGAAGCAAATAGCCAATTTTAGTATCGCATACCCACGGTTGGCTTTGTACGACTACCCAAATTTCAAAACAATTCCTTGGGGTGACTCCGAGGAACTTCCTGATAAGTTTTATGTGAAGTTGAACATTGATGGTCGAAGAGAAACTCTGGAGCTCAAAAGAAACCGAAGGCTGGTCAACTCAAATTTCAATGCCGAAGAGTACGAGAACCATAAGGTTATTGATAACAATGATGGAAAGGTGAAAAAAGGTTGCTACTATGTTGGAACAGTGTTGAGACAGAGGAAATCCCTCGCTGCCCTGAGCACATGTCATGGGCTGGTAAGCTTTATGTTTTTGTTCATGTATCGAATTCTTTGCTTTCTTCCGTTCTGATCAAGGGCAGGCCGTGAGCTGCGGGCATGCCCGATTCGAAGCAATTGTTGCATTTTTTTAAGTTAGTGACCGTGTTGGAAAATCAGTGTTGATGCTTTGGAGCGTTCGTGGCTCCCAGGAAGCCTTAGGGTATTTGTGGATCTGTATTATCTCATATTGTTGCTTTGCTATTGTTAATGTGCAAATCGCACTTCCTTGCACAATGACCGTTTAATATCCAACATCAAAGAGTACTTAGCATGTCTGATACGAAAATTACCTTTATTTGTACACCTCGGTTTTCCGCTATTCATGGCTTCGGCCGACTTTGCAGTATCGTTCTGCACGGCTTGGGAATGCGGGGCATTTTGAAGAAGCACAATATAATTGTACACAATATCCCTAGAGCTGTACCCATATCAATGGAGTGTAACATAAACAGTGAAAACAAAAATCAAATAGCGCAAAAAATCCACCAAAAGCCAGGTAAATATTTGGAATTGCAACTGACAGGAAAAATGCGCCAAGGATTTCCATGTATGGCATGAAGGCTGTCTGAGCAATCCGACGTTAGGTGGAGCCCACAGTTAGAAATTATTTGCTAACGCCTTCTGCCTTATTCGGGTAAAATTTACGCCGATTATAATTACATCTGGTCACATTTCATAATATACAGCAATATTTCAAAGAATTTTCAAGAGACTTAAATATTTTTATAAAGTGTTACCGAAAGGGGGTTAGCAAAAAAATTACAAAAATACTTTTTCAGTAGATCAATCGTACCCTAAGTTGCCTCTTCATGTTAGAAATATAAGCAATTTCTGGTTTAAAATTTGAAGTGCATTTATGAATCATCAAATCATTTATTTTCTTATTTAACTTGCAGAAAGGATTCGTGAAGACGATCAGAGGAAACTTTCTAATCGAGCCAATGAGAAACTTGTCAAAATATTTTTTCCCGCATTTGGTGTACCAGCCAAACATTGACAATAGTAACGACGAGAGGCGACAGGAAAAGAGTGAAACTTCATCATGTGCAGTTGAAAACGGTTTGTAGGCAATTTTGATTTGTAACTATTTCTTCTTGCAATGACTTTTCTCTCACTTGCACGCAAGCCAGAGAAGAATTGTGAATTGACAAAGTCGGAATCTCGCCAACAGTAGCTTAAGCTTCACTTATTCAACATTCCATTGATATGAAAATCAAAGCACGGATCGCAATGGATAAGGATTCTCTAGACATAACGGTCCACTTATCAGATCTCTGGTCAGGCATTGGTCATTTTTGTTGTTCTTCTAAAGAAAGGCAGTTTCCTTTGCAACTGAATTTTCAATTGTAAAGCAGATCTCTATCTACACACAATAAGAGTCCCGTTATATTCCATCGCATGTGCTATGAAACAGTTTTGTGGAAATAATGTACATGTTATGATATCTGACGAGTCTTTTTATGATATGTGGTACTGCCGCATGGTCTTTGTGGTTGCAGTAATTCTATCGCAAAGGCTGCACTCGAGCCTGCGGCCAATATCCCAAGTTTCTCACGTTCTCGTACTTCGTAACTGTTCAAAGCATCTTCATTGAAGCGACACTCCATTATCGAGTTTATAAGGGAGCTTTATTTCAAGGAGCTTCGATTATGCTGAATACCCGTTAAGGCATGTAACATTTGAGATTTTTACCCACATGATCCTTATAACTTTTTCAAAAACCCCCGCAGGAATGGGGCAGTGTCGCTCAATGCCCAATCTTTTAATCGTTGACCTCATTTGGAAGCTTCTAAAAAGCCAGGTTCTTCAAAAGTTTTTGCTATTTCCAAGTTCAACATATCTGAAAAGATTAAATTTTCACCTTCGTTTTGAGAGTTGATTATTTTAGCAGCTCTTGCAGTTCAGCCTTCGTATCAATATTGCAACAAGATATAGCCAAGCCTCTCTGTATGTTGCGTGACTGAAGACAACAATCGATACGTCGTTGAACTTAGTGTGCGGTTGTAGTTGTATCAAGTTTATTGATAAAACTGATTTTTTTTATTACCCGTTGAGATCTAATGAGACGGTCTGAAATATGTTACTTGAGGAATGACCACTTTTAGCCAAAAGAATCCATGCCTTTGTTTGCATAGTTTTGAAGATAGCTAGCTTTCTGTGATGACAAGGCTTAAAATAAAAAATCTACGATCGATCTTACGGCGTAAGAATATTCTTCGAGGTCATCGTAACACACACCAGCATCGCTGCTGTTTGCATTCCCTTGTAGTTTCTCCTACGTAAAGATACTCGAAAGGTATGAAATTTTATAGGGCTGCCCTCTGCATTTTCTGTGTGGTCCAAGGCATACTTTGGCATAGAAACCCTAATGAAATTCAATCTCACCAACCGGATGGAAAGACAACGCCCCCTCCACAGAGGGTTTGCCTCAGCAGCCGCCGACTTACCACGAGGCAAAACATCTATCATAATTTCGTTTTCGCTGCAAAAGTTTGTAAAATGAATTCTATTGATGCTTGTGATGCTGAGCAATTTGCAAGGAAAAAAGTAGTAGTTTTGGACGACTGTTTTACAACGGAAGGTGGAAGTAATGGTGGAATGGTTTATACCGTGCATTTATGAAGTGGTGTACGTGCGCTATGCATGCTAGAGTATTAACCTAAAACGCTAGTTGGTCACTCCTGACTAGAAAATCAACTCCAACTTTGTTCATTATGTTTCCAGAAATAAAAGAATGTAATGACCATCAAGCGAGGTTACTTTTGAAGCTGTAGTAAATGCATATTTGCCCAGTCAACTTGGTTTGCATTTCCTTGGGTACACATTTCTCGCTATCGTCATTTTGCCAGAGGGTGTAACTGTGTTGCCTTTCAAAATTTCTTATCAGAGTCGAAAACGTTTGAATTTACCGGAGTTATTGGTGGCCGATCCCTTTGTCATTGAGGTGGATTAGACAGGGCAGCTCTTGTGTTAGAAAAGGATCATTTCAACGTTTGTAAATTAATTTTCTCGACTAAAGAACTTTGCATAATGAAGTGGGAAACTCGAATATAGGTGACTGTGAACAGTAAACCATTTCATGCTCGTATCGTCAGAGATCAGGCCATTTGTATGAGAGCCTTTTCTTGCAGTAATCTCTGCGGTTTATGTTTTGTCCGCAGTTCAGTTATGTTAATATTTTTATAACGGTTTGAAATCAAAAGATCCTTGTTTTTTGTCACTCGGGTTAACATTTCAATCAAATAAAATCAGCGCTCTTGTGCCGTTTTTGAACCATCAATTCATCGGGTCATCTTTAGTTAATTTAATATACCATGGCTATATGTACATAAAGGGGACATTATCCTCTGAAGATCTTCATCGGATTACTGTGGATTACAGTTGCCAAATGCTGAATCTTGGATTCATATCCTCGCAGGCCACTTTTTTGCTGTCCTCCACTGCACGCCTTCTATCTATATTGCTTCATATTCTTGGAGCCTTATTCGATTTTTTGTCAAGTAGCCTTGTCTTTTTAACTGTAAATCGTGAGGATCTGTGGTTTGCAGCCTCCCTTGCTTCACGAATCTAATTGATTCCATCTGCGTTGTGCGATTTTTAAGCTTTTGGCCATACATATTTACTCAATGCACATTCAGATATGCTTAGGAGATCTATACACTAATGCTTTTGTTGAAAATGAAGGAAGATAGATACATCAGCCCCCTTCACTGGAATGGTTTTTTGTTTAGATTATAATTGTCAAGAATTTTGTCTAAAATGTGCATTTTGATGCTTTCTTGATCAAACGTAAGTTGGAACAAGGAAAGTTGGGCGTCTCTTTGTTATTTGGTGTATATAGTCACCGTTTCCCAGCAAGTAAATGACAAGCTATCAATTCTAAGGATGTTGTGTACCATGCCAGCTTTTAATCAAGGTTCCTCGAGCTAGAGGAGCAGTTTTCGGCAAAAGTCTTCTTAGATGTTCTCAATTTCCTTTAATGATATTTACGTGCCAGACATGCAAAGCTAGAGAAAGAAAATCTTGGTCAGAGTCTAATTTGAGTTAATTATCAACTGTATGTTATCCATTACAGACCCTGATCCGGTGAAGTATAAGGTCAAAGAGAGCAAGCCAAGCAAAGTATCAGGGAAACGAGAGAACGAGACTGGAAGGAAAAGGAAACGAAACGCAATCGAGATTCCAAGTGCAGACGTTGAAGTTTTTGTCGTTGCGGACAAAGATACGGTTGCGGTGCACGGTAACGCGTCCGTAGAAGGATACATCCTTACAATGATGAACATGGTAAGAAATCTTCTTTTATCCCCGATCAAAACGTGCCCTTTATTGTCTTACGGTCGTCACTACCATTGTGACGTGATAAGAACCCTCCTTATGTAGCCCGCTGAAGTTATTAAACCTTCAGACTTTAGTCAGGTTCCCCGTTATGCGTAATATTCCTTCTTTGTACCAACCCTTAGAGCATGTATTATAGAAAATCCTTAACTTACTGCTAATATTTGAGCAAGAAATGGTGCAGCTCCCGAACGCTAGCTTTATTTCAATGCCAAAAAGTAGCAAAGTGTTTCTATAGTATTATTTTTATGTTATAGTGCCAGTAAGAATAAAAGATGTAGAAGCGATGGCCTGCTTTTTGGTTGCTGGGGTCTTATTCAAGTTTTTCGGATCGTAAGGGCAAAAACGCCTTGAACTTGCTGGCTGCTTCATCTTTAAGTGGACATAAGAACCACTTAAGATGTTATGATCTGTAAATACCACTTCATCTATTATCGGTCTTTAACGGCATCATCTTTGAGGAAAATGTCCAGATTGACAATTGTGGGCTGTGCTTGAAGAAATCAAATTTCACAAAGTAAATCTAGGTCATTTCTGATCTTTTCGTTGATTGTTGTTTTTCAAGCTAGGTGTAGTATGGTTCTTGAGATCGACAAATTTGTCATAAAGCGGACTTATTAAACCTCCAGCATTGCTGTGGTTTGTATGAGCATAAGAATTTATCGATCAGAAAGAGTCCTTGTGCCCATTTATTTACATTATCAAAAGAAGTAAGCTGCTTGCCCTAACACGTCGCGAGCACCCATTTGTGGTTTAATGACAACAAATGTAAAGAGCCAAATGGAATTTCCCATGGATTTCACTTCAATATTATGAGCTGTTTGCAAAATCAACTGTTTTTGTATCGACTGTCGCTCAAAGTTTCGTATGAGCAAAATGAGGAACTAGAAGAAAATTTTATTGCTGAATGATTTGATACACGAGACATAATCCATTAAATGCTAGAGAATGTTGGGATTATTTGAGTTTGTTCTTTGTTTTGCTTAGGATTATGTCCGGTAAGACCGGTTTTCCTTGAATTGTTTGATTTTTACTCTAATCCATGTGTCGATTTCCACGGATTTTTGTGTTTTCCCCAATCTCGATTGATACCTGCGTTTCGTTTTGGACGCTCTCTACCAAACAATAGAGGAAGATTACATAAGCTACTGTGATGAAACGGTGTTGGCTGTACTTGGTCCTCACATGAAATACATACACCATGAAATAATAAATATATTGAAATGTGGCAATGCTGCAAATACAGTCATCAGGGTGATCGATTTTATAAAATAAAGCGTATCTCTGAAACTTTACACTGACTTTTCTGATTCCATGACCTTTCCTTGAAGTGATTTACAACCTTTGAATGGACTACGAAATTGTAAAGCGATTTGTTAATAGCAAAGACTGTCAGTGGATCCAAAAAGCCAATGTTTGCCTTTGGATCAGATCCAAGGAACTCTTGTCTAAACGGGGATCAGCTATGTTTTGTTGAGATTAAGCTATTTACGTTCATCCGTTAATGTAATGAAATGAATGTATAGTTGACCGTCGTTCTTAACTGAAACAAACTTAAAGGTCGCAGATCCTGGGTTTCTTACCGCACAGGATTGATTGCCTCGACCGCAATGGCTAAGCATATTCCAATAATGTGATCAGAAAAGTGTTACGTGGATGCCCTGACTTCTTGAAACAAGATTCTGTATAACTCAGTTTCTTTAATAGTATTAAATAATTGGACTTAATTCAGATATGATTCGGAAATGTTCCAGTATGGATTGCATTTAGTGGATATATTTCAGACCGTTAGGCTGTGACATGTGAACCTTTATGCTCCTTCGTTCGAGCTCAGAATATTGTGCGTAGATATATTTTTGTCCTATTTGCGATTGCGTCCATTTGATAAAATAAACTGAGACACAAATAACGCTTCATACTAAAATCGACCTGTTTATCTCGTCTGACTCTTTAACAAGTGAAAAGGTTTATCATTAAAGTGTTATGTTGTTGTTCTCAAAGGTTGCAGAAATGTACAGACATGCCAGCTTGGGAGTCAATGTGAACATTGTTGTGGCAAAAATACTTCTTCTCAGTGAAGATCAGGTAACGAGCAATACTTCTTGTATATTAGTTTGATTAAAGCAATAACGTTATTGTTGCATTTTTGAATCGACCATTATTACTTTGATTCCTTAACAGAAAATAGATTCTTCTTTGAAATTTTTCATTCATTCTTGAGCTTCTTCATTTTTGAGATAAGATAGTACAGCAAGATAAGATAGAACAGCCATCACGAGAAGTCTATAAAATTTATCATCTGGTTTATAGGGTCAAGTTGAAAATACTTTTACAATTGAAGCTCTAATAGATTTAAATACAAAATGGAAACTCTTTCACTCGATCATGATTATTAAATTGTTCGTAAAAGTTTGTAAAGCTTGGTCGTTACATATTTGAACCGAGGTATATTTTTGAATTTTAGGACGGGCTAACGATTTCCCACCATGGTGACAAGACATTGAGAAGCTTTTGCGAATGGCAATACAGCAGAGTTTGGTATTCTGGACAACAAAACAATCGAATCCTCAAATATGATGCAGCAATATTGCTGACAAGGTATCGCACTATTATTAAAGAAACCACATCACATCTTTGTACTTTGTTTTCCATTAAGCTGATCAAATGTTAAATTGCAGATCTTCCTCAATCACGAATAAAATCTCGGCCAATCATTTTCTGAAATGTGCTGTTAAAGAATTGATCTTGACGTTAACATCTGTCTGTGTGTGGCCAGAATTTGTAGAAATATTTGCCATTACATTCTTGAAATTTTGTGTCCTTTAGGAAAGATCTATGCAGCAATAGAGATGCACCTTGTGGTACTATAGGTAAGTCGTGTAAGCTTTTAGTTTTCCTAAAATTTTAAATTATAAGCCACTTTTGTTTGGCTCCCTTTTTCAATTCATTTTATCAGTTTCAATGCGACAAGATATAGATTTTCGAACTGATTTCAGTGTCTTGATCGAGACTGTGAGTACCATATAATCTTTATGCCTGACGTTTCTTTCGCTGAAATTTTAGGTTGCCACAAGACAAGTGGAGAGAATAAAGTTTAAAATGTTTTAAAACTAGGATTACTTTTCACATCTGCAAAATCATTTTTCACCATGCATATTGCATAACATTTCCATAATTTTAAAGTCTATGCAGAGTTTTTAGCTGTAGCAATGTGTATCCTTCTTCATGATCTATAGTTTCACGATTCAGGAGAGGTTAAAATGATTCGGGGAGGTTTTGCAGGTGTTTTTCCTGGTTTGAACAACAGCGAGGCTTGCTTTATCGCAAAATCAGAAAGAAACTTTCAAAGAATCTTGACCGCCCCTGTTGCTTTCAACAAAGTTGAGTTGCTGTTCTTTGTTTTTAGGAATGGCGTACATCGGTGGTGTCTGCAAACCTCGAAGACGATGCAGTGTAATCGAAGATATCGGATTGAATACGGCCTTCACCATTGCCCATGAACTCGGTCACAGGTTTGTTGTAGTTGCTGTTTTTTGTTTTATTCCTGTAAGAAAAGATGATCAGCTAGCGATATTTGGTTTTGCATAAAGTCGATGTGGTTTGAAAGATATGAAACACGCCCAAAAGCTCTCCATCCGACATATTTACCACGTTTGTATTAGGAGTTATGAATGATAGAAAAAGCTGCAAAAACTACTTTGTAAAAACAGGTAACAACAAATTCTTGTGGGCAGCCCAAGACCCTCAGCAGCCAGAATTAATAATGACAAACAATCACGTCGGAATTGAGCCTTTTTGAGGGTAAAAGCTCTGGATCGGGTATTTCCTGATAAAAAAAAGCACTAAATGATTTACTGTGATGAATATCTGACATCTCAGCCGCTAAACAACCGCGTTTTGGCTTACGGTTGAAATAAACCTTCAACTAAGATAAAGAATTTTTTGTCCAGCTTTTCTCAGACGATATAGAAAAACTAATTTATTATTTCCACACTATTTGTTGTTGTGAAAAAAATTGTTTTAGTTATTAGACATGGATGGTTTAAAAATCGCAGTAACAATTCACAGACAGACAACTATTAAGGTCAATTGAGGCAAGTGGATTTAGAGCTCATGCTCCAAGGACTATTTCTCAGATTTGATCCAAAAACGAACCTCTCTTTTCGCATTGATATGAACACGAGCTGTAAAACGTACGTCACATAGCTCTAAAGTAATTTTACAGTAGCTGAAACCCCCAGACAACTGACTTATGATGTCATCCTTAACGTTTTGCGATTAAAGGCTTGTACATTTATATGCATTAGATGTAACGATCTCAAGTAATCGTGGTCTTAAAGATCTTACAGAATTACCCACGAAGCAGGTAAAATTGTGCTACTAGATTTTGTTGGCTTATTGGAACATATTCTTATATAGTCAGCTCTTTGATCATGACATTATCCAGCTATGGACAACTCCTCAAAATCTCCTTTTCTGACAGAGGCAGATTTTTTCATCACGTAACACTGTAATGTGCCATATTCGTAACAGTAGTGTTTCCCAGCATTTGTTTGCAAGTGCTAGGCATTGAAATTACCTGCCTATAGACGCAAAAGAAAATGTCTGGGAATGGATTTGTGCACTTCACTGTAAGGCGTAACAGATCAAGCCGCATTCTTCTCGCTCCTCATTACGTTAAACCGCGCCGCGGCTTACAAACTGTTTGTGCACTTTTTCAAGGAACAGTTTGTTCTTGAATACTTTCAGCTTGTTTTCAGTTACCAACAAGTGTTTTGGATGATCATTTTAATGCAGTATCCCAGGACCTTTTCACCCTGAAATCCAAGCATTTATTCACCGCTTATCTTTCTTGCGCTGGTCTGTGGAACTAATCCAACATTCATTTGCCTGTTTTAAAGAATCATTGTTATTCCTGCGTTGACTATCCCACGACCTGGTGTGTGCATTTCATTGTATCAAGATTTGTTCCAGAATGTTACTTTTCGTCGAATTGGCAGTTGTTTGCTTTTGCAGATGTCCTTTCATTATGTACCTTATGTTTCTTCAATGTCGTGACTTAAATCTCCTTCGTCGTGTCCCTGCTTTGCGAAGTGGGTTTAAAGTGCGTTTATACACCAGATTTTAAGTTAGCAAAGGAACATAGTATTCTGGTACGTGGTTTTCGATATAGTGTCGAGACTAGATTGCCATGGACGACAGAGCGTTAAAATTTCAGCTACATTGAACTACAAGAATTCATTCTTAATTTTACTTAAGCCTTTCTCGTTCCATTAGAGGAATTTGGACCGATACAGAGTGTATCGTTATTGATCGATAAACTCGATGTCGTTGTAAAGTATGTCGAAAAATTTTAAAGTTAATCTTAAATAGATCCCTGGTATTTGACCAACATCCCTTTCGGATTAGTTCGTTTATGGTCACAAGGTACTGTATCGTCCTATTGTAAATTTCAATACTCCTGTTGCTCGGCGATGCATGGAAAAGATTAATTTGCTTTGTGATAGGCACGAACTACCATACCATTCGTTTGATTTTTTAGACCCCACAAAATTCCGCAAAAGTGTTTGCATTACTTCGCGTTCTCGTGAAATGATACCTTTAAATACTATAAAGGATATTTCATCAGGACTTCGTCGCATAGCCTGAGGCTATTTTATATATACATGCCTTCAACGGCATCGAAACACAATTCCTAAGCAAGCAGAAGGACCGCTGTGTGTTTTACAGGTTTGTCAGATCAGAAAGAATTCAAAACTAACGGTTACCAAACATGCAAACGTGGAGCACAGCACCCCCAGGCAATGCAGACATATGCTCAACATTCTGTCTATTAACCATAACCCTTTCACTTGGTTGTTTCGTATTTTGACGCCCAAACAACTATTCTGAGCAAAGTCATATTTTAGCTGAGGCATTTAATGCAATGCCGGCCACCTTACGGTTCATGTCTACCGTACACTGAGAGGCTCTTCATTTACTTATCGAGGCGGTGTTTAGTGTTAAACAGCTAAATCCTTTGACCTTGTCTTATATACGAATCTGTTGCAGTAGCTTTCGACTCTGTAGTTTTCTAATCAAAGCTCACAAGGAAGTGATGAACAGTGACATGTCAGCTGATTTTTTCAAAAGCCGCAGGCTCGAGCATTCTGGAGGACAGTTGCTCTCTATGATAGCCCTTCTTAATAGATTGTGAAACCGGAGAAGAAAGTTGTTGAACCAAAGATATTTGACATTTACTAGTAGCATATTTGGTTGATCATCTGTCATTTTTTCTTTCTTTACTTAAATGAAGTGAATGAAATTGGTGCATTTTGAATGTTCACTGAATGAAACAAAATGGAGGCGCACATTACGCCAACGTGATTAGAAATCACCACGATGGCGTGGGAAAAGACCTTACTTTGACATGGGCCTTCTCACCCTCTCTTAACAATTACATCTTGCAACTTTTAAACTTATTTTGTATTCTTTCACAAATAGTGCTGAAAGTGACATTTCATTATTTTTTACCAATAAGATATTCCTCGAAATAATTCTATTTATCAGCTAATGTTAGAATATAAGGGACTACCATGCAGTAGTTAAGGTCAGAGAATTAGGTTAGAAGCCTTGCGTCTGTGTATTTTTTGTCGTTGTCTAGATCAGTATCTTATCGCTCACCAGCCTTTTAATTTCAACTGTCAAATCTTTCGCAAAAAGCAGCAATGCTAGTTTCACAAGCAAGCCCTCGGCCTCGTCTTGGCGTGTTTCTGAAGTTTCGTTTTTGCCAACCTGCCCCTTCGTTAAAAGTCATGGCATTGTCGCATTTTCTAATCCCTGCATATACCTTTATTTTGGCGCTATTGATCTGGTTGAGAATTTACCTTATCGCTTTTTTGCAGTCTTGGAATGCAACATGACAGAGAAGGAAACCGGTGTAGAAGGCAAACAAACGGCATATCGCATATGATGTCCCCAACATGGCCACAGGCAAGTCATGGCGATCTCATGTGGTCGAAATGCAGCCAAGAAGAACTCAAAGATTTTCTCAGGTAAATTAGAATAAACCATTGTTGGTTTGTCTTGTAATGTCCATGACCCGATATTTTCACCTGGTATTAAAACCTATTAGCAAATGGTCAGATTTCATCGCCAGAACAACCACCTCATTAAATTTAGAGTTTATTATGGTATTAGGAGGAAACCGAGAAAACCAATGGCTTGCAAATATTTTGTCAAGAAGTAAGTCTTAAGCATCAGTTGCTGTATTTGTTTCATCAGCATCAATACCATGTATTTTATAGATCGCGTATACTTAATCCAATGATATCGGTCTCAAAGGGTCTGCCATAGTTATATGTAAATATCAAATTTCTTATTCAACACGATTCCTAATTATGCAACTATGAACTTGCAGAAATAAGGCTCACAATGCCATGTTTATATGACAGCTCGTACAAAAGCGCTTGCATAAAGGAAGAATCTTCGAGATACTACAGGCAAAAGTATAAAATGTTCAATGCTGTACTGCCTGGTACAATCTACAGTGCTGATGAACAGTGCAAGCAGCAATACGGACCGTTTGCATCTCACTGCAAAGTCTTTAAGGTTAGACCTTATGCAAATTTCGTAACCTGAGTTCAACTTTCAACAGAATGTATTGGTTGCATCGAAAATTTTGCTCATATTACGAAACCAGATTTCATTTTTGCAGATATTTTCATCTATGAGATTATTTTCCGTCCATCTTTGCATTTCTTAGAACATATCGATCATCTATATTGCCACATGTTCCATAACAGTGTTACTTATTTAAAGACTCCTTTCTTTATAATACTAGACAACTGGCAAGGCAACTGATATGTGCAAGACATTGTGGTGTTTTATTGAAAGTGACAATGAATGCGTTACTAAACTTGATCCTGCTGCCAAAGGGACCCCCTGTGGGCCTGGCAAGGTGAGCTTCCAATCTATTATACATTATTTATGTATTCCAGTACTTCTATGATATCCTTAGAGCTAAAAAGTAGCAACCAATAGGAACGGACACTCAATTGAAGGCAGTACGGTACCTAGGTTTTTGCGATTTAATGCAAGGAACCTTAGGCCGTTTATTATAGCGCCTGGACTTCTCTTTCACTTGATCTTACTTTAAAAGAAAAGTTTCTCGCTGGTCAAAATATTTTCATATTAAGTGGTTTTCCCCAGAGTTCACCCTCACATGAAATGTAAGATTATTGAATTAGCAGACTTGTAAAAGCAGACAATCGTGATAAAGCCCCACCATTAAAGTTGGTAGTAGTAACGATCCTTTGCCACAACTCAAGACCCCAGGATCAAACGCGCTGCAGAAAGAAGCCTTGTCACTTAGCCTGACCTTTTTCGCCAACGTGGGAATTCCTGTGGTTACAGCGATGTCGTCGCCTTGTGTTCCCAGGCAAATCCCATGTTTCAAAGGCTGATCCAAAGATCAGTACCAAATTCTTGTTAGATGAAAATCTTAATTGCAGATCGTGTCTTTCCCCAAGCCCTAGGTGAAGCTCGAGGCATTAAGCGGTGAACCAGAATCAAACTTGTAAATTTGATATTTAATCTCAGCCTCTATGCAGTGTTGGCCATGTCCAGCCCATCAAACATTCAATGCCGGCGAGCTTTTGTTTCCAGGGATGAAGATATTAAAAGGCATTACAACATTGTATCATCAATGCCATATTGTGTCTTATCTTGCGGCTTTGGGGATGTTGGCTCTCTAAACCCTTTAATTATGTGGTTTCAACTTATTATTGCACCTCTAGGTGACATTTCTACCTTCAGGCATTTTTAAGACAACTTGCCGGTTGCTCTGATGTCTAGCTTGCAAGAATGCTTGCTTACTGGGCAAATCAGACCTCATAGGAGACAATCGTTTTGCCCAGCCTCACTGTTTATTATTGGTAGTACGTCGATAGAGATATAGAATATTCTCAAATTTTCTTACATTTTGCACAATTCAGAACATTTTGCTTTTACCACGTGTCCTTCTGTAGATGGGAACTCCAGAAGGGTAATTTACAGTAGCTGTATAAAAGCTTGCGTAACATTTGATGGCTCTATGGATTGTTTGACCCATTACTAGTTTTTTGTAGTATTATCTTTAGTTTTCATCGTTTTGTAAACTCGGGACTTAATCCGGCTATTTCCCAGTTCATGCTTCTAGGTTTTCTACTTTATCAAGCAGTCTACCTTAACGTATTCAAACGATGTTATTCCCTCAAAACTAAGGTATAAAATGGTTGAGCCGTGATCAAAGTCGTGAAGGTTTTCTTGCAAGTTATATGTCATGTGTTATACCCTTATTTATGTTGCTTTGTCAGTATGAATGAGCTCAATAGCGCTGCTAGAGTCAAAACCTTATGAAAAACTTAACACGTTGCCATATTGGATGCGTTTAAACTCCTTTTTTAACTGCAAAGCAGCTCTTAGGAAACTCCTTAGCGACGATCGAACATTGCTGCTTTTTAAAAGGTGGATTATCAGTGTTTGTACAAATGGCCTTTTCTTTCAGTGGTGCATGTACGGAAAGTGTATAAACAATAATACGATACCCGAGCGCATTGATGGACAGTGGTCGCAGTGGTCCAACTGGACGGCGTGTTCAAGGACTTGCGGTATAGGTGTTACGAAAAGAAGACGACTGTGTGACGACCCACTGTACGTACCACTGAACTAAGCCTTTATTGTATGTGCCAAGAATATTGTGAGAGACAGCTTTGTACAATATCATGAAGTTTTGTTTTGGCATTATACATGCTCATTCAGCAACTTCTATTGGCAAAAACACTTGTTTGCGCTTTCTCGGAGATTTGTGTTGTGAATCTTTTAGAAAATGTAACATCAGGTAGAGATTCAGTAGCAATAGGAAGACAATGATTTAATTTATTATGACAGCGTCAGACCATCATAACTTGGCTGACAAACAGCTAAAAGCTAATCAATTCCAGTTCAAATATTCCATTAGATAATATGTGACGTATTGATTTCAATACTTGCATCTTCATGCCTTGATTTACATCCTGGAAGTAGGAATATCTACAAACATTTTCCCTCATCATCTGCCATAGCCAGCCTGCCCTTCCCATCTTGTCAAGTAATCGTAATTAGATAAAAGTTTATTCCCTGTTTTCGTCAAGATTGTGTATTTCTATTCTACAGCCCATCAAATGGCGGCAAACAGTGTGCTGGGGAGTCAAAAGAATACAAAACATGCAATGTTAAGGTAAGCCAAGGCTTCGTCTGCTGACCTAAATGCTTTTAGTTTGTTATTGGTTCAAGAGACATCAAGTATGTTGGGGGTCGATAAGTTTAATGTTTACGCTGAGCGCACAGTAATTGGGAATTTCCTCTTCCTGATTTCACCAAACAGATTCACAAGTAAATTTGTTCTTTGCAAAAGTTTTTCCCTTTTAAAACAGACCATTGTGTTGAAAAGGATGTTTTAATCTTTCCTGATCAGTTAATTTATTGTTGCTTTTTAATCTTTCATTTATCTCATTTCTGTGTATTTGGCTACAAATGCTCTTAATTGTAGTCTAAACATAACACGGGCTCTTCGCATGGTTGCGAACATCCAAATTGATAAGAATGTACCAATTAAGTTACCTTCAGGTAATTTGCTCTCCACGTATCGGAAACGCCCTAATCTGCGTTTATCTTTTTGCAAATTATAGTTAGTCCTTGCGGATTCCCAAGATCGGATCTCCAATTATTCTCTTCCATCTACATTAATGATATATTGATAGAAACATCTGCATGATGAGATAATATAGATCTCCACTTACCATCAACAGCATGTCGCTGTTACAATATTCAATCTTCATATTGTTTTTACAATTTCTCTTTCTGTTACATTATTAATTAAAGATTAGCTTATTCCGTTGCGTTTGCAGTAGCAGTAGGAAATCAGTTTATCTTTTTAAGTGTGCGTTAAGTTTGCACTTCCCCTTTTGGTCTTGAAAAATTCAGCTGATCACTGATAAACAAGGGATGAATTGGTTTCAAATGAAGACCCCCGAGTGTCTCTTGGCACAGAAATAGAAACGAGCGTTACAAAAAGGAAATCTTTACAAACAATCTCTTTTGATGAAAGGGAGCGAAACGTCGACACGCTGGCTCAAGGGCAAATTCGAAACGAATTGTATACATGTTGATAATTCTAAAGTCCCTGCCAAACGTCCTTGAAATACCATGTTACTTTGAAAAATTACCCTGTAAAAAAAGACCGACTTAACATACCCTCTCCCCTGAAGTTATTTTGGTTATAGAGTTCACGTCGTAGCAATCTGGCAGGAATCAGTTGGACCACTCGAAGGGGAGGGATGCAATAGAAAATATGCAAAAATTTGGTGTAGTGTACCAACTTCTTGCAGCAATAAAACCTTCTAACTTCCCCTTCTTGATTAACCATTTATCATTTTTTCCAAATCCAGAAATGCCCAGTAACAGTTCAGAGTTTCAGAGCAGCCCAGTGTGCACAATATAACAATCAAACTGTGACTTGGATCCCGGTTTTAAGTGAACGTAAGTGAACTATGTCCATAAACATCTACTCTTTCGAATTGTCTTACGTAACGTTGCCTTTACATTTGCTGTCTATTACGCAATTCATGTAGAAAAGGCATGACATATGTATAAGTTTTGAAAGTTAAGTAAGATGGTGACATTATAGCCGTCTAACTTTTAGAACCTCTCTACCTATTTATACTCATTGCTGCTTTGTTGTGATACTCTCTGATATTTTTCTTCTCCTTCTAGTCTTCTGCTCTCATGTTCAAAGTCATAGTAATGTTTTTTTATCCTTCCTCGTGAACTAAAGAAACTCCACATTTGTCACTTATGCTGGTGTAACATCTCTGGACTTTCTTGGTCTCCATCACTCTTACTCGTTTGCTACCCAGGACTCTAGTAATCTTGTCATTTTTGCAGGTCGCCCGTGTGGATTATATTGCAGGCAAGATACAAACGGCATTCATTTCTCCGTGCGATTCGCAACAACGGTCATTGATGGTACAGAATGCAGAAAAGGGGGTGCTGGGGGCATTTGTGTCGATGGCAAATGTGAGGTATTGTATTCAGTCTGTTTCGTCGTTGATTGGAAGAAAGTTTTCCGTTTGGCTTATCAGTTCTTCAAGAGCAATGTATCAAGAGGACGAAGCCACGCCTTTCCACTTGAAAAACACGATCCATAGTGTAAACTAAGAAATCGCTGGAGACTTGAACTTTTTTCTGATATCTTAAACCCTCTCATGAAATTGCCTGTTTCCTATTTTTACGCCCCTTCCCAATATTGTTCTAAAGCCCCAGTGTCACTCACCCGTACCAGAATCTCGCACAATTTTTCCATTCAAAGAGGTTTCTAATAAAATATAGTTGACAATTTATGTAAACTTCCTGAATGTAAGCAACAGTTAATAGTTTCAAGCGTGTATTCGTTTTTATTGTAATCTTGCACCGCTTATTTGGGCTTCTTGGCTTGTGCTGCGGTGTAACAGCTCTTTCACTTAAGACCACTTCTTTGGAAACATCACTTTGACCTCGATTTTCGCACTGTTACTATCGGCTATTTTGACTTGCTAACAGTAAACAGTCGCAATAAATATGGATTTAAAGAGATAATAATAAAATAAGATGTAGTAGCAGATATTCTTGAACAGGAAATTGGCATGGAACCACGTTTAGCTTAAGATATTTTTGCCAAAGGAGATTCGAAAAAGAATCAACTTGCGGTTGGAAACCCCCTTTGTGGAAAAAGTGACCATTCGCTGCCAATTCGTAAACAAGCAGTATGTTCAACGTTGTGGGTTTGATTAAAGAGCTTTGAAGCATAATTTTAAAATCTGATGTAGTTTGGCAGAATCTTTTTTCTAACGGTGTTAAAGAGCAGTCTGTCCTTCATTTAAATATAAAGCGAAACAGTCCAATGACATATCATTATCCACCAAACTCTCTCTCACCACCACACTGGTCGCTTGTTACTGTTTATATGCTGCGATTGTGCAGTTGCATTCCCTATCGTCTCTTATTGTTGACTTGTTTGGAAAAGTATTTCATGTCTGTAACTGTTAAATTTATTGTAGCAAGTCGGTTGCGACAACCAACTGCATTCAAATGTTACTAACGATGCTTGTGGCATATGTGGTGGAAATGGCACTACATGCAATGTTATCGAAGGGGAATTCACACAAATGTCTGGAGAAGGTTAGCACAACCTGGATATTTTCAATAAGAATTGCCAACTAGATATATCGTATTTTCTCGTGGATCGTTTGTGATACAATAGCACCGATTTGTTGTTGACAACTATCATTGACAGTCAGTAGAACCTGTGACATCGAGGGTTGTGAGATCCCCGAAGTCGTTTCTTTAGATATTTCACACTCTGGAACTACTGTGAAGAAATTATACGCATGAAATGCACCAAGATTTGAAAATGCACTGTCCCTTAGCATGTGCCTAATTTTGGTATCAATATGCTGTTTTGATTAGAAACATACTGTGAATTTATTTGAAAGCCAGTGGCAGACACCTGAGGCAGCCGCCCCCCAATACTTTAGAGGACACTGGTCTTTTGTTCTAAAACAATAGGAAATGTGATGTCATCTTAATAAAACAATAGGCTTGCCCCCCCCCCCCAATATTTGAACAAGTGGAAGCCCCACTGCTCTTTTACTGTAAGGTAACCCGTATTGTTCACATTTCAGGCTACGTCACAGCTGTAGTAATTCCCCCGGGAGCCCGCAATGTAGTTGTCCAAGAAGAAAAGCCATGCGCCAGCTTTTTGGGTGAGTTACACCTTCGTATGCGATATTGCTCGAGTATATTTCTACTCAGCTGCTGGGCCATCCTATTTCTCGCCTTTATTGTTTTTATTACTGGACGTCAACTTGTTTGACCACTTAATCAATATTCCTCCTATGACGTAGTAATGTTCTAGCCCATTCATTTCTTCTTATTCTTCATTCACCAATTTTTCATGGCGTAATTCTTCCTGTAGGCTATTGAAATGTGATTTCATGTGTCAACGTAAACTAATGTGTTTCGCCTCTGATACTAGGTCAAACCATAGCACGGTCTAGCTTTCGCTTAACTTTCCTTCAGTCACCGCAATCTGTAGACCAGCCTCGTGAAGACAAACAAAATTATACTTGATATAAAGCATTTCTTTTTGAAGTCGGATATTCTTTATGTCCCATGTAATCTAAAAGATATTTAATTGACTGATCTTAGATCGACCAAAGCACCGCTCAAACGCGGTTTGTCTCTTACAATGTCATCAAAAAATATAGCTCTTTTTCATTTCTCGGTTTTAACCAGTAATAAATTCGCCCTTTATCGTACAACGAGACAAAAACAAAACGGACCATAAGCTTTTGTATACTTTGCCATCTTAATAGCAGCAAAAGCAAAAAGAAAAGCTTAGAGATTAGAGAACGAGGAACAGTGTGCCTAAGATATTAATGTCAAGGAGCCAGCTTAATGCCTGTAACACCAAATGTTCATCTCTTAAGAAGCAGGCTTAATTTATTTAACTCAGTTTTTTCCATTTTGTCTCTTCTGTGGTGTAAAACTGTTCATAGCAGTAAGAAAACCCAATTTGCTAGTCATTGTCTTGTAGAAGAACTCTGTAGGACATTTAAGACTTAATTGTACTTTTGGTATAAGAAAAACACTCGTGCTAAGAATACCTTTTTATTGTAGCACTCAAAGGTGACAGGGGAACGTACCATATTAATGGAAACTGGAAAATAGAGTTACCAGGAGAATTCGATATCGATGGCACTATTGTGTATTATCAAAGGAAAGGGACACAGGAAACGTTTTTTGCCAAGGGGCCAACAAAAGAGCCACTTCACATTATGGTGAGCAAATATTTTCTGTGCCCTAGTTTTGCCAACAGTAGTGCTCGAGAAAGGATTTAACGTCATACACAGTGGATTTATTTGGAATAAACACGCTGACTGCCTGGGGGCATTTCAATACGTCTTTCAACACACGAGAGATACCACACCCCCAAGCCAAACCAATTTCTCTCCTTTGCAAGGAAAATTGTTTAAGTTTTAAAGGAAGCTAAAGATTGTCTATATTTTAGATTTGAAAGAGAATATTGAAAAATATCGTCAGCTATAGAGATATCGTGGGTTTTCTTTAATGCTTTGATGGGTATTTTACGTTTTAGGTACTCTTCCAAGATTTCAATTTCGGCATAAAGTACAGTTATACATTACCTCTGAAGAGCAACAAAACAGATGTAACAACAAAGGTCATCAGACAACCCCAAAGAGGATCTTATGGCTGGATGCAGGGTCCTTGGGGCCCGTGCTCTGTCTACTGTGGTGGAGGAATAACACGGCGCAGGCCTTCCCGCTGCGTACATATCGATGGTAGTAAAGTCAGCCTGGTGAGCAATAGCTACTGCTCAGGAGCCAAAAAGCCACCAGTAGAAATGAAGACATGCAACGAGAAAAAATGTGGAACTGTGTAAGTACTGCTATGGTGATGTTGCTTTTTGGTTTTATTTCTTTGGGAATTGAGATACATTCTTGATGATGGGAAAAAGAGATTGGAAATGGAAGATGATGAACTATGAGATAATGAACCTTGATTTGATCACGAGATCAGATCCTAATCACTTGATCGTCTTTTATGTTACTACTTGACGTCATTTTGCTAACAGATTGAACAAGCTTATGCCACTTCATTCGGCACAGTAAACACTAGTAAATTGCATTTTTACATTTAGTGTAAGCAGGTAGCTGGGTATGCTTGGGGATAACTTAGTAACACTGATAAGCAGAGCTTACCATTTTTCAAAAAAGTAGTCACTAAATATTTATTTCAAATTTCTGCAGATGGGGTGTTGGTGCTTGGTCATCATGCAGCAAGACGTGTGGACTGGGACGAAAGTACCGAACTTCGCAGTGTGTTAGGCAACAACCCGAAACAGGTGAATGGAAAAAAGTGTCATCGAAGCACTGCTCTAAAGACAAGCCAGTCACTCTGCAAATCTGCGTCGAAAAATCTTGCTTCTTGAACTGGAAAACTGGTCCCTGGTCAAAGGTAGAGCATGCTCAATACTGCTTCCTTATTTTAATGTATGGTACTCTAAGATCAATTAGCCTGATATTTTTCTTTGTATAGCCGTCTTTCTTTGTTATTGCTAATAAAATAACTGTGATCAAGCACCAGGGCAACCTCAGATCTTCAGTGTCAACTGTAGATAACACGCGCTTTCTATTTCTGCGGTAGGCGCGTAATTTGCGGGAAAAAACTCGATTTCGGCTGCTTTTTCAACGTATCAACTAACCCAGGTCAAATCTAGCCGAATTTTCATTGACCTGTTTGGAAAAATTTTCAAACTGTGTAATTAAATTTTGAAAGAGCTGTCTCCACCAATGCTAATTTAGGTCTAGGAATAAATAGCTCAAGAGGGCAGCCATTTGGTGATACTTTTATAAACGACAGGTTATTACTAAGACGAGAAAGGCTGACATTATTAAAAGCAAGTTTTAGTAATTGCAATTTTATTATCTGCATCCGCCATCATATTGCAAGCTATTATCGAAGTTGTTAGTGATTTCAAAATAAGAGCACATTTAGCTATCTTGGTTGTATTTTGCACTGGGAACAGCCCAAGGTCTGTCTCATCCATATCACATCATTGATTAATCTAAGATAATCTATTTGTACGCTATTCTTCTACACGACCCAATTCAAAAACTCGATTTTTACCTAAACAAAAAATGACCTAACTTGTCTCCGTTTAGTTATCCACTGCTATTGTGCAATGTCATATTCACAAAGCCACGTTGTAACAGTTTGAACTATTTGAATGGTGTTTTGAATATGTAATCTCTTAGAGTGAGTTAAAGAATATCTAAACATCCATCGTGGCTCCCAGCAGTTGAATGCTACTGTTTTACGATGAATTAAAATGTAAAACTGATCGGTACACATTGAATTAGAGTATGTTTGGCTCTTTATTTCCCATTACATTTCTCCAGAGACGACAAACAATTCTTTCCGGCGCCCTTGCTTCATTTCTTCCTTATCTTGCAGTGCAATGCACCATGCGGTGAAAAAGGCAGTATGAATCGTGAAGTCTCTTGTCCGCTTAAGAATGCTTGCCATATTTCAAGAAAACCGAAGCCAAGCAGGCCATGTGTCACACCGCAGTGCTCTTACGCTTGGATTTCTTCAAAATGGTCACAGGTACATTTTCAAATCTATATTGCTTGAACCTTTCTTCTAATTTCGGTATCAATCTTAGGAAATCATTTTTATCATATATTTGAGGAACCTGGTGCATAGAGCCAGGTTCCTTAGATAATTAGTTCGAGCCAGTTCTAATTTATCTCTTTCTCCAATCCTTTCAGTGCTCAAAATCATGCGGCATTGGATTTCAAACCAGAAAAGTAGATTGCAGGGAGACATATTCTCTAAACGAAAGTGCAGGCATGTGTCAAGCAAGTCTGAAGCCCCACTCTAAAAGAAAATGCCCTGATCAACCGTGCAACAAAACAAGCACAGCTTTGCCAACAACTGTGACTAAGCCTCAAACTACGACCGGTATTCCTGGTGCTCCAGAGGCTGGTACGTAACTTTACCTAAGCAAGGATTCTAGTATCTATTGTACATGTATTAGATTCGTTGTGTGATAGATGGATCTAAAAATCTTTTTAGTTCCATTGTCGCTTTATACTTATGGCTAAAATCACTCCGCGCGTGTTACCTGTGTAAGAATATAGAATCAGTAAGATTTTAAAAGGCAACTTACTATGCAGTGCGTTTGCAAGAGGTACTGTATTTATCAAGGTGTTGTATAGCTACAAGGATAAAAGCATACAAGAGGCTCCTTTTTGAGAGGTTAAGTGCTACGTAAACGAACAAGGAGGCCCTAAAAAATTTTTCCCGGTTACTTTTCAGTAATAACAGCAAACCCCCATAAAGCCCCTCCTCTTAATAACTGGGCTTTGGTATTCCTGATAATTAATTTGTTTTATTTTCTTTTTTACTATAAGCTTGGAGGTGAAACCTGAATAAGTTGGCCTTCAGGATTGTTCATACGAGCTGTTAAGATTATTGATAAGGTCTATTTGTCAATTTTAAGGCAATCCTCTAAACAACATATCAACGAGAAACTGTATTGCCTTCTTTAATGACGTGTATGACGTTTGATGAAATTTAATGACTTTTAATGCTCTGTCCTTTCGATGTTAATTCACTAAAACTTGCTCTTTCTTTTTTACAGCACCTGTTCTGGGAGTAGAAAATTGTAAAAAAGACAAGCTTGCAACATGGGCTTGCGAAATCCTTACAGACAAGCATTTTTGTAGCAATAAAAAAGATGTACTCAAATGCTGTGAAACGTGCAGGAGAAAAATGAAGTATTTTAAGAAATAAAATTTCTGTAAATACCGCTTAGGTGTTGCAAATTTCAGGTAAATTTGATCAATCTACATACCATCAAAAGACTGCTTGTTTCGATGAAGAGTTTTGGTTTATGCCCCTAGGATACTTCATTTTAGATACTAAATAACACGTGGCCATGACAATATTTTTTTGGGAAAATGTTTCCTATGTGACATCTCTCTCTATTTTATACCTTAGTATTGGGATACACAAACCCCTAAGATTTATCTCAACCTAGACTTGTCACAGTGCAAAACAGAATTAGGCTCTTTCGTTGTCAACTCGTAGTGACAGTTTCATAAGTGTGCTAATGAGCTAATTACGTTATCCTGCGCTGAGGCACCTTGAACTGTTTAAAAAAGTATGTTTCGAATCTAGAAATAATAAAACCCATTTGCACGAATACTTCGAAAAATGCTTGCTCTCTCTTAGCATCTTTGAAATGATTTCCCTGAAATTTTAGTCAAACAATAGCATTGTATTATTTTGATGGTATCAGTTTGATTCAAATTTACCTTAGTTGGTTATTGAAGTTATCTGTTGCCAGTCCAATGCTACTTTCACGTAAACTTGGCTGGCCCTTTCGACTTAAGTATTCGACGTTCACTTTCTTTAGCTATCCATTGTACAGTGTAGATATTCCCTAGCTGTTTTTGTGTACTGTAATCGGGTCGATTCTTATACTGCTCTTTCTAAAAGACCGAAAATTTATCGCTTGGCACCATTACGATTAGCCCTCCTATGGATCGATGCCAAACGTTATGAAAGAGACCTTCTCGAGATTTTGATTCATCACGCATCATATAGTTTATTGACGTTATTTATAGGAGGACGGAGCAAGTGGGGTTAGTTGGTTGCATGAAAATATGCTAATATTAGATGCTACTCTAATATCGATTTTTTTCGATGAAATCGTTGATAATCAAATGTTAAATACCTATATTTATAAATCTATAATGTTGATATTTTATGGTAGAATATATTTTTTAAATTTAATTATATTTACCACGTAGTTTTATAAGTGAGATTTCTGGGATCAAAAAATCACATGATTAATATTATTCTCGTTAAGGGCGACTTAAACTTCCCTTTCAAGACATAGTGTACTGTTTTTTGAGACGTAGATTACTATAACGTGTAGGCCATCTTAAAGTCTGTTTGAACGGTATCAACGGCGGGCAAAGAAATTTTTGTTCTCCCACGTGCAACTTTTGGGTTTGTGGCGCTTTAAACTACTTAATCCACTGATTTCAAAACTATTAATCGCCTGTCCCTAATCTTAGTCTTATAAAGAGATTTATTATACTTTCTGGTTTTTAAGTAACCTTTGAAGAAAATAGGCAAGTATTTCGGTCGACAAAGTATGTTTGTCAATACAAACAAAGAATGAATTCACTTTGTACAAAGTACAGAATTGATACATTAAGAGGCTTATTAAGGCTGTCCAGTTCGAGTATGTCAAGCATCCAAAATATACCAAATGTGGGAAAAATTCACATTTATGTTTAAAAATTTATTTTCGGTTGAGGCTTTGACATTGCCTCGCGCTCTGGGTTAAACCCAGTATCTTTAGAGTTGCGAAATAGAGTAGCAAAGAAAATGAAAGTAGCAAACTGTTTTTTTAAAAGCCAGATTCCCTTTCCATCTAGTTGAACAGCTTTTAAGACAATAAGGTTCGAAAGATTTCGTCGAACAATTACCAATATTGTAGTACAGTTTTGTGACGAGCCACATTTGTTGTTTGTATTCCCTGTATCTCATTTAGAGACACCAATCCTCTTTTTCATGGGAATGTAAATTGTTTAAACAAAGTTTGCAAAATACCCACAAACAGATTTAAAGTTGGCCTTAGGAACTTTTTGACTTTAGACTCCTTAGACGTATTATCAATGATCGAAGGATCGACTGTTTTGTATTGAGTGCTTTAATTAGGCTTGGTTCAACAAGTGACTTTGATTTGTAATTACATTACAATATGGAATTTTCACTGGTAATATCTGTTTCTTTTTTGCCTACCCTTGAGTTTTAACCACATGTGGCATTCTTCATTTCACAAATAAGTCAAAGGCGAGTAATATTAACTGTTTATCGTGTTATTTATCGAACAAACGGCCGTGACGTCATACAAAGTGTACAGTGACTCTTGTTTGAGCTTTAACGAAGAGCATAGAGGCAAAATGAACAAATGTTGTATAAAATGATGGTAGCAGTATTGTTCTATCTTATTCACCATTTGACAAAAGTTGCAGTAGAATAGACTCACTAAACGTTTGTGGCATGATCGAAACTTTTCTTTGAGATCCTTATCCAGCAGTGTTTAAAAGACGTTTACAAATTGTTTGAACAAATTACTTTGATGATTTTAAACAGGTTAAAAGGAACCTAAGCTGGTTATGATACGGGTGACAATTGCCCAGCTAAACCAATTTACTACAACAGTTCTATGATAAAACATTCAACACAGCCAGGAGGGACAAAAAAAGAGTGGCTGGAAGATGGGCTACAAATTAAGGGATTTTATGGAATGCAACAGCCAGTCCAAGATAACATTATGTTATATGGAAATCAGTCCTCGTTCCTTACAGGAGGAAATTTTAGAGGGTTTGTTGGGTGTAAGTAACCCCTTTTTGTCCTACGCTGCCCTTAATCATGAGCAAAACTTGAAATTTGTGAAATTTAAAGGACATTCTGCCATGAATAGACACAAAATAGTGATATCTTCTTGAGCCTTGTTTCAGGTGCCTGCTGAGGGGAGGGGACCTCCTCTAATCTAAATCCAATCCCTCCCCATTGAATACCTTGATTGTCAAAATCCAATTCCCCCCCTATGTGTAGTAGGATGCTCCCCAGATCACATGACCTTTTATAATCACGTGACAAGTACTATTTAATCCGAAGCTTTGTAAAGTGTAGTTCAGTTATCTTCGTAACCTTGTTCAGTTAAGTTATAAATCTTGAATGATTATCAAGATATGAAAACGTAAAGAGTGTGTTTCCTTGCTCTACTATCTCATTAATGTAAATAGAACACCTCTCACATATGAACCTGCTTGCCAACAGTAGAAATTTCTCATCTCGGTAGCATTGGTTTTTGTCAAAAAGTAAATATGACCTTAAGGGAAAGGTTAGGCAGTACTGGTTTAATCATAACTTTCAATTCTTTAACAAATAAGGCAAATCTTCAGAAGGGAAAAAGTTTACATTTTCCTAGGGGGCCTTGATTAGACCAAAAATGCTTGATAAATGACAGATCCAAAACATAAGGAAAAGTCTTAAAATCTGTACTAAATCTGCTGGATTGCTCGCGGGATCAAATCGGGTTTTATCTTTGAGACCCTCAAAGGCCTTCAATAAAAAAATATCAGTCACTTACATATCTCGAAGACCAACTGACATTTATATCTATCACAAAGAATTGACTTTACTAGTTCATCATAAATGTCTTTAAAATTGGTATGATTTCTGTTAGTTTGTCAACATTGTATTCAGCTAACTCCTTGGCTGCTTCATTCTTTTCATTGTTCAGAAGGACAGTCACTTTGAAAAAAGATAGAACTGGGGTTATCCATTGGCAGTACTAAGTTTAGACAGTGCAAACCAAGTTAACTACATATTGATATAAATCAAGAAGATAAAATCCCATAGTTTGAAATTGTTTTCCTTGATTAAGAACATGATACACTTACTAATTATTTTATGACACATGTAATAATCACCTTAAAATATTATATCACATTTATTCACTTTCACAACACCAGGTTTCCAAAAAGCTGTTCCAGTAAAACAGGGATGTCAAAGCATGGAGTGGATGGGGCAGGTTGCTGGTTCCTGGTGAAACTTAGCAATTTTTATTTCATTCGCTATTATTACCCTTTTTGTTGCTTTTCTCCCTTGCCTTATAACTTGTATGGCCTCTCTGCAACAAAGGATTGCACAGTAATGCCACTATTAATTTTGCATTATTAATACTACTTTAATATAATACTATCAATATCATATTAAATTATTATTAGCAATATTACTTTTAGTTAAGCATCTTCATTGAAACATTTTCATCATTTTTTGTAATTGATACCCCCAACCCTGCATCACCACTTTTTAATTAGATCAGATAAAATTGCTACCAAGACTGATCTTGTGCTTAAGGTATCCCTGCAATTATCATGCTCTATAGGATATCACTCATCTCATGTAGCTCTGTTATGGGGCAATTTAAAAAACATTTCATTCCGGTTTAAAACTTTTGCAGGATAATGAAACAAGTTTTCAAGATCAAACAAGATGCATGGAAGAAAGACTATCTAGCCATGAAACAGACATTATCTTAGGAAAAAATGGCATGTTTTCCTCCTCCAATCTAGGTAACTTATGTAAAAAAATTGTTATTGTAACTTGTTAATGTTTGAAAGAATAAAATAGAAATTATTGGATGATAATTTGGGAAGCACGGTAAAGCATAATTTACTAAAGAGAACTTACTTGCTCCTGCACTTTTGCCACACAATATATCATGTTTATCATCACCTACAATTATAATATTATTGGGATCTGTATCCCACTTGGATGCTATATGAAGCAGTGCTGCAGGGTGTGGCTTGACTGGCTTGAAATCCCTTGTAAGGATCTACAAAAAAATAAGATTTTGAATTTCTGGTAGTGTGTTAAAGGCATTGAGTCATGGTAAATAGGCCTTCTCTATAGGGGGCCATTTGGTTTCAGCGTGATCGCCGCTGTTTCATGTGATATTTGCATCCGTTGTTGACAACTTGCTATTGATGAAAATTGCTTTGTCAATCAGTACGAGGTGCGTTCATGTGACCAGTTTCAGGTCAACCAATAGCATCACAGTCATGAAAATCATGACTCAGCGGATTTTGGCACTTAGGGTATACCCAATCCATTTTATCATGACTCAATGCCTTTAAGCATGTAAAACACAATTTGCTACTAAGACAGCTAAAATATTCTGTTAATCTTCCTTGCTCTTTTAAAAGCTGACCATTCAGAATAACTTATTTGATTGATACCACTACATATAATGGGATGTCTCAAGTGGACTCTGGTAAACTCTGGAATGTAAGCAAACAAACAAACAAACAAGTGAGCAGAAAACATTCAATAAGAAAAAACAACACAATTACTGCAAGTTTTATAAGAAATGTCAACTTATTGTAAGTTTTATTACGATGGCATGGCTCTTAGTTTTTCAACCCATTTAATGCGTAACATTATATCATATTGGCACGGATCTTAGATTTTTTCATAGCAAAAGCTTTGTTGGACCCCCTGCTATCTGTTCCTGGAAAAGCAGCATCTAAACATGTAAACCCTGTGGAAAACATCGGTTCATCCTGTCAAAATATTTCACAAGAAAAATAAACAATCAACTAACGATTGAAAATAGCTCGTGTGCATCTGCACAAACATTATCCGTAGCGCATTTTTCGAGAAAGTGTTTAACAGCAAGGGTGTTGTTACGCGTCACCAGGGCTAACTTAGGCCTGAGGCTTGTTTCATGGAGTAAAAATGTAAACAATTCTTCTATTCCTGGCTGGAGCTCCAGGCTTTTTCTTCCTTCTTCTTCAAAGGCTTCAATCGTTTTCATAGCATTGTCCTTTTCATTTCCAACTAAACTATCAACGTGAGCTAATATATCAATATTCTTGTTTATACAAAGTTGTTTTCTCAACTTCATGAAATCCAAACAGGGAACTGTCAGAGTTCCATCCATATCGAAAACTACTCCATGTAACTGTTTCGTGGTTAAGACGGACATCTTCACAGACCGGAGCACAAGATATTGCTTTAAATGGAGCAAATTTTTAGACCACGCTCGGTTTTGCAACATCGCATTTCACAGTAACTTACTTAGGCCGGTTGGCATCGCGTTTTGTAAGGAGACTGGTTTGGAGGTCGAGGGTCATCTCTCAAGACAACTTGCTATTCAAAGACCTTCAACGTGAAAACATAGAAGTGGAAATACGTGATACTTGGAAAAAACGGCCTTTTACTCACAAGAATGGAAATCCAGAAAGAAAACAAACAAAATTTGCTTATCGATTGTCTTTGTACAGCCCACCTGACCTATTACTCTTAGTACAGCCCACCAATCACTCTTAGTCTTTTTGCTTACTTGGCAGAAATTTGGCGGGAATTTTCTGCTTACGTTTAAGCTAAACGTTTTTTGCAAGAAACTTTGTTCTAAATATTTTTAAGTGGGTTTTTTGTAAATTCTCTCAAGTTGCAAAGATGGAATTCAAACTGTCTGATCTATATAACGAACTGAAATACAAACATTTTCAGCGGGCACAAATTAATTTTCCAACAGTGTTCTACTATTTCCCATAACATGGTCTTTTAATAAGAAAAACATGTTATCCCTCTTCTTTCAAGCCTCCTTCGATAATTAATCGATTAAGAATGCCTAGAACGATCTAGAATGAAAGCCCTTATAATCATGTAGTTGTAAATTCAGGTATATCTTCGACAACTTTTTTTCACATTTATGCTAAATACCAGGTCTGTAAAAGAACAGGGTTTCGTCCAAAGGCCCATTTATCCTTATAATTGAAATCATTTCAACCAATTTCAACAATGTATTTATTGTCACGTGATAGTCTTTTCATACGTTTGGCAATCCTAATCCAAAAATTTGTGTTGTCCCTGAGCACAATCTTTGCATATCAAAAGACCACACGTTTAAACTCTTGAGAATGATGAAATTTAAGGGATATCTTTGCTTGCAAACCGTGTAAAGATTACCTTTTTCTGGTCTTTTGAAGCTGCTTTGAAAAACACATGGTAAAGAAAGCCCACCATCCAAAATGGAAGCAGATTCTTTCGAAGCTAAATGGAATTAACTCAGTGTCCGATCAGATACCGTAATCAAATGAGCGGTTTAAACCGTACGCACGGTTTCAAATTAGAAAATGTTTTATAAGCTGCTTGAAAGAGTATAACAGATTTTATTGAATAAATTCATTAATTAGGAATCTCAGCAGTAGGTCATTTGGATGGTTTGCGCCGATGCGTATATTTCATTTTCCAAGAACTTCTTATTTCTAACTGAAACATTGCACTTAATTAGCTGGCTAGACATAAAAAGATTTTATCTTTATTTGATTTGATCCTAAGATGAATTAACGCTTTCAGAAATCAAATTTCGTTACAAACTTGCAGCTTTGAGAGTCAAAAGAGAATTGAAGCCGTTTCCTGATCAAAAGAACAGACTTTTCAATAGAAATTCGCATCTTCTGCTTATGTTATATCGCTGAAACATGGCAGCATAGCGCCAAATAATAGGGCATAAACACTTATATAAACATGGTAAGAGCACCTAGTTCATGTGCGTTAGGATTTAATACAATATCGATCGAATGATAAGTGTAGAGAATTTAGATACACAATTTCTTCAATTCTTAAACAAAAGCCTTTAAGGTCTACTATGAAGCTTCATTTGATTGTCTTCGCCGTTGTCTATTTTCTGCGCGTTACGGCGTTCCCTATTTTCGAAAGTTTATCTTCTTTATACGTCTAGAATACGTGCTACCGTGGCCTTTCTCTTTTTTGCATAAGGCTGACTATCACTTACTCAGACAACTAAGACATCCTAAGAGGTAAAAGAACAATGAAAAGTTGTCTGTATTTAGCTTAAGGTAGTAAACTGAAATTGGTTCATGTTGATATTATTTCATTCAAATTGGTTAGCTCTTTTGGACGAATCCAGTCACACAGTTTTCGATATTTTCAAGTTTCTACGACTCAAATTTTCAGCACTTAATCAGCCAAAGATTTCAGCCATTGGATTGCTGTAGAAAACCCTATAATCGACCATTCATTGAGTATTCCTATTCAAAGATTCTCAGTGAACTGTCCAGGGGCATAAAATGATATATGCACTCTTTTCTATAAGAGCCAGTAAATAAAAGTTCAGACTTACCGTTCTTAATTTTTTCGAAGATTGGAGGCTGGATTGTTCTTAGTTTGTTCTTAAATTAATAGGATGTAAAAGCAGTGCGATTGCTAGCTGTTTCGCTCTAGGGATGTGTTCAGGCCTCATTTGCCAAAAAAAGTGAGACAACCTTAATTTGCTGCCAAGTTTGAATATTCACCGAAAAAGCACCCAAACATGGCTTAAAATCCTCGTTGATGAGATAAAACGTTGTTCAAAATTGCATTTTACAGTAGCTCAACCATAGCTTGTTCTTAATTTGTTCTTAACATTTGACCAAACTGCGTTGCACTGATACACAGGAGCATTGTTCAAAACGAGGCAGGCTGACTGTCGCTAGGACCGGGAATTTTGTTTAATATTTTGTGTCAAAAGTTAGCGATTTATTTAGACAAAGTATGTTGCAAAATGTATCCTTCAAGAAATTCAAAACGGACAAGGCGTCAGATCGGCACGAGTGTAAGTAGATACTTTATTTAAATCAGCTAGAGTGAATGCTTGCATGTAGTATTTTTGCAACGCTAGCTAGGCCTAGTTTCCATGGCAAGGGAAAATGGATTCCATCGCCATCGCTGCATATTTATATTAACTAACTAAATGAAGATCTGCGTAAAACAATAATTACATATATTTTATTGCTTTTTTGTTGCCAAAGGGCTAAAGTTAAGAATTAAAATAATCAGCTGTTTTACTTGCGATGACTTTAATTTAAAGTTGCTTATATATAGTAGTATATAGGACAAAGCTGTTTAGGGACAAAGTATGTAGCATATTTTACCAGGAAAAAAATCTAATGGAGAGTCCATTATGCATCTTTGTGAAGTCTGTGATTTCCAAATGCATGATATCTACTACTCTTTTCCATTCTCTCTCTATTGTTATTTTAGCATCCCACTCTCTATACTGCGTGCAACTAAACACCCTGAACAATTTTAGAAAGTAGCACGAGGAATTCCATAACCTTTCACACCAGTGGTGCAGATTCAATAGAAAATGTCATTGGAGCGGGAAAACTAAAATTCTCAAGACTATGCCTGCTAGTTAGGTTGAAAACTCTTTATTCACCTGGGCAATAGAGCTTGAGCTTAATAGATATATAAACTAGCAAAATGATCTGCTCTATATTAAGCCTGTGAACTATGCTGATAGCAAGGCTTGTCCAATCCATACTTATAAGACATGGCCTTCAATAAATAGACCATAAGTTTCAGCCACAAGTTAATGTTTGTTGACATTTGTGTTATGTTAAATTTATTTATTCTTTTTTCTGTACCTACCATGAACCTCTTCTCTATTAGTTCTATCATCTGTGCCATTTAGGGTTCTGAAGGCAATGATTCATCTTTTTCTTCACTGCCAGTCAACAGCACATAAAGAAATATTTACAATTACTGCAAATATTATATCCAGTGGTGTTGCATAAGCATTCTTGCTGGGAGGGTATAAGAGATGCAAAACCGTATTATTTTACCAACATAATTTTTTTTGCTGCATTAATATTTCATCATAAATTTAATTCTACCAGTGAGTTCTCTGAAAGTTGAGGGGTGTACACCCCCTCGCATGCCATGCCCCTGATTATTCAATCCTGATGTAGCCATGGTTCAGAGCTATCTCACTCTCCTTCTGGTCCCTTCAATATTGCCAATTAGTCTGTCTGACTGTAGCAAAAATCTTAGGAATGGAGCACAAATGAAGCTTTTGCAAAATGCAAAAGATTTACATATTCAAATGTAAGGCAGGGAAGGAAATTGAATGCTTTGTTTTGAATGTTTCTCAAGTGTGCCTTTTCATATCAATGTCATATCAATATCAATTTTTACCCTGTGTAAATATTTCTATTATTATTATTATTATTATTATGTCTCTGCTTCAAAATAATACTTTTCATATCATGTACTATTCCTGACAAAAGTCTTGGAACACTGATGTCAGTTTCCAAGGTCAAAATCAACCCCCCCTCTCCCCCACGGAACAATGCTGGTTTACTATGAAAGGGGTTAGGATTTGGGGAAGCACTTTCTTTTGTGCTTCTTTATGATATTTCTCTAAATTATCAACATTGTTTGAGGGGGAAGGGATGGAATTAGTAATTTTTTTTGAAGAGGAATGAAAAATATGAAATGCAATGCAAATTTCTGGGTGTTCCAAGTACTTTTGGCAAGCATTGTTGTACCTTTTATAATTGCAACTAACCAAAATAGCTCTTTATTTCCTGTAGCGAATGTCTAGTCTCAAACAAACAACACAACTTGATGTATATTTTTGGCCTCCAGTCCCTCTTTAATTCTCATTAGTTTCATTCCTCGTTCCAACAGGAGTTTCTATCACCATCACAGATAAACTTTTAATTGCTCTATTTTACTAAAAGTTAATTAGTTGAATCTGTGAGAACCATGTACCAGAAAAATCATTATAATTTTCTCCTTTTCTCAATTTGAAAATATGTCCTCCCCCCAATGGCATTAGAATCTCATCATATAAATCTGTGGGTTTTATCTGCAAGGCATGGAAAATGTATTTTATTTAAATTGACTTTAAAATCACCTGTAAAGTAACTCTGAACCAAAATGAAAGTTTCTGGTATCTTTCTATTTGTTTTAATTCTCAGTTAACTTGATTTATGTGTAATTTGATTGACTGAGCTTAGAATAGTCTTGGTATTGATTAATAAAAAGCCTTGAAAATGCTTGTATGATTAACTCTTTTTGCTCTGATTTGGTCATGTTCAAATATTAATGATGTTTTGTGGTATTTAGGTGAGTACTGTGAACCTTGGTCTGAACTATGGTGTGGCAGGGAGCTCTGTTTCTGGAACAGCTAATCTTCATTCTCAGAAACTGGTGAGTTGAAGAATAATTGTCCTTTTTCTTTATTTCAATACTTTGACTTCAGGTTCAGTTTTGAAATAGCTTTCTATCCATTCCCGTTGATAAAATCTTACTGCGAATACCCTTGTTGATCTATTCTGTTCAATATACAAGAGAAAGACGCCTTATTATGTTGTCCTTCAATTTTTCTTTAAAAGTAGTAAATAGCTAAAAGTTTAGTTTGTTTGCTTTCAGGGCACCTCAGATGATTTGGCCCTAGAAATTGGCAATTCACTTCGAATGAAAAGCAGGAGCAACTCTTCAGGGTTAACCAAATCAAGGGTTCGGTCTCCAACAGTCAACGATAGACCAGCATCAGGAGATTCTTGTAAGGCACAATGATAAGCATTTCTTTGAACCATTCAAGAGAAATTAGCCATGGACGCTATTGAAATCCTATCAGAAATTTTATCAAGCAATAGCAAAGTTGTGTTTTATCAAACGGCCTTTCGTTGGTCCTTTAATGGTTTAAGAAATTAAAGCAAATTGTTTTTGAAAAAGGATAATCTTATAAACTGTTTGATTAATCTTGTATTTTCTGACGACGTCAGTTAATTGAATTTTATGTAATCTTTCCAAACATCAGTTGCTTTGGGATACCTCAATGTTTTTTTCTTACCAATTGCGGACACCTGGGGGTCGCCCCCAAATATTTTATGAGACAATGATCTTTGTTTTAAAACAATGGACAAATGTGAGGTCATCTTATCAAAAAAGTGGGCTTGCCCCCCTCCCCCATTAAATGTCTGCCACTGTACCTAACTCATTGAGCTCTTTTAAACATCTTTATAGTGAAATCATAATTCTTCTCTGTTTACTTCAGTTTACAAAACAAAAGTTGATGATTATGATCAACCATCAAGTAAAAGCTCGTGGCAAGCTGCATCTTCACCCTACGGAAAAGCGAAGCAGACGATGCAATTATCCAGCAAGTTTACGTCACAAAATTCATCCTTTCAGAATAGTCCAAGAGATTTTGAACGCAGTTTGCAACGAGGCGAGGATCCTGCTCATCCAATGAACAAATCAAGTCCCCACTTTTACCTTCCAGGTAACCTATTCGTTTTTGTGTTAGGCTAAAGCGATGTTAGTAGCTCTTTTTCTTCACTTGAGACTTCTAAACGGTTCCTTTCTTCCGAATTTTCTTTAGATTTTCTCGACATTATCTAATACCTTTTAAAATTATCTTCTTAACTGATTGCAGCATTGCATTCTAGATTTCGGATAACATTGTAAATCAAAAACATTTCACAAGCTTGCCAAAACAATGCGCGCTTCAGTACTCAATAAAATTTTCAAATCGACTTTTTGTCATTTTCTCACTTTAATGATATATGCAGCGTCAGAAAATCTGGAAATTTCTAGTGTGAAAAAAATCGAAATTCAAAACATTTTTGTTGACAAATAGTGGCAACAAATTTATAGGGTAGCTTCCCTTTTTATCTTATTGTAGACTTAAACGAGCAGTTAAAAAGAGCACTTTGATTTATAGACTCTATGAGGAAACGCCCCGTTTTGTCTGCAGAAGATCGAGTCTCTTGTCTTTAGATTTATGAAGCGGCTTACTTCCCTGGCCAATCTTACGAAACATGTTGGTGTGATTTAAACACATTCCAGATTTTCTAGTAGGCTTCACCCTCTGGCTGGGTCACAATTGATGTGTCTGTTTAATGGATATACCCAAGGGAGTGGCTTCTGAGCTTTTTGAGGTTCAGATTGTCCATCTTCCCGAAGGATATAAGAATTAGCCAGCTAATTCTTTCACTGTCCAGATATATTTATTGGATTTCTTTGCTTTTCCAAAGCACCACCCCTCTGATTCTTAATGGTTTTTAAATCTTTTCTAAACTTCGATGAAAATTTTCTTTTTCTCTAAACGATCCTTTGATTGTAAATAAGGAATGCGGATTAAAGTACCTGGTGTTAGCTTCTTCAATAGTTATCTTTTTGCCTTGTCATACAATATTCCATCCCCTTAAAATAAGGTGGTCTTGTTTGTTTTGGTAATCTGAAAGTAACAGAAACAACGTGTTGTGATGTACAGTTAGTTAAGCATCTTAATCGGCATTTCAAGGCCTTTTTTTAAGTGTAGAAACTCAAGATTTTACTGTAAACCGAGAGATTTGTTTAATCATAGATGATGTGTCACAGTGTCCTCAAGATAAAAATTTTCAATAAAGTATCACATTGATTGCCCTATTTATGCATGGAATTAGTTTATTCGTTTCTTTGTGCCGTTAGAAATTACATTTAAAGAATTAAAGAATGGAGCATTCTTGAAAAGATCCTAAATATCTTATTTTTTGCAAACCTAGGAAATTGTTTCATCAATTTTTCATGATCCTAAGAGACATCTAGAAATGCGTTCTGCTTTGTTGTAAAAAATGCCAATTTACATTGAAGAAACACTATCAAACCAGTATTATAATCTACACGGAGATAGATAGATTATTGTAAGCGCCAATTTCTGGTCTTGAAATGATGATTTAAGGCGGTAGTATCACCTTGTACCAGTGGGCGGACGCTGTGTCCACGAAACAGCTGCTTGGCAGTATTGCCTTTCACATCTTAATACGGCTAAATCTCTGAACTGCAAAGGCATCCTGGTGTTCTTCTTTCAATGTTACTGTCAATTGTCATCAAGATTACAGTTGCTGAATGCAATTGTCATTTAAACCCAATTTGCTTTAGGTAATGGCTTATTGTCCATTAACATGAACAGGTGTAAATAATCTAAAGTTTTTGAGAAATTCGGCCTGAAAGCTGTCCAGATTATCGATAAATTGTTGGAATTCTGTGAAAGTAGGCAAGATGATAATGTTAAGGTTTGACAGCTTTAGAACCAAATAAATCTTTGTTGTAATGTGTCAGTGAGAAGTATTTTTTCGTATTCTCTTTCTTGCAACTCTTTCTTGCTTGTATTTTTGCTCGTAGCCCTCTGTTAGTTAAAATTTCCTTTTCAGTTATACCTTTTGTGAGAAATATTGTCATCTATAACTTAAAAAAACTCATTCTTGCAGAGATGTTTAGGTGGTTATTCCGCTTTTTGTTTCAGAATATTTTCTTAACTTTATTTAAGTGTGCAGGATTTTACTTTTTTAGGTGATAGAGTCATTTTTACTGAAGATATTGCTGCGCCTGGTATTCCAGTAATTTACCGAATCGAAGATGAAAGAAGAGCTAATCCCGATAAACTAAACCTAGACAGGTTATATATTTTTATTTTTCATCTTACTTTGGCTTAAGTTGTCTCTAAAACTGATTTGTGCCTTGATAAATCTCACCAAATCGCCCGTAAGTGAAATGGTCATAATGAGATATTCCCCAAACTGTAGATTCCAAAGCCTACATTCCAACTAATTCAAACATTGTGAAGACATGAAATAACTTTTCACTTGATCAAGTATAGAATTATAAAGAAATGGGATTAAAGTAATCAATGGAAATCTTTTGTAGTATTCCTTTAAAAGTTCAGTCTTTAAGTTTCTCACAGGGAATATTTTTGTGGTTTATATCTTAAAGGGACTATCTTTCGTGTCTTGTGATTTCTCTTAAAATAGTTACGGCTGCAAACTGATTATCCTCCGATAGAAGTTCTTCATTCTTGAGTCATGGACAAAAAACTTATCGAAAACTTTAACGTTAAATTACAGGGTGTTTGTAAAAAGGCCTATGCCACAGAATTTGGTCTTTTTTAAACGTCATTTTCTCTCTTGCAATGAAAAATAAAACTTTTTTGAACTATATTGCAATGGTAGCGGCTCCCTTTAACATAACTCTAACTTTTTCCAGTTTTTATTTAATTGCAGTGTCTCTACTCTTTTTATAGAAATATTTTTACCCAAAAAAGCATGCTAAGTCTGCATTATATCTTTTCTACTAATCATGCAATCCCACCAATGTTTTGCAATCTGTTGCCTCACTTTTTAAATATCTGTATCTATTGTCCATTAGACGTGAGGGTAAACTATCATTGCATTGAAACTGCATTATTCCAGTTAACATTAATTAATAGTGACATTAAATCATAGTACTTAACACGGGTGTCATCAATGCTTTAAGTAGTCTATATGCAATTGAAAATCTGCCAATAGATTGTTCCATTCAAAAATTTTTGCCGGTAGATGCATATTGAAAAACGAAGCATATTTTACTATTACTCATGAACCACTGTTATAACTAACTCTTTTTCTTATGGTAGTTGATCCTTAACCATGTAACAAAATATTTCTATTCCAGACGCGGCCTCACTATTTGCCCTATTATAGAAGGAGAAGAAGGTCTTCGTTTGCTGAATTTTCAACATAACTTGATTCAAAAAATTGAGAATCTAACATGCTTTCGAAAGTTGATATTTCTTGATCTGTATGACAACCAGATCGATGGAATAAGTGGCTTGTCAAGTCTGAAGTCATTAAGGGTTCTTATGCTGGGGAAAAATAGGTAAAATTGACAAGATTCCATTTTCATTTTCATATTTTATTCTTACTTATGATATTTGATGATATTTCTCTTGCAAGCCTAAGCAATCAAGTTTTTAAAGAAATTGTAAAGTGGCTGTGTTTATGGTCCTTAGTTTTCATCCTGTCTTCATCTTTGCATTAAGAAAGCACAACTTGAGCTTACTTCATGTTTTTTTATTCTTGTTTCACAATCCATATGTGGGTCTCTCTTGTAATAGCATTTGCCTAATATTTCATCACATGGATACCCGTTTCTACGCAAGGTCAATTTGTTGCCAGTGCCTTTTTATTTTATAAGCTCCAATTTTCTGCCTGCAACTGGATTCATTAGCTTTCTAGCGGAAGGCAATTGATATTTTAAATCTTTTCTTCTAAGTGTCATGACACTAGTCACGTTGAACAATAAATATGAAATTTCTGACATTATAATTAACGACGATGACCCCTTAAGACTTCTCCCGCCAAAGACCTCCCAGTGATAGAATCACCTTGGTCCCATTGAAATCGTCACCTTGCACTTTATCAATTGTCTACTCTTTTAAGAAATTGTCAGTTGTCATAAGATTTGTCTGTTTTCTTAATTCAGGATTAAGAAGATTGATAATCTTCACGATTTACTGAAGCTTGATGTGCTGGATCTCCATGGGAATAAGGTTTTCTTCGCAAATATAATCTTGTGTTATGATAGAATTAATTTGATAGGATGAGGATTTATCGATGAAATATCATGCAGAGTTATTGCATTGCGAAATCGTCTTATTAAAGTTGTCTGTAAATTTCAACGGATTACATATTCTAATTTTTTCAAAGAACTCATTTGATGAAGATATGGAAAAATCTTCTTTGTCACCTTCTTTGTAAACCAACACTTGTTAAAAATTTCATTGAAAGTATTGCTTAAAGATAACCATTGATGTCTTACAGCGATTACAAGCACTAACGCCTAGGTGTCTGCAATATTTACCTAATATGTATTAGCCTGGTTCTGCTTTCACAGGTATTCATTAAGACACTTCACGTGAATCATGAGCACCGAAATCATGAATCTGACACTCTATTTTATTTCAAATAATCACACTTTCCTTTCTTCTGTCAACTTTCAAAGCCATAAGCAACCTTTTATTTTGCATGCTTAAATGTGTTAGAGCTCAAACCTGACTGCTTTTTAAAGAGTTACTGATTTAGCACCATAATTTACTCCTTACACTACTGAAACAGTTATTTTTCTGGGATGAAGTGTTTAAGATTTGCAGTTATTTCACAGAATATCTTTACTTTTTCAGAACGGCTTGTTTAATGGAGTGACTTACCAGATATTAAGTTTTTTAAGAACTTTAATATCGCTATCTTTAACGCTTCTTTTTTTAACTAACCATTCCCCTGTCGATTCATAAATGGCAATGTTTGAAAAAAGTTGAAGCTTGCTTTCAATTTTTTTGTTTTGAAGATAAAAAGACTTTTAAAGTCGCACTTTGCAGTAGCTATACCTCTTAACTTGCTTCAAGTCAAAATATTCCAGCGCTTATTATGTCTACAAAATTTAACTATGCATACGTGTGTAGAATCGCTTTCATTCCTAATTAGCTACGTTTTAAAAGCAGGTGAAATTTTCCCTCGTTGATTTGAACTGTACATTCCTTGTCCTTACTTTCTGTAAACATTTCTCATTGCAAAGCTGCGTTTTGTCTTAAATGTTCAGCTTTGACTAGTTTCATCATTCTAGTCTTGTTTATTATTGCTTTTTAGATTGTGAAAATCGAAAATTTATCTCACCTGCTGGAGCTTCGAGTGTTAAATTTAGCTGGCAATGAGATTTCGGTGGCAAATAATCTAAGCGGCCTTGAGTCACTGACTGAGTTGAATTTGAGAAGGAACAAAATTGGGTCCGTTGTAAGTTTGATAACATGCTATGCGATTTTGATATATTTCTTTTCGATTGTAAGTGTTATGTTCCACAAGATTTTGAAACTAATTCTTGGCATGTACTAAGAAGCTTGATTTTACGCTGGGGTGTATCTATTATTCTAAGTTATTCTTTTAAATTTCCTTATCACTGAAAATCTGAGTTTGAAATTTTTAGATTTGATCTTTAGGTAGGCGCTAATAATTTTCCATTTCTGTCATTTCCTTTACGAAATAACTTGACTTTCCATTGATAATCCTCAAAACTCTATGGATGAAATCAAAATTTGTTATTGCAGTCTTTACAAGTCATCCGTCCTTTTGACGATAAGCTTTTTTGCCGTGCACGTTAAGGTGTGTACGATTGTAAATTTATCAATTGATTATTGATCATCGCTTCATATTTATATTTCAGTATGAAATTAATCTACTCCCAAGCCTACAAAGACTATTCCTTAGTTACAATGAAATTAAAAGGTAAACTCTTTCACTACATTTTTAGCTTTGATTACTTAACGTTTTGTTTATTTTTTCTAAGTATTCACACAATAAAAAAAACTTATTTGTCATTCTTACTTGATTCATTTCTTCACTTTTCTTCATTTTTGAAATTTTAGTTTTTCCAAGACCTTTCAGTTTTCTTGAGCAACCAGACGTTGAATTAAGATTCTATGATGCATCATTTTGTGGCCAAGAGATCTGTTAGAGGAATATGATTTTATTGGCTATGTAGGTCTGAAAATTGACAATTTGGTTGTCTAATGTTTACCTCCAAGCTCCATATTTTATATTACAAAAATAATACCCACAGAAGTTTTTTTTATTTTTCTTATATCCATCTTTTTATGGTAGTCTTCTTTGAGTTTAATTCCGAACTAAATTCATTCTGAAATGTTCGCATTGAAAAAATAATTTTTTGACGGTTATATAGTAAGCTTTATCTAATTTATTTCATTGTATATTTAGGTATGAAAAGCAATCAAGATATTTTTATTGTTAAAGCTTTCAGGGCATTTCGTGTTTGACATCATCAACATCTCTCACTGAGTTGTCACTGGATGGTAATCCTTTTGCAAACGATTCTTTGTACAAACAAACAATCCTACAGAATGTTTTATCCATAAAACAATTGGACATGAAAAAAATCTCTGTAAGTACTAAGAAGCTGTTTTTATTTAAGTGTTTTTATTTAGATTGCGTTTTTCAATATTTTCGTTTAATCTTTTTTCTTTTGTTTTTGAAACAGCTTGTAGCACATGTAATTAATCATTGATAAGTATTTGTCCAAAGTTGCTCAAAATGCTGGATTTCAATATATTTCTGTGTCTTATTTAACCGTTAAAGGTGAGAAACCTCCTCGTTCGAGACAAATTCAGTTCTCATTTTTCCATCCCAATTTGCCAGACTATTATAACCATAAGGAAATTGTAGTTTCACAAACTTATAGCAGTAATAGACACGATTCCCTTTTCATGTAAATGGGAAAGTATTTTTCTATATGAAAATTTCCTTTCTTATTTGGATGTTTACTTGTTCCTCATGTATTTGTATGTGTATTTGGATGGAAACTGAACAAACCTTCTACGTGAATGGCCTGAGCTAAAAGCAGAGTTCCCCCAGCGTTTCCTCTTTGCCAAAAATATATGTGAAAATCATCCAAGCATAATGCATGAACTAACGGTCATGCCAAAGTATCTTTCATCAATTTTCACCCTCAGCTCATGCAGTCATGTCTGAATTGCACTCAACTGAAGGCCCTTTGTAGAACCAGCCTCGACGCCTATAGGTTGTTACGGTGCAAATTATTTGTCTTTAAAACAGTGCAAATTTTAAAAAGAAAATACATCATATAGCTACTTTAAAATAGAGTTCAGCGCAAGTTCTGTTCCTATCTGTTTTTACTTGGTTGATTTTTTTGTCAAATAAGTATCCATAATTTTCTTATTACCACCTTATTTTTTATATAGAAAGCAAGGCTAATTCATCTTTTAGGCTAAAACTGGGCCTAAGAACGAGAAAATAAAATGTTTTCTCAAATGATAAGTCATTTTCGATAGCATCTTACTATCAAATGTGAGGTTTACTATAAAATGGGAAGTTTTGATAACTGTCGTGTATATTAAATGTATTGTCTTCAGTTTTCAGCAGAGAGACCAATATTTGAAGGTTGAGGAAAATTTTGATTTGTTTTAAGATTAATTCAAACGAATATATGTATTTGAAGACCAACAGTAATATCCTAGAAACTTATCCTTTTAGCTATGCATTAAGTCAGTTTTAACTCCTCTACGAATACATGATCATCATCATATTAGCGCTTCAGGCCACTGCCAACAGATGCCCTTGTGCCTTATGCAATCATCTACATGTTTCCACAGTCCCTCTCATTCTTTTCTCTCCATCTCGCCCTGGGCCTCCCTCTGGATCTTCCTCCTTGCCGTGATGCCCACTCTGTTACTAGCTTTGCCCACCTGCTATTTTACATTCATTGGCTTTGAATTATTCACATTTTTTCATGTCACGCAATCTTCTAAGAATACCTTCCGAAATTTTTTCACTCTAGATCAGTTGTTGCGAGTTATCATTGAAGAATACGTTAACCTCGTAAAATATGAAATAGATTTTAAGCCACCATCAATAAAGATCCCTAACAACCATCAAATATCATCTCCTACCACCGAACAAGTTCTCCCTCTTTTTGGTCCATGGCCAAGATCGTCACCAAAACTTTTGCGAATCCCCTATTCCTCCCTCTTTACATCAACCTCTGCCTCCTGTTCAATTCTTGCTGATCAAAGATAATGATCTTTCCATTATCCCCCTTTTACTCTATTAATGTCACCAATCAAGTTCTCAACCTGCAATGAACGCGAATCTCGTCTCCTACTAATCACTTCTAGGTCGACAGGACCTGATGATATACCAGCAATTGTTCTTAAAACGCATTATACCCCAGTACTGGCACCAATTATTATTAAAAATTTCAGCTCTCGTATTTACTCTGAATATTTCCATCCTCCTGGAAACTAGCCTATGTTTATCTATTCCTAAAGAGAGGGACAGGTCTGACCCCAACAAATATCGTCCAATCACAATCAATCCTCCCATCTCTCAAGCCAAGGAGACCATCATCACCAAACGACGTCTTACCCACTGGTGGTCTTCTAGCCTATGCTACTCATGTTTGGCCTATTGCCCTGGAAACATTTGCTGAGGGCAGAATGATCTCTTGACAACTCCTATTTTCTTTTCCAAATTCACGAACTATGTCCCACAACTCATCCTTCTTCCCCAGATCTTTTGAAAGATCTACTCCTTTCCTGCTTCCTAGACTCTTCTAATCTGTCTTTATTCAAAACTAACATTAAACTCCCCCTCTCCTCTATTGGCTTCCGAGTCTTTCCTGGCATTACCGACTTAAAACATGCTTTATTATTTGTTGAGGTTTAAGGGATGCTTGTATTATGAAAACCGTCTCATCCTTTTCCCTTGATCTATTTATAGGATAATTTAATACAAAGAAGGTGATTTTATCAAAATGTCTGATATCAACTGATATCAAAAACATTAAAAAAAATTAACCCAAAGTTTAAACGTTTACTTGCTTATTGATACTTTGATCGTCTTTCTCTTTTATTAGCCTATGCATGAATGAAAAGACTTTTCCTACCTGGTAGTTTCTTAAAAAATAAGACAAAGATTTCCTAACCCTTATTAAATTCTGGGCAGTTATCCTTAAAAATCTTAATTCTAAGTTGATTATATCTCGATCTTTCTCAAATAGAATTATTCTCTATTGTCTTGTGCTTCTTCTCGTTATAAAGATAGTGTCTTGCTCTTCAAATATTAATTACCTCGTTAATAATTAAAAATCATATTCTTTAGGACGAGGAGCGGAGGATAGTTTCAACAATGGCGAGAAAGGAAGACGAGAAGCGTCGTGAAATCGAGAAGATATCATCATTGAAGGTACCAAATATTTTTTCAAACCATTCCTTTTTGCATTGCGTTAATCGTATCATTTGTATTCGCTCTCTGTGTCATACTTAAATTATCTTTTAATTGACGTATTTATAATACGTTAAGGTTTCTATGTGATCGTGCAAATACTTCTATCAAAATTTTCCATTTCATAAGATGTGGTTTATCACCAAATTTTGTTACTTTGTTTACACGCTTGTTGTCTTGATTGGATTAAACTACTGAAGTTGTGTATAGGCTAGTGATTGTCTTGATCTAAAACTGCAAACTGCTTTTTGAAACAGCTCTTATTTGTATCGTCAGCGGACCAGTCGCGAAAGCAGTTTAAAAACTGTTTTTACATGTTGATTCCCCTGTAATACTGACAGTCGAGACGTCTGATCGCGATACAGTAAGTACCCGCATTTAAGAAACCGCTTTTTTACACTGAGACCTGAAAAAGTTTTTTCATTAGCAGAGACTTCATCATCAGGATCTACGTTTCTTATCAATAGGTACTGTCAAGTCAAATAAAGTCAAGCTATATGACAGTACCGTCCATAGATGTGTATTCAATGTTACTTGTAGTAGTGTATAATACATGATCGATAATAGAACTTCTCATATCAATAGAATATGACTGTTTACACTTGAAAATAAAAAACATTTTAATTTCAGACATTAGATTGCTTCTAATAAATTGAACCCCTTTTGACGAAAATGAGGCCTGTTTCTTATACAAAGGGGTTTCTTATATGTGGGTACTTACTGTAGTAACTGAAAATGTTTAATTAGCATTTTTTTTAACTCACTTTTATCTCATTGCGATCACATACGGTTTAAAAAAGGTCGAAAATTACTGATAGCCCAACAGTTGGCTACAGGTGACCGAAATTAGGATCTTAAAGTCTTTTGTAAAGTAAAAATGGCGTTTGATTCTGACAATCAGTTGTTGCAAGCTTGAGATCTGGGCAGTTAATTTGCCGCTAGTGTCTAAAGAAAACGAGTTTAAAGCACATTAAAGGCTTTCGATTGACGTAGTACGAACAGAAGGCTTGTAAGTTTGTCGAGTTAACGCTCTCTGTTTCTTTAATATTGCTAATTGAATTGAGTGAATGCAACGCCCAACTGCGGATTATGTTGTACAGGAGCACGTATTTTAAGAAAGTATTAAGATAAAGCAGGCAAAGCCATGGCTCAGTCCAGACTTGCTGGTTGCAATAAGCTGCTTTAATACGAGAACGAACGATACCCGAAGTTTCTTATATCTGGATAAATGCGTCTTTAACAAGAGTAGCTGAAGCTTTAATGTTGACCTTATGATAAGGGACACATATCTTAATTCTTTTGAAAATCTCTGCCTGGAAATGCTGTTAAGAATTTGATTTATAGAGATAGAGTCAAAATTACGGGTAATAGCATGTCCGAAACCCTAGAACCACTATCAAATGCCGTCGAGGTTTAGTAAAATCGCAGTGGTACTTTCCTTTGGTTAATTTTGACAGGATGATAGATTTAGACTTAATTAGTGAAAATGATTATACGCCAACTCCCGCGAGAAAATTCGCCAATGATTGTTTCTATTGTAGCTCTGAGATTAATGGATATTTCTGTCAAAAGTTAAATTTCCACTGAAATTCGTTTTTTGGCCTAATCCTGCATATTCGGTTGGGTCTAAGCCACTCCACAGAGTGTAATCCTCACGCTTAAAAATGCTCTTGTTATTGGATTTCTTTTAAATGTCTGCCCTTTCTTAGAATCGTGTCTGAAGTTATACTGTATTATCTCCAAATGTTCTTTGCTGTCGTTTTTTCGTTTTTGAGTCGACAAAGGACACAAGTGAAGTTGTATCTGCCTTTTCTGACGGAAAATCAAACTCGTTCTTGAAAATTCATTTTGCCGAGAAAACGTTTCTATGGCAGCCTTTAGGACCAGAGGTGAAGGAGAGTTTCTTATGTTCACGATTCTTTTTCCCCGCGAACTCTGTAAACGGCATTTTTTCAGAGGAGTAATACCACAACCTTGTACAAACGTGCAAAAATCATTCTGTGGTGATAAAGTCTAGAGAATATCGCAACCAAATGGAAACGAAAGCTTTTTTACACCAAAATCCGACATCTATGCTCGAAATTGTTGAACCACAGTCAACCAAAAAAACCAGCTAAAAACAAAGCAATTGAAATTACATCAAATTAGGTGACTGTAATTAAAATGACGCCTCGATTGAGGGTATCAAACCCAGTGATGTCGCTCAAGAATTTCAAGCAGTATGTGACTTTCGTTTTACAGAAATAGCTGCAATAAAACGTCAATTCTTGCTTACCTCTGTTTTTCAGGGGTACTCTCTGCTCCACTTCTGCTTCAAAGCCATTTCTTATCAGTATCCCATACTTGATTGGCCCTCAGAGCCTTTCAACAATCCTTGATGCGATCATCTTTCTAAGATGTAAGCTGAAGAATATACACGATTTTCGTGTTCTACATCCACCACATGTCCAGTATGATTTATGAAGCTCTTTCTCGAGGACTTTGAAAACCAATTTTTCATTTTTTAGCATATGATGTTATTGTCTTCGAACACCATTCCATCAATCTCATTCTTGCATTTACAAGGGAAGCTTTCAATGTTTTGCTTTACTTGTCGTGCCTCACCAGGTGGCCTAGGTACATGGATCTCCAGCAGTTGTTATGTTCACTTTGATCACTCTTTTCTTGTTTAACCAACATTCTTCTCCATTTTGAATCAATGTAATTTACTTTCTTTAGACCTGCTCCTGAATATGCCCGCTGGATATCAACACTCTTTGCCTTTCAAATGACAAATTGTAATGAATTTGATGCTTATCAAAACCCCTTACTGTCCGTCCATATTTCTATATAATTTATGTAACTATAGAATCTCTTGAAAATCAGTTAACGCTTCTCTTGGGTAAGATTATTTGTTTGTTTTATTCTAATTTTTTGTTTTCATTTTCATTCAAATTTTATCAAAGTTTTATTAGCGCTTATTGTACGTCGAAACAATTTTACACCAAATCGTGAAGAAAATGATGTTTTAAACTTCTGCTGTCCAACATTTTGCTATAGGAAAGAAGACAACTTGCGATCAATAATGCAAAACGCCAATTTAGGTCTCAGATTTTCAAAAGGTTTGTTTACCTTTTTGCTGAGAATTTTCATCATCGTCATTATAATCATAATCCTAGTCGGCAGTAATTTATTTTCACCACGGGGTCGATAATTATCCTTTATTTCTTAAGGTCTTGTGCAACTTTGATAAGTTTCTTACTGTTTAAAGAACCCTAGACAGATGATGTTGACATTTTGAACCCCACCCCACGTCCAAGTTGAATTTCTTGCTATCAAATCATGTGCGTCCCAACTTTGTATGTGGGGTATACATGGAACATTTTATGACGCTAGGGAGAACCTTTAGAGGTGCATGGGTAATATCTATTCTCACCAATACACCTTGTAAAAATTTAATAAAAATCTTAAGAAATGTATCTAGATGAAAACATTGAACAGCATTGGAAGAATGAGAAGGCAAATTTAAAACACGGAAGCCTGAAGCATTTTGCTAAACCATAATTCATTGCACGTTTAGATAGATCTTAATAATTAAGGTGTGCCAATTTTGGTAGTTGGATAACTGCCTTTTCCAAGAATGTATCCTCAATGAAAACTGCAGTGGTTTTAGATATTATGAGGCTTTTCTTTCTCTGTAATCAAATTCCAGATTTCATTTTGTATTTTATTTATTGCTAGTTCCAACGCAGAAAATGAGCTCAAAGACAAATCTGAGGACTCGACGACCCCAAGAAAGACGTAAGTTTTTTATATCTCAACTCTCAGTTTTTGTGTTTGAAATACGGGGCTGTGGAGAAGTTACCAGCAGAACGAAATGTTAGAGCAATATTCAGCAATATTGTCATTTTGAAAAGATATTATTTTCGTCTCTAAAATTATCTTTTCAAATACCTGTTTTTTGTCCTTTCCAAACTTCAGTTGCTGTTTATGAAATGATTTGTGAAATGATCCCAAAATAACCAGAATTTTCAAAGAAACTCAAGCACTACATTCAAGATTTCCTTATCTTTTGTTTACTGAAACAAAAATCGAAAATTTGAATTCTTTATCTGTAACTCATATTGCATTTTCCAACTTGCTTTACAAAAGCCACGACGTGCGTAAAACATATAAACGTTAATAGTGTTGTTCTTGTCCATTGGTTGATTCATTGGGTTGGTTCATATCTGATTTTATGTGTATGTGATAGAACTCAAAAAACGATGTAACTGTATGTTGAATTTACTACGAATGAGCATAGCGTTTCTTGTTTTTGTTTCTAGATCCTCAAACAAGACAGATTACAGTGTGTGCCACTTGGCAGAACTTGACGATAATCGCCTGAATTTCTATGGACCCGGATCATTAGAGGCTGTTGATAGAAACTGGGGCGAAAAGGCAGCCTCCTCTGTCACTTTCATTTCATTTCACTTTATACATTTTGATAGCATCGTGCCTTTCCTCTCAAAGATCAAAAACAGATTCGTTAACGTATCGGTGAGCAACGTATTTCAATATTCTTTTTCCTTCTAGAGCCAATTTGATAGGACAATTGTTTTAAAAATTCACAATTCAGGGCTCTTATCGACTTTTCTATGTCAGATATTTGAGCAGTTCTATAATAGACAAATGCGCGGTATATTTCCATGACGTTATTTATGAATTTCAATACTGATTTCCTGTGCCTTATCTATTGTCATAGGTGCTATTTCTTTCTGGATGTTGGCATATAGTTTAATGCAAAGGCTCTTGAGACAAAAGGATGCATCTGATTTCTGTTTTTAATCTAATATTGTTTATGTCTAAGCTTTGAATAAGATGATAACTTTTTCAAGGCTGAATCTAAGTTACTTTGGTAGGGAAAAACCCTGCTTTTTATCATTGAGTCTCAGCCCTGCTTTATACCATCGAAATTCATTAAGTTAAAATATCTCTTCAGTTTTACAAATTAGCTTATCTTCTCAACGTATGACCATGTCACGACAGAATACAGGAAACATATGACTTGTCCGGAATTGCGCAATAAGAAATAGTCAGTTAATTACAGACCCGACACTTAAAGTGGCTTTTTGTGCATTTATTAGTCTAAGCTAGATTCAATTTCTAATAGCATATCTGGGTACTTGGACCACCAAAAATTGAACAGATAGTGTCTGCATTTCTGTTGGGCTCCTGTGCGGACGATTCTATACATGTTTTAATGAATTTTTACCAAATAACAAGTTTAGTTGGAGGTCGGTTCTGTTCCTCGACACAGCATTTTTTTATAAATTTGACGGTTTTTATTGCTTAATTGGCTTTCTACCATCAAGAATGAAAGTGTCTTTGTGCTTTTAAACTGTCTATATTAACTTACGATACTTTGGTTGGAGGTCTCATTTCAAGGAATTTGTCATTCTTCTTTGCCATTTTTAGTTCAATGAAAGATTTTATTATCTGCTGTTTTCTTAAGTCAACTAGCTAGGGCTAGGGAACTTGATAGTGTTCAGTGGTGCCTATGCAAAACATTCAAGTACAAAATGCAGTTAACTGTCTGTTTATTTAGCAGTAAGGAGCATTCTTCCCTTTCTGTTGATGTATGAAAGGATAACGCAATGAGGCTCTTGCTTCATTTGATTTGGCCTGCTGTCACGAAAGTCAGGCATCAGCAGCAATCAAATAAATGCCACTTCTCCAAGAATAAGTTTGAAAAAAGACTTTGATAGAATATGGATTATGTCAACATGTAAACAGTAGACTTGATGAAAATTGAAATTTCGTACTCAATTTCGTTTTCTTAAAGTTGTTTTCAAGTCTGTTAAATCTTTGGGCATGCTAATAAAACATGTTTGAATACTTCAACAGTCTCATCTCCAAGAGATCTTTATTTTGCTGCCTTGTCTGGGAACTGTTTAAAGCTACTATATATATAAAAGAAACATAAGTTGGGCCAATTCTACAAATCGTTTTATCTGGTTTTTGGTTACCTTATTCTTTCAACGTTTAAAAAATTGTTTTGCTATTTTTCAATTTTATTATGAAATATAATATAAGACTGAAAATTATCGGTTATAATTCTACACCTGATTTCTTTGCCTTTCATTGATTTTCCAAATTTGAAGTCATTCCTTTATTTTTGTTTCCACCTTAAAAATTTTTCTGATGCTTTTAAGATACTTTATTATTTAAATAATGAAAAATTACTGTTTACCGGTCTGTCAAGTTGTAGACGCGTTTAATGTAAAGAATTGAACGGTTCTAAGTTGCTAGTCTGAGTTTCATGCTTATTGCGATCATTAGGCAACTGCTTTGATTATCCTAAATATATGATTATATTTCCTGGATTTTTCTAGACTTTGTCATTTGGCGAGACCAACATTTGTCACTTCAACCAAATAAGTGCCCTGGCAAATTTACGTGCTCTCGAAGAACTGGTTATCGAAGAAGCAGGAAACACAATCACGGAATTCTCAATGTGGAAACCCTTTGTTCTATACAGGTTGTCTCATTTGTCGTTGCAAAAGATCAATGGTAGTGAGGTTTGTATCCTTTTTGTTGCAATCAAATACTAACGAAAATATTTCAGGGCAGTGACACAATTCATCATGTGGTGCATCTAATGCAAAGTAAGATGATAGCTTTGATAAGAACGAAGTTGTCTAAAAGCGATGAGAGAACTGGGTCTTTTCTATTCAATGTTTATCACTAGGAAACATGCCAATCGAATAAGAAGATTTCATTATTATTTATAAAGGTTATTCAGATGACAGCCATTTTCTCTTGTTAGGTAACTACCAGGGACTCGGTTCATGCTGAAAAGGTTTTTGGCGCACTTGGACATGTGATGACGTCACAGTTACTCCAATCTCGTTTAATATCAATGTTGGCAAAACAGAAGTAAGTTTTTTCCTTTCATCGTTTATCTTTTAAAGTGCTGTTATTACAAACAGTAAACAGGTTTAATTAACATCGATAGACATAGCATTTACAAAATTCCTTCCAGGTTAAGGATTTCTATAGATTTGTGGAAGAGAATTAATAAACGGCCGCTTTTCTCACTTACAATTCGTGTCACACTTGGCCACACAAAGTCAAAGTTTGTCAATTTTCAATAATGGCAGGAAATTTGGTGGTCTCAATTCTCATTCGTCTTACTTTAAGTCCATTTAAAGTCGATCAGGTTGACAAAACTGAAATAATTGACTTTGGCTTGACTGTTGCTACGTCGGCTGTCGTGGGCTTTAAATAATATTTTGAAGATTTCTGACTCTGTCTTTCTCCATCACCTAGCACCCTTTGTAAGTAAAATATTTTGCAGATTATAGGTGCATTGACTTATAGACCCTGAAAGACGTTTGAGCCTTAATAGAAAATGAGTTTGTCACCAATTTCTACTTTACTAGCAATCTGCTGTTCCCCATTAGAATTAAATGTTAAAGCTCTTAGAAATGCAGACTTATTTTTCTGTCAATTCGTTGTGCTTTGCAGAGAAAATTGGCCTTTTTAGTGAAAGCCAGAGGTTGACGATATATATCAAATTGAGATCTCATTCTTATAAAACAGTGATTACGAATAGTCCATTGGTTTTGTTTTCGTTTTTGCTCTTTGTGTTAGTTATGAAATGAGAGTAGATTTTTCACATTGCTCTTCTATGTTAGTGAGACAATTCTGTAATCAAAGTGAGCAATTCGTGTCGAATAATGAAGCTTGTGGATGATGGCAATTTGCATGAAACGGCCTCAAGTTTTTGCACTTAAAGTAACCGTCTCAGTTGTAAGATACACAGATAATTCCACTCTCATTGATCAGACTTATTGATTGCCTTTCTTCTGATAGAAAATCTGTTTGTTTGAATTTTTCATATACGACTATTTTTACTAATTTCCTTTAATTAGTAAATCAAACTTGCAAACAAGTGTTTTCCTAATAGCAATTTAGTTTTGTTTTTGCACTATAAAAACTTGACCTTTCATTTTCTTTTGATGCCTTTGTTTCTATCCTTTTGAAATGTTATTCCTAAATTTTTCAGAAAATCTGGAATTATCCAAGATGGCTCAAAAGGCGATGCCACAGCTGATTTTCTGAAACGAGGAAAGTAAGTTTGCAATAATTATGGTATAGATTTATTGATATGTTGAAACTATGTAAAACACTCTCGATACAAATGTCATTTTGGTAACTTACTTCAATTTATGAGCCGTATTCTCATTCCCTTCTAGTGCTTTCACTGAAATATATCCTTCAAATAGTATGCTTACAAAATTTATCTTTATCACTAATTCCTGGGCTTTGACATTTCCACCTACAAGAGAATCCTTTACAGCTAAACTGACAGTTTACAGTTGCCCAGAAATTTTTCTAATTATTCTAAAAGCATTTGTTTTGTGTTGTTTCCCGATGAATCTTATTTATAAGTACATGCATGCATGATTGTTTTCCATCCACATCTGCGTCATAAAAATGGAGTAAAATCAGCCTAGGTGGCCTCAATAGGACTTGTCTTTAGTATGAAAAGGAGGCTAGTGTCACTATAAAATTATGGTCGTTGAAAAACCTGTCTTTTTAGCACGAAAATCTCGAGTAAAGAGACATGGCTTATTGTTGCGATTGTATGCTACATCAGTTAATCACAGCTGTGGTTGTTGATATTTCAATTTCTAAACCATAAGACTTCTCACGTCCGTCATTTTTAACAGAACATCTAATTCTGGGGAGCCAGTTGGACGGGCAGGTTTGATGTATCAGCAAGCGGCTTCTTTTAAGCAAGATGACGAGGTAAGGGTTTGTCGCTAGCCTTTCTTATGCTGTCTACGATGTTCTAACTTACTTTTTCAGAAAGAGGAATTACCTTTTTCTTTACTGAAAAAGTATTAACTTTTCAATATTAGTTAATACAGACAAAAGCGCCCACACAGGCGAAGTTTTTTATTTGCATGAAAGCTACTCGTAGTAAAAACGGTTTCAGATCAAAGAGTCCGAGGAGCTTTCAGTAACAATTTAACTATTTTTGGCTTATCAATCAAAATTATATTTATGCATAAAATGTATATCAATCAATCATGTATTTGATCAATCGACATATAACTTATCCTGAATTGTAAAGTCCATTTTTAGTAAAATTCCTTTAAGCTTTTAGATATTCTGAATGTTTCAGAAATTCTTCCAGAAAATTTGTTAAGGAGAATTTCAACTCCATTCTACAAGCTAGCTAAAAACTCACCTATTCTATACAACAAGCATTCAAAAAGGGTGTGCGATATAATTTGATTAATAAGAAAATAACGTTATCGGGAATATTTAGATTGATCTACCAGCAATCTCTTTACTTCAAACATTTTCCGATAAATATTTTATTCTTGAGTCAATTTGTTTCCTTTCAAGCAGTTTTAATTGAAATTATTTCTCTCCTTTTACAACAATTTGTTTTGAGTTTAGCGCCATTTTCTTGTTTCGTTCACTTTAAGTCTCCCCTTTTTTTGATGAATTTTTCCAATCGAAATGTTACTGTTTACTGCCAATAATCTGTGGGTAATCCTGTGGACACCCAAAGCCATTTTGTGTGGAGTTTTGGGTGCCTGTCACATTCAATATTCTTTCGACTTAAACTTTCTGCTAACTGGCTGTGTAGATCTCCCAAATTTTCATGATTTCTTATGTTGATATTAAGAGCAAGAGCAATAAAATGTCATTTTGTTTGAGTATTAGGGTTTTAACGAAATTCATAAGGTTTCAGCTCAAATATTTGTCCATGCTTTCGAAATGGGATGTCTATACCGGAAATAAATCTTATTAAGAACTGGCTTCGATTTTGTCCAAAAAATGCAGATTTAGATCTTATCGAAACACTGATTGGCTAAATACGAAACCTGTGATTTCTGCTATAAATAGTTTCAATTTAGAGGGAAGTTTTTTGTTGCATTGTAGATGCTGATGCAGATATCGGCTATCGATAAATCAATACTTTTGTTCAATTCACTTGTAAAATTTGCGGAAAATGTTTGGCTACCCAGTCTAGATTCACATATCGATTAGTTGATTTATTCACTTGAGCCTTGCTAAAAACTATTTTTGAATCTACTTCTCCTTGCCACAGTCACCCAAACGTTTCAACAAAAGTATCTGATTCCTTATCGGTTTCACCAAAACTTTTCTCTCTAGCCTTAACTCTTCCAGATTTTTTACGTATTTTTTGCATTACTTAGTGAGAATTTGTTTCAGGATATTAAAGAAAGGAAAAAATTTTCAAGACAATATATAAATGAAGTAATTAACAATGCATCAATAAGCGAACAGAAACGGGAACAATTTGAAATGATCTGGCCAAAGTTTTTTGAAGAATATGTTCAGCGTACAGCAAAAGAAATGAGTTGCCTGGATCGTTATATGGAATCTTCTCTCGAAAGAATTAAAAGATGTTGACAGGGGGTACTAGAGGCACCAGCATAATTCAAGTTGTATTTGCCAAAGCAAGACACGAAAACTCAGTTATTGCTGATATAACTTTGAAACAGAATGGACATCCATGTAATTAAACAAACTGGGTAATATTTATCCAGTTTGAATTCACTTATTGTACAGAATTGATTTCAAAATGTGCTCTCCTAGGCGCAGTAGACAAAGGAACTGAGAGAGCTACAGCTCCCTCCTCCCCCCAATCAGCAAAATTTTTCGACATTTAGGCTCCATTCGTGCAGTTAGCTCCATTTAATTGAAGCGGTAATACTTGAGCGGCAATACTTGAGTATCACTTAGCACCACCCCCTCCCTCCCTAAGCGTTAACTATCACCTCCCCCTAAGCTCTCACCATCCACTAGGCCCATGTTCCAATTTTATTGCATTGTGCAGAGCATAGTAATATATTCAAAGGGTGTGCTTTTTAAAGGTATACCAATATAGAGATCAAGGTGTTTTTTATTCAACTATACTGCGCCCTTAGACCCTTAATTCAGAGATTGTAACTAATTAAAGTAAAATGTGATTTGTAATGGGATTTATACGACACGTGTAAATTGAGATGATTGCATTTTGAAGCACGCTTTTTCCGTGTTGTGAATTCCCTTTGTATTCTCTTCTTGCACTCTCTGCTTCACAAATAATACGTAAATTGTGTTTCTTGGAAAACCAATCTCGTGGCTGAATAACCTCGTTGCTTGTTCTATTATAAGACGAGGTTTATGCAGCACTTTTGCAGCACAGTGTTTTAAAAATGGTAGCAAATTAAACGAATCTGAAAAAGAGCTCTTTTCATCTTGACGTTGTACTGGAGTTTTCTAATACCTTGCTAGATCTTGTGGGGTTAGGAGATCGTCTAATAGAACCCATGTTCAAAAGGCTATCATTACCTGCTGATTTTGTCGCCTAACCCTTTCTGACTAATAGGCTCTAAATCTTTCAGCCCTATTCTAGATGGAACAAAATTGTAGCCTTGATCAGAATTTTTTAACGGTCCATTACAATAACTTTCTTCATGTTTGTCATTGGAACTAGAAAAATATCTTAGAACTCTGAAGGCACATGTTTTATTCATTTTCGTGATCATTTTCCATATTTCTTTTCATGGACACATCAATATAACTAATACAAGACACGTAATTTCTGAACTGATGTAGCTATCAAATACGATCTCATCACAATGTTTGTTTCATTGGGGAGAGATTTTGAAAATTATGCAACTTATTTTATCATTTTGGCAAAGCTATATTGAAGAAGTGTCAGCAGGGTAAGCTCATCTATGCAAATCTTCTAGACAAACTTTTATCGATTTTCAAGATCTTCTATTTTTATCTATTTATAAACTTTTTAACTTTTTACATATATGTTTGGAACAACCTTGTAATATCCAAAACGGACAAAATACGTTATAGAAAATAATTGGTTGTATGGTTGTTATTATTTGTTGATTGAATAGGTTGTACTGGTTGCATGAAATTTTTGTGAAAAAATGCCAAGGTCTCCCAATAAATTATATTTATGAAACTGTGTAACTTGACAATTGACACATTATGCAGGACGTTTAAGTTTATCACATTTATAAACATACAAAAATATTAGTTACTAAAGTTTCATTTTATTAACCAATACTAATTATATTTTCCCAGTCTGCTTTACATTTTTTGCCAATTTTAACATACGGTGAACGGATTTAATTTCTACATAATAACAAAGAAGTCAAATGTCTTTTCCCCAACTTTTCTCTGGGTGACTTTTGTGTATAATTTTTGGCTGCATCTCGATTGCTTTAAAAACAATCATAGATTGATAATCAAACAAACATAGTTGTCTTGATCAAATCAGGCTTCTTCCCAGATATTTTTTTCAGATATCATTTTTTATATTTAATGCCTTCATTAGATAATTCAGAATCGGTTCTACAAGTTCATGTTCATTTGTGTTTAATGAATGACAGAACTTATCGTGCGAATCTATCCTAGAATTTATCCAGAAAAATTCGGAGCTTTGTTTCAATATTCCTGTACTTCTTTAAAGGAATAATTTGGCAACACAAGCTTAATTACCATTTGCATAGCCATTGGAAGGTAGCCTTTAATTCATAATTCTAATCTTATCTGGGTTTCATTTGCATTATTTTTTGTCATTGACTTTAAACTATATTCTTTTTAAAGTGCAACTGAACAGTCCTAGATTTTTATGTACTTATATAGTACTATAAAATATAAAATATTGTATGGATTTAGCTGGAATTGTCCCATTATTCAAATCCAACCAAATTCACCTGAAATTATTCAAATAGGGGGAGGGCTCTCTCCTCGATTAGTTTACCTATTGAGAGAGCTCCTCCTTTGAGTAATTCCCTGCATACAATATTAACCCACTTTTGTATTCTTATTATGTATCATTGTATGAATCTCCTTTGAACATTGTCTTATTTCGTTGTAATCTTGTTGGTTATTCTTAAATTGTATGTAGTGCAATTATTAATATATGAACATTAATCTTCATATATTATGAACATATATTAATATATGAACAAAATGAACAGTGGAGTACATTTTGCAAAAATCTTCCAGGACTTGCTGTACTCCGGCTTACAGAAATTAAATTAAAGATAAGAGCGACTTTATCTAAGCTAGAGTTAATGAAATTTGTTCATTAGCTGATGTATCATAGATACTTTTCTGAAATAACATTCCCAGTATTTCCAAAAGTTGGAAAGTTGGTTTTTTATCTATGGACATTTTGAATTATTTCCTATAAAAGATAGACTGGTTCCTTTATAAGTATTGGAAACTTCATTAGTACTGAACAAAGAAGCTTTGTTGTCATGAAACTTTACCCAGAGGAATGTGGCTTTGTGGAATCGAATTTGGCCTTCAAAATATGCATGAACTACGGATACAAAAATTGTTTTAATATTTCGCATTTACAATGCTTGACTGTTTACATTTGCTATGAAAACATAATTCGTTCTGCCCTTTTGACAATATTAGCTATTTTACCAGCATGCCCAAAATAAACCATGATAATACCTGCAGATGCTTTGTATTGCGATGATTTCGATTACCAATTCTAATCAATAAATATATTCTCAAGAACATATGTTAATTTGCTAATTAGAAAGTTAAATAGGATATCGTAATAATAAAGGACTTAGACGCTCTCCGCTGCACTGTATTAGCAGTTCGGATCATCATTAGCTGAATACTTTGCTCGTAGAGTCAATTCGAAAACCTTGTTTAGCTAATTCGAAAAACTAGATATATCTATTTGCGTGGTTGAAATGTAACACCTTCCATAAAAGCTCAATTTGTAACAGTTACTTAGCTCTGTTATTTTTATAAAAGTGATTATTGTCTAGTGACTTTGTAAAAAAGAACAAGGACCACAGAAAAAAATTATTTGGTATTTCCTATCCTGTAAAATATTTGTCTGCACTTTTGGAAAATACATTTATCTCAGGTATTAACTGAGGAGGAGGATATCCCAGCAGCCCTTGCAAAAATGGAGCATGGCATGGTTTGAAGAAAAGATGGCGACGAATGTTTTGACATTTTACCGACACTAAAGGTATGGGAAAACTAAACAACTGAGATTTAATTATTTTTGAAACTTTATAAGTAACTTTTATTGTCGTTTATCAACCCATTTAATAGGAAATATTTTCAAAGAATAACACCCAAACGCTACAGAACATTTCCCTAGTGTTCACACGTGGTGCGGGGTTTCGTGTGGAACAGAAAGTTCACCTCGTGTGGCGGGTGTTTCAAATTTATCACAAATTGTGGTTTATGAATTCCAATATACATAAAGCAGTCAATTTTGATATTGCCATATTTAATTTATGCATTAAATATAGACAGAGGTTCCAGTGTTACCAAATTTAAATAGTTTATATCTAGTTTAAAAAATATCTCTACATTGAGCATTTCCAATCAGCAATTAATTTTTTCAAGGATGTTTAGTTGGGAAAATTGTTCGAATTTGTTCGAAAGGTTTATTGTAATTTGCCAGAATTTCTGTCACATAAATGATGTCACCTAAAATAAATGGATTTCAAAACCCTCCCCTATGTCACAACCTTGTTGACACTTGGTATCATTTTGCTAAATATGCCTCGGCGTCCCCCTTAAACCACATTTTGGAGTGGGCGTCTCTAGACAAATTTTGTTTTGGAGATGAATCATGTCTGTCTTCCAGACATGTACTAGCCCCCGTTTTGGGGTAATTGCACATGCCCATTATCACTTGAAGCTCTGGCAGGAAATTCAAGAGTTGTGTGGTCACAGGCAGTACTGTTGTGCGAATACTGTTATTAACGGGCATGTGCTATGAACCCGCAACACTGATTGGTTTAAGACAGTAGTGTTTTGAAACAAAGGACTGATAGTTTCATCTCCCCAACAAAATTTGCAAGCTTTTACTGTAGTTTTTCCACCATTATCATTGATGCCACAACCTGAATATCATACTTGGCAAAAAATGTAAGGGGGCTATAGCCCTCCAACAATGTGTGGGGGCTCCCCGGCTATGGCTGTAGACAGACATTGTTTCCTGAACAGACTCTCAGTTTTATTTCTTTTAATACTGTTCCCAATACCAAAACCTAATTTTTGCCCTCCTCAATTTTTTGACAAATTTGCAAAAAAAGATGGGACTGGAATCAAATAATTATTGAAATGATCCTACATATTTTACTGAAAATAAGCATGTTGCTATCAAACTAAAGAACGATGCTGTATGTTTTCTGTCAATTTCCAAAGTTAAATGCAACCAAAATTAAAATTGATCTTTTCTAACCAAACTGTAGGATGTTGTAGCAAGGGAAGGTTTTTTAAAGAACACCCCTAATACCTTTTTGTCAGCTTGCTTCATGTGGTACAAATTTCCTTTTGTAGGCTTCGAAAAGATCTCTGGGGGTGTGTCACAGATCTGTCCTGATTTGGATATGTGACAAGACATTGCATCAACTTAAATGTTCAGAAAATGATTGAGCTGCCACAACTAGCAGTTTTCCTGCAAAGAGGTTTAAAGTCATGAAAGAATGCTGGTGCCTATCTCCATGTCTTTTGAGAGTCATTGATCGTTCAGATGCATTGAAATATCGAATGCAGACCTTATGAGAAATTGAAGCATTATGATGCTGACTATGTGATTGTTCCCTCTCTGTTCGTCATTTGGAAGCTAAGGATTGCCTTGAAGGAAATTAATGGTAAGGAAGTTTCTCAGATTTTTTTATCAATCCTCATAACCTTAATACGACCACTCGCATCAGTTTGAAAGTTAATTTTCTTATTTGACATGGATATATCTTTTAGTTAAATGAATGTTTTAACTTCTCTTATAAAGGGTTTATTATTTTAAGTTTCAGTCCTTTGCCTTTGGTTGCTTGATTCTCATGTTCCTTTCCCTAATTTTGACAACCAACTTTAATTTGTTTTTTCTTTTTGTGTCCCTATGAACTTTTAAAAAAGAGTTGTTTAAATGATGTGTGTGTTGTTACATAAACCTAATTGTATAGGATGCCTTCATTCCTTGCAGCATTCTATTGAAGATGTGTTGTTCTTTCAATGAAGCCCTTAATTTTGTTGGCCTATTGATTTCAAAATGTGGCACGATTTTCCTTTCGTAGGGTTCGAGAAGATCTCTTCAATCAATGGAGGGTGTCACAGATCTGTCCTGATTTGGAAATGTGACAAGACATTGCATCAACTTAAATGTTCAGAAAATGACTGAGCTGCCACAGCTAGCAGTTTTTCTGCAAAGAGGTTTAAAGTCGTGAAAGAATGCTGGTACCTCTCTCCATGTCTTTTGAGAGTCACTGATCGTTGAGATGCATTGAATTATCGAATGCAGACCTTGTGAGAAATTGAAGCAAATCCTTGCTGAGTATATGATTGTTCCCACTCTGTTCGTGATTTGGAAGCTAAGGATTGCCTTGAAGGAACTTTAATGGTAAGGTAGTTTCTCAGATTTTTTTATCAATCCTCATAACCTTAATATGACCACTCGCAACAGTTTGAAAGTTAATTTTCTTATTTGGCATGGATATATCTTTTAGTTAGATAAATGTTTTAACTTCTCTTATAAAGGGTTTATTATTTTAAGTTTCAGTCCTTTGCCTTTGGTTGCTTGATTCTCATGTTCCTTTCCCTAATTTTGACAACCAACTTTAATTTGTTTTTTCTTTTTGTGTCCCTATGAACTTTTATAAAAGAGTTGTTTAAATGATGTGTGTGTTGTTACATAAACCTAATTGTATAGGATGCCTTCATTCCTTGCAGCATTCTATTGAAGATGTGTTGTTCTTTCAATGAAGCCCTTAATTTTGTTGGCCTATTGATTTCAAAATGTGGCACGATTTTCCTTTCGTAGGGTTCGAGAAGATCTCTTCAATCAATGGAGGGTGTCACAGATCTGTCCTGATTTGGAAATGTGACAAGACATTGCATCAACTTAAATGTTCAGAAAATGATTGAGCTGCCACAGCTAGCAGTTTTTCTGCAAAGAGGTTTAAAGTCGTGAAAGAATGCTGGTGCCTCTCTCCATGTCTTTTGAGAGTCACTGATCGTTGAGATGCATTGAATTATCGAATGCAGACCTTGTGAGAAATTGAAGCAAATCCTTGCTGAGTATATGATTGTTCCCACTCTGTTCGTGATTTGGAAGCTAAGGATTGCCTTGAAGGAACTTTAATGGTAAGGTAGTTTCTCAGATTTTTTTATCAATCCTCATAACCTTAATATGACCACTCGCAACAGTTTGAAAGTTAAGTTTTTTATTCGACATGGATATATCTTTTAGTTAAATAAATGTTTTAACTTCTCTTATAAAGTGGTTATTATTTTAAGTTTCAGTCCTTTGCATTTGGTTGCTTGATTCTCATGTTCCTTTCCCTAATTTTGACAACCAACTTTAATTTGTTGGCTCTTTTTGTGTCCCTATGAACTTTTAAAAAAGAGTTGTTTAAATGATGTGTGTGTTGCTACATAACCCTAATTGTATAGGATGCCTTCATTCCTTGCAGCATTCTATTGAAGATGTGTTGCTCTTTCAATAAAGCCCTTAATTTTGTTGGCCTATTGATTTCAAAATGTGGCACGATTTTCCTTTTGTAGGCTTCGAGAAGATCTCTTCAATTAATGGAGGGTGTCACAGATCTGTCCTGATTTGGAAATGTGACAAGACATTGCATCAACTTAAATGTTCAGAAAATGATTGAGCTGCCACAGCTAGCAGTTTTTCTGCAAAGAGGTTTAAAGTCGTGAAAGAATGCTGGTGCCTCTCTCCATGTCTTTTGAGTGTCATTGATCGTTCAGATGCATTGAATTATCGAATGCAGACCTTGTGAGAAATTGAAGCAAATCCTTGCTGAGTATATGATTGTTCCCACTCTGTTCGTGATTTGGAAGCTAAGGATTGCCTTGAAGGAACTTTAATGGTAAGGTAGTTTCTCAGATTTTTTTATCAATCCTCATAACCTTAATATGACCACTCGCAACAGTTTGAAAGTTAATTTTCTTATTTGACATGGATATATCTTTTAGTTAGATAAATGTTTTAACTTCTCTTATAAAGGGTTTATTATTTTAAGTTTCAGTCCTTTGCCTTTGGTTGCTTGATTCTCATGTTCCTTTCCCTAATTTTGACAACCAACTTTAATTTGTTTTTTCTTTTTGTGTCCCTATGAACTTTATAAAAGAGTTGTTTAAATGACGTGTGTGTTGTTACATAAACCTAATTGTATAGGATGCCTTCATTCCTTGCAGCATTCTATTGAAGATGTGTTGTTCTTTCAATGAAGCCCTTAATTTTTATGGCCTATTGATTTCAAAATGTGGCACGATTTTCCTTTCGTAGGGTTCGAGAAGATCTCTTTAATCAATGGAGGGTGTCACAGATCTGTCCTGATTTGGAAATGTGACAAGACATTGCATCAACTTAAATGTTCAGAAAATGATTGAGCTGCCACAGCTAGCAGTTTTTCTGCAAAGAGGTTTAAAGTCGTGAAAGAATGCTGGTGCCTCTCTCCATGTCTTTTGAGAGTCACTGATCGTTGAGATGCATTGAATTATCGAATGCAGACCTTGTGAGAAATTGAAGCAAATCCTTGCTGAGTATATGATTGTTCCCACTCTGTTCGTGATTTGGAAGCTAAGGATTGCCTTGAAGGAACTTTAATGGTAAGGTAGTTTCTCAGATTTTTTTATCAATCCTCATAACCTTAATATGACCACTCGCAACAGTTTGAAAGTTAAGTTTTTTATTCGACATGGATATATCTTTTAGTTAAATAAATGTTTTAACTTCTCTTATATAGTGGTTATTATTTTAAGTTTCAGTCCTTTGCATTTGGTTGCTTGATTCTCATGTTCCTTTCCCTAATTTTGACAACCAACTTTAATTTGTTGGCTCTTTTTGTGTCCCTATGAACTTTTAAAAAAGAGTTGTTTAAATGATGTGTGTGTTGCTACATAACCCTAATTGTATAGGATGCCTTCATTCCTTGCAGCATTCTATTGAAGATGTGTTGTTCTTTCAATAAAGCCCTTAATTTTGTTGGCCTATTGATTTCAAAATGTGGCACGATTTTCCTTTTGTAGGCTTCGAGAAGATCTCTTCAATTAATGGATGGTGTCACAGATCTGTCCTGATTTGGAAATGTGACAAGACATTGCATCAACTTAAATGTTCAGAAAATGATTGAGCTGCCACAGCTAGCAGTTTTTCTGCAAAGAGGTTTAAAGTCGTGAAAGAATGCTGGTGCCTCTCTCCATGTCTTTTGAGTGTCATTGATCGTTCAGATGCATTGAATTATCGAATGCAGACCTTGTGAGAAATTGAAGCAAATCCTTGCTGAGTATATGATTGTTCCCACTCTGTTCGTGATTTGGAAGCTAAGGATTGCCTTGAAGGAACTTTAATGGTAAGGTAGTTTCTCAGATTTTTTTATCAATCCTCATAACCTTAATATGACCACTCGCAACAGTTTGAAAGTTAATTTTCTTATTTGACATGGATATATCTTTTAGTTAGATAAATGTTTTAACTTCTCTTATAAAGGGTTTATTATTTTAAGTTTCAGTCCTTTGCCTTTGGTTGCTTGATTCTCATGTTCCTTTCCCTAATTTTGACAACCAACTTTAATTTGTTTTTTCTTTTTGTGTCCCTATGAACTTTTATAAAAGAGTTGTTTAAATGATGTGTGTGTTGTTACATAAACCTAATTGTATAGGATGCCTTCATTCCTTGCAGCATTCTATTGAAGATGTGTTGTTCTTTCAATGAAGCCCTTAATTTTGTTGGCCTATTGATTTCAAAATGTGGCACGATTTTCCTTTCGTAGGGTTCGAGAAGATCTCTTCAATCAATGGAGGGTGTCACAGATCTGTCCTGATTTGGAAATGTGACAAGACATTGCATCAACTTAAATGTTCAGAAAATGATTGAGCTGCCACAGCTAGCAGTTTTTCTGCAAAGAGGTTTAAAGTCGTGAAAGAATGCTGGTGCCTCTCTCCATGTCTTTTGAGAGTCACTGATCGTTGAGATGCATTGAATTATCGAATGCAGACCTTGTGAGAAATTGAAGCAAATCCTTGCTGAGTATATGATTGTTCCCACTCTGTTCGTGATTTGGAAGCTAAGGATTGCCTTGAAGGAACTTTAATGGTAAGGTAGTTTCTCAGATTTTTTTATCAATCCTCATAACCTTAATATGACCACTCGCAACAGTTTGAAAGTTAAGTTTTTTATTCGACATGGATATATCTTTTAGTTAAATAAATGTTTTAACTTCTCTTATAAAGTGGTTATTATTTTAAGTTTCAGTCCTTTGCATTTGGTTGCTTGATTCTCATGTTCCTTTCCCTAATTTTGACAACCAACTTTAATTTGTTGGCTCTTTTTGTGTCCCTATGAACTTTTAAAAAAGAGTTGTTTAAATGATGTGTGTGTTGCTACATAACCCTAATTGTATAGGATGCCTTCATTCCTTGCAGCATTCTATTGAAGATGTGTTGCTCTTTCAATAAAGCCCTTAATTTTGTTGGCCTATTGATTTCAAAATGTGGCACGATTTTCCTTTTGTAGGCTTCGAAAAGATCTCTTCAATTAATGGAGGGTGTCACAGATCTGTCCTGATTTGGAAATGTGACAAGACATTGCATCAACTTAAATGTTCAGAAAATGATTGAGCTGCCACAGCTAGCAGTTTTTCTGCAAAGAGGTTTAAAGTCGTGAAAGAATGCTGGTGCCTCTCTCCATGTCTTTTGAGTGTCATTGATCGTTCAGATGCATTGAATTATCGAATGCAGACCTTGTGAGAAATTGAAGCAAATCCTTGCTGAGTATATGATTGTTCCCACTCTGTTCGTGATTTGGAAGCTAAGGATTGCCTTGAAGGAACTTTAATGGTAAGGTAGTTTCTCAGATTTTTTTATCAATCCTCATAACCTTAATATGACCACTCGCAACAGTTTGAAAGTTAATTTTCTTATTTGACATGGATATATCTTTTAGTTAGATAAATGTTTTAACTTCTCTTATAAAGGGTTTATTATTTTAAGTTTCAGTCCTTTGCCTTTGGTTGCTTGATTCTCATGTTCCTTTCCCTAATTTTGACAACCAACTTTAATTTGTTTTTTCTTTTTGTGTCCCTATGAACTTTATAAAAGAGTTGTTTAAATGACGTGTGTGTTGTTACATAAACCTAATTGTATAGGATGCCTTCATTCCTTGCAGCATTCTATTGAAGATGTGTTGTTCTTTCAATGAAGCCCTTAATTTTTATGGCCTATTGATTTCAAAATGTGGCACGATTTTCCTTTCGTAGGGTTCGAGAAGATCTCTTTAATCAATGGAGGGTGTCACAGATCTGTCCTGATTTGGATATGTGACAAGACATTGCATCAACTTAAATGTTCAGAAAATGATTGAGCTGCCACAGCTAGCAGTTTTTCTGCAAAGAGGTTTAAAGTCGTGAAAGAATGCTGGTGCCTCTCTCCATGTCTTTTGAGTGTCATTGATCGTTCAGATGCATTGAATTATCGAATGCAGACCTTGTGAGAAATTGAAGCAAATCCTTGCTGAGTATATGATTGTTCCCACTCTGTTCGTGATTTGGAAGCTAAGGATTGCCTTGAAGGAACTTTAATGGTAAGGTAGTTTCTCAGATTTTTTTATCAATCCTCATAACCTTAATATGACCACTCGCAACAGTTTGAAAGTTAATTTTCTTATTTGACATGGATATATCTTTTAGTTAGATAAATGTTTTAACTTCTCTTATAAAGGGTTTATTATTTTAAGTTTCAGTCCTTTGCCTTTGGTTGCTTGATTCTCATGTTCCTTTCCCTAATTTTGACAACCAACTTTAATTTGTTTTTTCTTTTTGTGTCCCTATGAACTTTTAAAAAAGAGTTGTTTAAATGATGTGTGTGTTGTTACATAAACCTAATTGTATAGGATGCCTTCATTCCTTGCAGCATTCTATTGAAGATGTGTTGTTCTTTCAATGAAGCCCTTAATTTTGTTGGCCTATTGATTTCAAAATGTGGCACGATTTTCCTTTCGTAGGGTTCGAGAAGATCTCTTCAATCAATGGAGGGTGTCACAGATCTGTCCTGATTTGGATATGTGACAAGAAACTGCATTAACTTAAATGTTCAGAAAATGATTGAGCTGCCACAGCTAGCAGTTTTGCTGCAAAGAGGTTTAAAGTCGTGAAAGAATGCTGGTGCCTCTCTCCATGTCTTTTGAGAGTCATTGATCGTTGAGATGCATTGAATTATCGAATGCAGACCTTGTGAGAAATTGAAGCAAATCCTTGCTGAGTATATGATTGTTCCCACTCTGTTCGTGATTTGGAAGCTAAGGATTGCCTTGAAGGAACTTTAATGGTAAGGTAGTTTCTCAGATTTTTTTATCAATCCTCATAACCTTAATATGACCACTCGCAACAGTTTGAAAGTTAATTTTCTTATTTGACATGGATATATCTTTTAGTTAGATAAATGTTTTAACTTCTCTTATAAAGGGTTTATTATTTTAAGTTTCAGTCCTTTGCCTTTGGTTGCTTGATTCTCATGTTCCTTTCCCTAATTTTGACAACCAACGTTAATTTGTTGGCTCTTTTTGTGTCCCTATGAACTTTTAAAAAGGGTTGTTTAAATGATGTGTGTGTTGTTACATAAACCTAATTGTATAGGATGCCTTCATTCCTTTCAGCATTCTATTGAAGATGTGTTGTTCTTTCAATGAAGCCTTTAATTTTTATGGCCTATTGATTTCAAAATGTGGCACGATTTTCTTTTTGTAGGGTTCGAGAAGATCTCTTTAATCAATGGAGGGTGTCACAGATCTGTCCTGATTTGGATATGTGACAAGAAACTGCATTAACTTAAATGTTCAGAAAATGATTGAGCTGCCACAGCTAGCAGTTTTTCTGCAAAGAGGTTTAAAGTCGTGAAAGAATGCTGGTGCCTATCTCCATGTCTTTTGAAAGTCATTGATCGTTCAGATGCATTGAAACATCGAATGCAGACCTTGTGAGAAATTGAACCATTATTATGCTGACTATGTGATTGTTCTCTCTCTCTTTTTCCTGAACCTTAAGTCAAGAATGGTCCTGATTTTAGGATTGCCCTAAAGGAAACTCAAAGGTAAGCATTTTTATCAGGTTTTTTCATGTAACCTCATTACGTTATTTTGACAACTCTAAACAGCTTGAAATTTCATTTGACATGGTTCATTTCTCTGATCATTTTCATTTCTCTTATCAAGGCCTGTTTCTTTTACGTTCTGTATTTTGCATTCATTCGCTTGTTTCTGATAATTCTCCACCAATTTTTGCCTTTTGAACATTTTTGGAGTTCTGTTCTACTTTTAAATTGAGTTTTCTTACTGTAATTTTTTTTTAAATTCTTTTTAATAAGATATGTTTTTTAAAATTTATTTTTTGTTTTATTGAAAGCATAAAAATTATTCGTGTTTTTTTTATTATTTCAGAAAATATTTTTTACTTTTTTGTAGTCTCGAAAACCTTTCTATGTGATGACTATGTTGCTTTCTACTTGAATCGGCGAAAGTTTTGCTGGAACGAGAGATTCTAACAAGATGTCAAGAGACAAATAAAGACCAACATCATCAGGTAAATCTGCAATGCTTTTATTATTTTATTAGCTTTACATGAAATTTTATCACCCACTTTCTGCCAAAACACCTTAATGCTTGGCTTCTCTCTTTGAATTACTTCTTCTATGCCAAATCCATCGATTTCGAATCGATATAAGCAAGCTGTGCCTTATGAAGGAGAACCTGGGCTTGGTCTAAACCAATTTTCTAAGGTCCTTTTAAATATTTCAATACCAAATTACAGCAACGTTTATGGCTTTATCTTTAAATAAGGTATTGCTGAAATGCGTGAACCTTCACCAGTTAATACTTCTTTCATGAACTGATATTTTTAGTACTACTTTAGGCGATCAACAAACTATTTGGCTAGACTCTTATTTGAATTATATAATACTATAAATTTGGAAATAATTTTTATTTTATACATGTGGCTTTTCATACACCCTGAACACAGTTAAATCTTCTGCCATCAATCTTAAAAACTCTTTTTTATCTTTCGATTTTTAACAAAAACATGAGCAGCTATTCAATGATATGCTTAAGATTTTAAAACGTTAGCTTTGTGACAAGATAATTGCTTTTTGCCATATCCGTTACTCCGTTATTTATTCCCATCGTCTTTTTCATTGTTTGCTTGCAGAATAATAATTTGACTTTTTTATTTCTATTTTGAAGGGAAATTGTCCTGAGGATTATGCACGAGAAGAAGACGCACAAGAAGAAGATTCACAAGAAGAAGATGCAGAAAAAGAATATGCACAAGAAGATGTCAACAAGAAGATGTTCACAAGAAGAGGAGCAGTGAAGATGGACTGAAGTACTCTTGAGAAAACGGAAGATTGTTATTAAAGCCTTACATGTATACACAAATAAGATTGTGAATGGATTAGAAATGCAGTATTTGCTGGCAAGTTATTGGTTGCAAAACGCTCATTAGAGCAAATTTTGGTCATTTCCCAGTGGGTATGCTTGATGGCATTTTGATACTTTGCAAAAAGTTCCATCCTTTTGCGCGTTTGGAGAAGTAAGCGTGTAAAGGGTCATTTGAAGGATCTAAAGCGCGTAGGTTTTCACGTTGGGCAAGGTAAAGTGGTTACTGGAATGTCTTTGTGCATGTATCGACACTTTCAGTATTGGACAGTGATAGGCAACTGTTGGAACACCCTTTTTAAATATGCTTGCCAGCATTTACTGTATTTTTTTCCACCATAAGGGAAGGTCATTTGAGCAGCTTCTTCAGCAGAACAAGGCAGAGTCTTTTTCCGTTTCAAAACAAGGCAGAGTTTTTTCCGCTTCAAAACAAGGCAGAGTCTTTTTCCGTTTCAAAACAAGGCCGAGTCTTTTCCGTTTCAAAACAAGGCAGAGTCTTTTTCCGTTTCAAAACAAGGCAATTTTTTTCCGCTTCAAAACAAGGCAGAGTTTTTTTCCGCTTCAAAACAAGGCAGAGTCTTTTTCCGTTTCAAAACAAGGCAGAGTCTTTTTCTGTTTCAAAAAAGGCAGAATCTTTTTCCGTTTCAAAACAAGGCAGAGCCTTTTTCGCTTCAAAACAAGGCAGAGTTTTTTCCGCTTCAAAACAAGGCAGAGTCTTTTTCCGTTTCAAAACAAGGCCGAGTCTTTTCCGTTTCAAAACAAGGCAGAGTCTTTTTCCGTTTCAAAACAAGGCAATTTTTTTCCGCTTCAAAACAAGGCAGAGTTTTTTTCCGCTTCAAAACAAGGCAGAGTCTTTTTCCGTTTCAAAACAAGGCAGAGTCTTTTTCTGTTTCAAAAAAGGCAGAATCTTTTTCCGTTTCAAAACAAGGCAGAGCCTTTTTCGCTTCAAAACAAGGCAGAGTTTTTTCCGCTTCAAAACAAGGCAGAGTCTTTTTCCGTTTCAAAACAAGGCCGAGTCTTTTCCGTTTCAAAACAAGGCAGAGTCTTTTTCCGTTTCAAAACAAGGCAATTTTTTTCCGCTTCAAAACAAGGCAGAGTTTTTTTCCGCTTCAAAACAAGGCAGAGTCTTTTTCCGTTTCAAAACAAGGCAGAGTCTTTTTCTGTTTCAAAAAAGGCAGAATCTTTTTCCGTTTCAAAACAAGGCAGAGCCTTTTTCGCTTCAAAACAAGGCAGAGTTTTTTCCGCTTCAAAACAAGGCAGAGTCTTTTTCCGTTTCAAAACAAGGCCGAGTCTTTTCCGTTTCAAAACAAGGCAGAGTCTTTTTCCGTTTCAAAACAAGGCAATTTTTTTCCGCTTCAAAACAAGGCAGAGTTTTTTTCCGCTTCAAAACAAGGCAGAGTCTTTTTCCGTTTCAAAACAAGGCAGAGTCTTTTTCCGTTTCAAAAAAGGCAGAATCTTTTTCCGTTTCAAAACAAGGCAGAGCCTTTTTCGCTTCAAAACAAGGCAGAGTTTTTTTCCGTTTCAAAACAAGGCAGAGTTTTAGAGATGGGGCTTTTCCAAAAGTTTTTTAAATATACAAAATTTCTCACTAGGTTTTCAGTCCAATTTACACAAAACATTTTTTGATTTTGTTCTATAGTTTTAACTTGTCCAGTTTCGAAGTTGAAAAACTGAAACTAAATTACTTTTTAGCTCAATGCTGTATATTTTAACTGGCAAATATCACTTGAAATGTTAGGGAATCTAACCGTACCCTGGTCTCTCGAAGTGGAAAAATTTGGCCCTTATGATTTTCTTGACATCAAAAGTTTAGCTTTCTATCTGATGATTTCCATATTTTATCTAAATTCTGACCGGCTAAGATCAATATAAGAATACAGAATTATAAACTGTTTAACAAAAACAGAAAAAGTCGTAGGTAAGAAAAGCTGCTTAAATGACCAACTTAGAACTTCCTATCCATCAGCTGAATTTCGATTTTAAGGGAAGGGCCCTTGTTTTAAGTCTTAAGGCTGAATTTTTGTGACGTCACGTGCCTGTAGCTGGGTTCCACGCTTTAAACTGTACTAAAGAAGAAGATGCATTGGTCAGGTTTGGTAAAAGAATAGCGATGTTAGCCTACCCCAGCAACTGGCCAGAGGAAAGGATATCTATTACAAAGGAATTAACCTGAAGGAAAAGACCATTTTCACGGGTACCACTCAACGTCAATCAAAGTTAAGTCATGATGGGATTCTTTGTCAGTATGAATTGATAGCAGCAACGAAATAAAAGAGTGTCGCGATAGAAGTAAGGACGGAAGTGATGTGCAAGATTCACAGCTAAACTGTCGCCGGGAGTTTGTAGGAAAACAGGAAATGGCAAATGGAGCTTAGAGCACGCAGAGACTAAGAGATGGTGATCCATGCATTTCTACGCTTTCTTTTCGGTTTTCCTTTTTATAATGCTTCTCTTCCTGTTATTTTTTCCTCTTTCCAGCCTATTCTAAAAACCAGACATTTTTACTTGTCCCAGCTTAATATTTACAGTATTTTTTTCAGAGCATCACAAAAATAATATTTTCCTCAGAACAGAAGGTCCCAAGTTGCGAAAACATCCCACTGTTCCTTTTTCCGTCAAGTTTCCCTAGCGTTCAAACACACCACACACAGACATAGGGTAGACCTACAACCAAGCCGTAATGTAAAACGCGTCCGTTTATCTCTCCTGATAAGACTGCTCTCCTTAGGGTTAGATTTATCTTTTTTCGACTTCTTTCTCCTTTAAATGCTTCCCTTCGTTACTTCATCTGTGATTCTCCCTATATGAACGGCCGGACAAACCATTCAAAGATAGAAGAAAGCAAGTATGAACGACATCTATGATGATGCAACGTCAAGGTCATTGTGAATGGCATGAAGCTTCAATAATGATTCAATAATGAAGAGCATGTCTGTCACTTGGCCCGTGCGTCACATTAGTCCAAAAAAGTTGTAACTTTAACCTTCTTTACGAAGTGCTTGAAACTACCAAATTTGGGGACCATTTTTACAAAATTCAGCTGATAGGAGAAAGTTCGATTTTGAAAATATTTGTAAATTGTTGTTGTATTAAGTATTCTTTAAATGCAGGTGCACAACTGGTGTGATAGAGCCTATGGCAACAGCCCATTCCCTGGTATATTTGATTACCCGATTTTCCACCACTAACAGCCCCCCCTTTACTTTAAGATAAGTCAGGAGGGTCCAGTGTCCTTGTCTTTCAAAGGGAAATGCTTTTCCTAACATGAGTAGGTTTTTTTGCTGTTTTTCAGACCAACAAAACAGACCCGGGCGTTTTTCAATGGTGCTTTTTCTATATAAATGTACAACAAACTGGGCTCCTTCTTCACAATCTTCCAATTTTTTTCCCAATTGTTATATTTCCAAGGTTTTCACTACTTTCTTTGAGAATAATCCAAACCTATCTGCAAAGAGTAGGAGGTTTACATTTCTAAGCATCCCAAAGATAAACGTTCACGTTTAGATAGTGGTAAAACGTTTTGAGACCTTTGGTTCATTTCCCTTCCCGATTTCAATTATCCCTGATATACCAGAATTTTTTGGGTTCCCGAATTTTTTTTGTTCGGTTCCATAGTTAGTTCCCTGGTTCATAGTTTGAAAAGCATCCAAGCCAGACAGCTCTATTCCACCATTTTGCACCTGCATCGTGTCTGCACATTCTCTTTACGGCTTCTTGTATTAGGGATTGGGACAGTGAATGTTTGTGCGGACACACCCCCACCCCGCCCCGCCGTGCTGGGCCTCTTCCCGCGGAGTGCTCCGACGTCCTGCCTGCGCTGCAAGATTCTGGTGGTCTCCAGCTGGTCGTTCTCCGCTTCATCGTGTCTTGCCATCTCTTCAAGTTTGTCCTTCATCTCCAAGGTAAGAGGATTTATTACCTCTCTTCCACTATCTCTTTTATTGCTTGTCATCTTTGCTTGTATATTGTACACATTTAATCAGGATCCAAACTCATCATTGGGACATTAATACGTAGCTTTGTTTACCTCCAAACACTGGGTGGGGGCAATGTTTTCGGTGGCTGTTTCAATGATAGGTAACTTTAACGGCGAGTGAATCATATTGTATTAGAGTATTCTCTTTGCTGCAACGATGTCTTGGTGAATGGGAGTGCCGCAATGGAAACGAAAGGCTGCAATCTAGCAACTAAAAGTGTTGATCGGGGTTGTGTTGTAAGGATAGCAATTTCTGATCCGTCCTGGCTCTCTAGTCGGGTGCGAGGGTTTTTTGTATATGTAGTTCTTTTTATTATTATTTAATTTACCCTATCGGTCAAGGGTACGGCGAAACGTTCTGTTGAATAGGTAACCTTGCAGTTCATCACGTTTATGTGCGCCTTTTATCATTTATTAGTGTAAGAATTTTTCTTTGATTTTCCTAGGGTAAAATAATAATAAAGTAATTATTTATAAGGAATAACTAACTTTTAAGTAATCATTTATTCAACTATTATTTCGAAATAGGGAAGATGTGAGCAACGACCAATAATTCAATATCAATAATGCTGACAGTAATAGTAACGTAAAATAAGGGCGAATTTAAATAAATAAGTTGTTAAAAGTAAATTAATAAGTTGAATAAATTGTTAAAAGTAATCTAATACAGTTTTTGGGGCGGGTATTTCCTTAATATATCCCTTTTACGTGCTATGAAATTGATATATATATATTTAGATCTAAGAAACTGATAATATTATTTACCATTTGATAATATCCTTTCAGTGTAATTGGAATCAAAATAATTATTATTATTATTATCATTGTGTAAGTTTCACAGCTTATGTTGTAAAACTGCAAGATTAAACCCAATTGACTAAACAGCTAGTTATTTTTTAATAAACTAGGTTTTTTCTTTATCAATATTCGCAAGTAATAACCTGAGGTTAAATCAAAACTGCAAGATTCACTGATGCTTTTTCTAATCTTTTATTCAAGAATGTGTACTATGTTCTTAAGGTTAAATTTTGTAATTTTTCATGACAGGGGTTTTATTTGCAAGAAAGCCCTTAAATTCGCACATACTTGATATTATGAATAGAGAAAACATTTAATTACTAGGTAATATATTTAATCATTAGCCAAATGGAACTTAAAATAATCTACTCTGAATTCATTAAGTAGGCATATAATTATATTTGTTCGTATAACTTAGCAATTTATTTTAAATAGCTCTTTTGAATAATATTTTTATTTCTACTGTTACTAGTTTCTTTCTCATTTTCTACCCTCTACTTCCCCCAACATTTCCAAACCAAAGTTGTGCTTTCCCATTTTTCAAAAAATATCCATTTTAATTTCTAGCATTTGTTTCTATACCAAATTAGCAAGCTTGCCATCCTTTTACATTAATTTTCTGATAAAATTCTTTCGTGAAAGCCGTTTTAAGTATTTTTGGAAAAGTCTTTTTTTCGACTGATTTCAAAATCAAGAACTGGTCAATGATTCAAGAGTTCGTTAAGCTAGGAGATTTTTCAAAGTTCCTTTGGCCCCCTTTTATGTTTCCAAATGTTTTGCAGATTTTAATAATGTGTTGGTTTCATTTCTCTTTTTCCAAAACTGCTCTCGTTTTCTGAACAATCTAAATACTTTTGCAATTCAGCTTGCCCCCTCTATACCTATAGGGTTTTCGTATTTTAAAAAGCAGGAAGGCAACGGGGGTTTAAAAAATTCCTCCGCTGCCTTCCTGCTTTTTCAAAATCGATTTTTACATCCATATAGGGCAGAAAACCTTCTTTGTCATGATGTGAATTAAAATTGTCTTGTCTTTTCACCACCCTCTGCTGTTATTTTCTTCTTAAAACTTTTTAATAAAATCTATGTTAAGTATAACTTCTGAGTTTATTGTTTTTAACCTGTTTTAGCAATATATTTTTACTGAGTTATATTTCTCTCCGCGTTTTAAGTAAGCATTTTATTTTTATATGATTAGTATATTGCGTGATGAACTGCCGACGCTTAGGCTCTTTTCGACCATTCGCTGCCAAATTTCCCCTCGTCCATAACACTGCAACGGGACGATTTTTCTGTGTGCTTGGCACGTACCGGGCAATGACGAGAAATGCTGGGTGGCGCGTAGACGTTGTGAACAGTGGCCTTACTAGTCAAGTTATCAAAGTTGCTGGTCAGGGCCGGTTCCAGGAAATTTTCTTGGGGGGGTGTAAGCTCTTATGTACCGAGTAATTTTAGAAAAAACAATACCAAAAATTTTGAGCTCAACTAATCGTGATCAGAACTAACAACTAAATGACTTACACTAACTTTAATTTAAGAAATTTAACTTTAACGAAAGAACTTTAATTTTAACTTCAATCTGAAAAAAGCGTTTCAACCAAATACAGCACGTTCTAATAAAAATACAGAGTCAATGGTGGGTCAAAAAATAACCCTCAGATTTTTGCGAGTCATTTAATTAGGAGCTTTTGACCCAGCCTCTTTTTCAGTTCTTATAGCGCAATATATGAATAAATTAACTTTAAGTAGTGTCAAATCGAACTCTTCTGTTTTTTAAGTGTATCCAGTTCTTGACAACATCTTCCAAGTTGACATTTTCAGAGAAATCCTTCTCGCATGATATCAGCATCAGAGATTCCAGGCGGTCCTGGAGCATTGTGCTCCGCAGCTTAGTCTTCACCAACTTTAGTTTGCTAAAAGATCTTTCATTTGAAGCCACAGTAATTGGTGCAATCTTCTTCTGTGGCGGTGCTGAAACTCCTCTTCTGGATTTATTCCCATGTGCATTGCAATTTGTGTGGCAGCTTCAATCTGCTTTTGCACGTCATCTTCATTTCGAATCTTTTCTAACGCCCTAGTTGTCGATGACACTAGCTCAAGTGCGTCGAGTAAATTCAAACCCTCTTCCTGAAGTTGCACAACCAGAACCTTACAGCGCCGCATTATGAATCTCATAGTAGCCAAGCTGAAAACAAAATCAAATGTTTTCATTTTTTTCAAAATTGCTTTGGCTTGATCCTGTGTGTTTTTGTCACAGTCAAGTTGTCTATCCATTATCTGCTCGAGCAGCGAGACGATTACTGTCAAAGAGATCCAGACACTGTCAATAGATTCAGATCTAGCAATCCAACGAGTTTGCGAAAGATTTCGCATCTTCAAGGCCCCTTCTATTTCAACTTGTGCTTTTTCAAGTGCTTCAGATCGCTTGGTACTACTAGAAAAGAATGTGTACAATGACTGTAATATGTCAAACATCGATGATACAAGACTGCTTGCTTTGGAGCTTCGTTCTACATATGTACTCAGCCTGTGAGCCTGGCATGGGATGTAAAGGATTTCCTTTTTGTGTGGAAAATCTTCTTGAATTTTATCACTTAGCACTCGTTGGCATCCTTTATACTTTCCAGACATACATGACGCAAAATCGTACGATTGAAAGACGAGTTTTTGTGGGTCCACACTACACTCATTGAGAGCTTTCAAAATTTCTGCAGCATGGCCTTCTCCGGACTTGTCTTTGAGAATCCTCAGACACAGTAAACGCTCAACCGGCTTGGCATTGATGACGTATCTTACAACAATTGCCATCTGATCTTTATTGCTTGTGTCCGGGGTAGTATCAGCCATTACTGAGAACGCTGAGACTTCCTCTAGCTCCTTCACCATACGATGCCTCACTGCGTCACCTAGCAACTTTATCAACTAATTTGGGGTGTCTTTGCTCATATAGGTAACATGGTATGGTCGCATCCTTGTTTGGTTCTGCCAGTATTTCAAAATGCCGCAATGTCGACTGATTAACTTCACAATCTCATGAAAGTTGCTGGATTCGTCAGTATTTCCACGAAATGCAAGGTCCTGCATAGCCATGGTGCGAGCAGCATCACATAATATTAACATAATTTTGGTGTTAAACATTGCGTCGTCAGTTTCTTTAATCATTTCATGACGACGAGACAAATCCAAAAGTGCATCAATGTTCTGATGTGGGTTAGTGAATCTTGCAAAATCTCGTAATGCTTCTCTGTGACTTTGGCTGGTGAAATGCTGTATCAGCTTGCCCTTCTTTCCTTTTCCAACACTCTTCATTTTGTGCCACTGTCTAACGCCATTAATAGTCCATGAAGCATCTGAAGAGGGTCTTCCAGCGCCGTTTGGAAATAAGGAACAAACATAGCAAAATGCTGCGTCATTTTGAACGCTATATTCAAGATGTGGAAAATCTTTGAACCAGGTGCTTGAAAACTTATTTTGTTTACCAGATTCAATGAATTCATTACTTGGATAAACTGTCAAGCGAGGCTGGTAGGGACCTAGGTTTATCACAAAACGGCGTTGGCTATCCGACAAATCTTTTTTTCTTTTTCCAGGGTCGTGTTCTATTAGTGCTGCTGCTTCTCCAGGTTGTACAGATCCTTTTTGCCTGTCAATTTTGACTTTAAGTCGTTCAGCAGATTTTTCTAAATCATTACACTGGGTTTTAATCTCGTTGGCAAACTCTTTTGCAGATATCGCAAACTCTTCGATATTTGGGGTACATGGTTGTGTTAGAATGTTTAACGTCAAATTACCTCTTAGCTCCAAAGTGGATAGCAGATGCTTGAGCTTTCCCGCACAGCTAATCCAATAATCATCATTTTCATCATCGGTGTCATCGTTTTCGGAGTTTTCAGCCTCACTCTCGCTCTCCTCATCAACCACATTCTCACCGACAACATTACTAATATTAGATACTGATTCTTCTTTTGCAGAATTCGCTAACCCAATCTCTTCGGTTTTGTCATCCAATATCTTCTCAGATGAAGATGAAGAAGATGAATCTTTTTCTTCAATTGGATTATCTTTCTTGCGTTTAGCTGCTTCGAAAGGGTTTTTAACTGCACCTGCGGTTTCATATGGCACATTTTTGCCTTCATGTTTCTCTCTATTGTGTTGGAGGCGATAGTCACTGTTGAACTGGGAATTACACCCTTTTGCCTTGCATCTTATTTTTACTTGTCTTCTTTTCATAGCAGTGAAACATAGCCTGGTAAAAATAATTGTTCTCAGTTTTACTTCAGATGAAGAGACCCACTTGAAAAAATTCTCAAAAGCTCAAACTCAGGCCTTGTCAAATCTTGGAAAATCTTGCTTTTCAAACAGGCCTAGACTTTTTGTCACAGGCTTACGCGAGAATTACAAAATTCAAAACAAATGATTATATGGATATGTCTTCAGAAAATAAAATTCAAAAAACAGAAAGATCATTATTTGAAGCAAGTTTTTGAGTTACCTGAAAAGCTGCCGTTTCCCTTTCAAGTAGCGTAATACTTATTACTGTTACTATTTTTTTCAATTCTACTTTTGTTCGTCAGCTCAGCTTCATTCAGATAAAGGATTACCAGAGAATGTTGCTTCGCGGGTTTCGCGCCTTCTTCACAGGTGGCGTCAGTCACTATGTTTAGTTTTATTGAATAAATCGATCAGTGGAATTCGAACAATAGGGAACAATAGAGTAAGCAGGAAACACAAATGGTTTCTCAGGTTCTCACCGAATGAGACCACACCAGCAAATATCACATGGTCTTTGTAGGCACAGGGCAATAATGAAGAAAACTAGATATTCAAAATGTTATGCACATTTAATTGCTTTTTGCGCAGTGATGCACTACACAGCATTTAATATAAAACTTCGTAACATAATTTTACCGACCAAAAATCGAACTTTACCGAGTAAATCGCCAAACTCAATTCTTGGGGGGGTGTCACACCCCCCCACACCCCCCCATGGAACCGGCCCTGTTGCTGGTAGGTAGGCTTTGGTAGTCTTGGTCAACGGGTCTGCAACACCTCTCACATCTCACACTGATCAAACTGCAAGGAGTGCGCATTTTAGCACTGTTTACAAAAACCCTCAATTTTTTTCCTAAAAGCAGTGTGATCTTTCGGCTGGTTAGGTTGTCTGTTTTAGGTTTGCAGGGCAGTGCCCCCAGTAAGCCAATGGTGTCTTGCAGCAACGGGGAGAAATGGTGCAATATGATTTACCCCTCAAAAATAGGCTAGGTTAGGCCTTAGGAGATGAGTTTTGGTACTGGTTCTTTGTTGTACAATATACTTGTTAAAATGACGGGCAGTGGAAGAGATGGTGTAGGAGAAAATAAATCCTCTCACCTTAGAGATAAAGAGCAACCTGGAGAGATGGTAAGATGGATGGAGCGTAGAACGACTGGCTGGGGCTCATCAGGGTCTTGCAGTGCAGGTGGGGCGTTGGGGCACTCCGTGGGAGAGGCCCAGCATGGCGGGGCGGGGTGGGGGACCCTTTATACTTGTAAAAAAATTTTCGAAAAATAATTTTGAACCTTCCCCCTGTGTTTTCTCTCGGAGTGCAGACTGTCCCCCTACTTTTCATCTTGGAGACGAACATGTCCCCCTGACTTGTCAGTCGGAGACCAGCCTGCTGACTCCGTTGGTATCCCCCGGTAAGCGGTCTTCCCCGGCTCCGGATGTCCGGAGCCAGGGACTACCGCCCACTGGGAAGCGCATGCGCCGTCCGAATCCCAGCTCTTTGTTCCCATTTTGAATGCCCATTGTTTTCGCATTTCCCATTGTTCCATTGTCCATCTATTGTTCCATTGTCCATGTGATTGCCGCTTGAATTTTCTGGAGGAAAAACAGCGCTTGAGCCGGGATTCGAACCCACGACCTTGTGACCTTTGACATTAGCAGTCACCCACTAATACCACTGGACCACAAGGTCGCTTGGTTAGCGAGGGTAACAAGTGCTAGTATATTTTGCTTCACCAGAGATCACTAGAAGGCATCATTACTGCGATGCTAAGTCTACAAACATTGCAAAAGGGTTGAAAGTTTAAAGTTAGATGAATTTCTACTTAATTTCAATAAATTCAGAGTTTTTGCGAATTTTATGTTTTTTTAACTCTTAAAACTTATCAGATGAGCGCAGCTAAGCGGGTAATTCTACTTTTCAACATAAGAAAAATTGGATACAGGTTTTCAAAAAGAATTCCCTTAGAATTCATACAAAATCACATGTTGCTAAATTTAAGCAGAAAAATGAAAGACGACCAAAAAAAGATAAAAGTATTTCAAGCAAAAGAAAACGTTTGAAAGGTCGAACTCTCGCCTCTCAAGGGTCATGGTCATGCCATTGGACCAAACAGCCTTTGACGCCAATAATTTAATTAACAAGATGTTCAGGCTTACAAAATACAATCAAAATAAAATCGCAAAAACAAATCTATGACAACAAATAAAAGAATAAATAACCAACAAAGCGGGATTCGGAGACAAAATATTTTTATTTGATCGAATTTACGGCGCTTCAGAAAGGAGAATTAAGGATGCAGTGGCCGGGGGAGGGAACTATAGTCCCCTGAAAACAACAATATTTATTTTGAAATTTTACTGAATTTCTTGGAAAATTCTATTTCAGTTTCTCATCTAAAACAATAACCCCTAATGCATTCCCGTAGAAAATAAATCGAGAAACAAGGGTGGGAAACTATGTAATGTAAAATTGGGGGCTATGTAAAATTCTACATAACATCAAGGGCATTGGAGCAGATAACTGCGTGAAGGGGCTAAACATTTTAGGGGGCTACACATGCTAAAAACAAGAGTAAGAAAGTTTTGTCGCTGCATAGAATAGTCCTACTCCTATGGCGAATAAGATATAAAACCCGAGGTAAATAGACCCAAAGTCAACATATATCAACAATATTGTTTGTAACATTTTCCAATTGAGATTTGGCAGGTAGATGAAATTATTCCTCTTGCAAGGGATTGAAGAGCAGAGTGGCTAAAAGTCTGCAATCCTTTTCAAAAGTCTCGCACAGATAATAATTTCAAAACAAAATGTTCTGCTTCTATAAGCTTTTGAGACACAGTTTATTATCACAGATGTGTGCCCCTTTAATGGCTCAATACATTTAAAAGCTTTGACATCTGACATCTATTCCCCAATCTCTGGTAATCCATCAGGCTCAAGGAGCAACTTGGATCCTCTGTCTTAAACTTATTCCAAAATTTAATAATTTATTCTTGGTGAAAAATTGGCAAACTACCCCAGGTTAACCATGCCAAAATTCCCAGGTTTACTAAATTCCAAAACTTGAAAGGCCTGTGGTTCTGAAACTGCATACAATTGTGCTGCTTTGAGAACTTTTACGTTTGTTTTGAGAAAACAGGAACACTCTTTTAAACAACACATGTGACTGACATATTCATCATTTCATGTCCCCTTCTTAGGACAGGCCTCAATAAATAACCCTGGGAAAAAATGATATTACTTACATGTATCACCTTATTATTATAAAACTTAAAATCAGGTATTCAGAGTCATCAACTGTAACAAATCTACAAATAGTTGGCTGTTCTTTATCTTGCACCCATCACTTCCATTTCTCTTACCTAAAAAATTGGTATGAAAACCATTAAAATCAGCTACAGTAATCTTTTTATAAAAATCAGAAGTAAGCACTTAGCTGTCCAATTCAAAGAAAACATCACTACTTTGTCACAAAGTTTCAACTACAAGATCTCATTTTAAGACATGGTTTCATTTGCTTCTCCACATATTCATAATAGCTCAGAATCTACTTTTTCAAGCATCTCAGGCTGCCTAAATCATAAAAAATTGAAACGCCTAAAGTATATCTTGCAATAAACCTACTGCAATATAAAGTTATCAATTCTGAAGCCAAAACCTGGTATTTCTATAAAAATCTTCAGTAAATCAAACAAAGAAAAAAAAGAAAGTTTTAACAAAATATTACAAAACTTTGGTAAGCTGCAAACTTAGGCAACAGCTGAGAAAACTCCCATTTTTTATCACAATTAATCTGCAAATAATTTTAAAGTCTTGGTAAATTTATTAATCTACTATAGTCTGCCTGCCAAATATGATGGCAAAAATGAATTTCATCTGTCTTTATTGGGTAAAAGAAAATTGGTCTATCAAGAACCATGGTAATGAGGAAAAAGATATTGATTAGATAAATGGGTAATAAAACAATTTGCCAACATATTTTTGCCACATGAGTCAGCTGGAAATAGTTTATTACTTAGATATATCAGGAAAAAAGAAGGGAACTAAGATGGCTAGCCAAGACCCCTTTATTTTCCTTCCATTACTGGATAGTTTCTTGGCACAGCAAGTGCTGCTGTCCCAAAAAGACTGTCACTGACAAGGCCTTCACAAGGAGAGTGAGTTGTGGCATTTACATTTAATACCATATTATAGTATTGTTTTTAGCTACGTATTCATAACAGGTAAGATAAAGAGGCATGAGCTTATATTTTGGCTTTGTATTCAAACAGTAGTGCATTTAATACAAGGCTCTAATTTTGAAATGTGTTAGCCAGGTACCAGGGCTGTGCTACAACATTTTGACAGCTGGCAACAATGAATAGAATAATATGGTCCCCTTAACATTTGTTACCTGGTCACAAAGATTTTACTCTTGTTACCCAGACTATGTGTATCGTTACGACTTTTTTCATCAAATGGTCATAAATGTTTCCATGATTAAATAAAAGATCTGAACGAGAACGGGTCTATCCATTGAACTACTTGCTTTTCTCTAAAAAGATATCTTACAAGTGGTTTTTAAATTTGCTGTTGATTAAGACTTCACAGAGTGGTATTTAGTTCATTCTCTGAAGAAATTTCACAGTAGTGGTATTTAGTTCAAACAAGACTTAAATGTTTTATTTATCAGATTTTTAGGCAAAAGACATCATTATTATGGAAACACAGAAGGGGGAAACAGAAAAAACAAAAAGATGAGAAGTTTATTAGAGAGGGCAAACAAAAAACCTGTGACCAAGGTATAAAATCATTGGAAATAGATTTTGCTGTTCTAATGCTGTCCAGTTCTATTTTATTAAAACACATAAAAGACAAGCACAAAAAATATGTTTTTAGCCTGTTGTTTTCATAACAGAAAGAACAGTAATCAGGGAAGATACTAAAAAATTTTAGGTTTTCAAACTAAAAGAATTTTAGAAGTGGCAGCATGGGGACAGAGGGGCTTATCTATTTTGACTTTCCCTATATATTTTACAGCAATTAGCCTTGCCCTATCAAGTCCACCACTAACTGATTCATAAGGATTAATGAATGCCCTTGCAAAACGGTGTTTTACCAACAAAAGATACAAGACAAAGCGGCAGAAAAGTTGGGTCAGACTTGGGCACTTCATACATATTATGTGCTTGATGAAAATTACTGCTTGTGTTCTTGTCTGTCATAAAGTGTTTTTTACCATACAGGAAGAGCTGTTCATGCTATTTGGTATATAGAACAGGATGGTTCTAAGTTGCTACTCCGAGTTTCGGGCTTAATGCAGTAATCAGGCAACAGTTGTGCTTAAAGTGCGTATGAAATAACTTCACACATAGTTTTTTTGAAAGAAATCGAAACTTCTACAGGTTGTTGCAATATAAAACAAAGTTAACTCAAAAATTTGCACAGGAAAGTTTGTTTTGGGGGTTTTGAAAACAATGACAAAGCATAAGAATCATTGACGTCACATGGTTTGCAATTGGTTCCGTCTTCATACCAGTTAGTCAGGGCTGTTAGTCAAACTGATACGAAACTAAGGGCAATTTGATACGGCACAAAAGATAGGATAAAGAACCTAACTGAAAATTTCCACTTTTTCTATTTTTAAACTGGGGTACTTTGCTACAGACCTTGGGTTGGTGTTATCGCATCTCAGTCGCACTTTAGAACTCAGCACAAATCTTTGCAGTATAGGACAGTTTGATACGCTGATAAAGATAGGAAGTAGACATCGACTAAAAATTTCCCCCTTTAGACTACGGTGCTTTACCGCCACTAACGACGATATTTTGATATCTCTGCTGAAAGTGGGTACAATAGCAGCAAACTTTGCAATAGGTGGCATTCTGATAAGCAGAAAATGATAGGATAAAGACCCCACCTGAAAATTGCCCCCTTGTTTTATTTTTAGACTGGGGTACACTGCCCCAGACGTTATAGACAGTATTATCATGTTGTATTTCAGTCATACTTTGGTACAACAATATGAAACTTTGCAAAAAAGGGCAGTTTGATGAGCTAAAAAAGGTCGGATATGGACCCTAACTTAAAATTCTCCCTATTCAGCTATTATAACCTGTAGTTTCAATAGTGACATCCATTTTGCTTAGTGTAATAAACACCAACTGCTTTCTTGTTTGCAAACTTTGTGATGTCACAGATAACATGGGCTTTGTCGCATTTGAAAACGTGAAAATAAGATATTCAACCAAAATTTTAAGATGGTTTTGCAAGAAAAAAATCAACTCAAATCAAAAATAAACAGTGTACCTTTATCTGAACTTGTCAAATTTAATTTCATAGATACCTTAAATACATTTAGAAACCGGTATGTTAAGGAATCAAGGTCAGATCTATCCATATTAGGCTCAATTCTACAATTTTATGTGAAAACGAATGGAAATGCCTATGCTTCATATGTATATGCTTAAAATGCACTTTCAAAACAAACCATAATAATAAAAAAGCTACACAAAAAACAAATGCTGTTTAAAAACTTGGGATCATTGATTGAGATGAGGAATGAAAGTTGAGATAGTTGCATTGCATTAGTTTTTTGTGAAAACCCAATAATGTTATCAAAGAATTTTAATAAATGACTATGAACTTCAATTGGTTTGGGTTTTGGGAAACCAATTGAAATTAAAGCAGAGCAACAACAAAAAACAAAATGTAGTGTTTACAAACATTTCGGATCATTGATTGAGATAACGAGTGACAATTAAACAGATAGTTGCATTGCATTCCTTTAATTGAAAAGCCAATCACTATTGAATGATTTTAAGTTGAAAACAGACAACTATGAACTGCAAGAGCTTTTGAGAAACTGATTAAAATAGATGCAGATCTACATCAGTGATAAGGAGAGTGAACATAGCATTATTTGTTCTTCAAAATCTTGACTACCTAGCGCCTAACTTCTCATATAATAGTTGAGAGGGCCATGACCCTTGTCAATTTGCAGGGTGCCTATTGCCCTTCTGGAAATTTCTTCACGAAAAAGGTCTGGGAAATAACTTAAGTTCTTATCTGCAATTAATGATTGCAAAAAACCAAAAAGAAAGAAATTAAAAGATGACATACAAAATTGGATCATCTGCATTGTAAAAGAGATCTTCTCCAATGTCTTTCCCACTGATGTTGCTTCTAGCCAAGCATCATGATGTGAAGCTTCCATCCATGTCAACTCCTCTTAGTTCTGTGAGAAAAATTGCTTGTATATACCAAATAAAACTGCTCTCCAAATTAATAAGCTTAAGATAACTGGCTTAATGTTAAAACGTTTTTGGTATGAAATGTGCCAATCACTTACAAGCAGACTAGTGCAAAGACATGATTTGAAAAGAAACTTTCTCTATAACATATGCAAGCCAAACCTTCCAGAACCACCAACCAACCAAAACAAACCAAAAACTATTATTATCTCAAATCTAATTGATAACAGTATCAGCCATGATAACTCTAACAGCAGTCTTTGTCGTTTAATGCGTGCTATCGCACGCGCACGCATCGGCACACGCATGGCACCAATAATGCGAGCGATTGATCGCACACATGAGTTGTATATTTGACCGTCGTTTTTGAATAAAATTGTTTTCATCAACGAAACATTCAAAGCTTTGTTTTTCATAAGCTGAGCAACATTGGCTAATTCTTTTAATAGTGCCTATTTCGCTCTGTATCATGGCTTATCGCTTTGCTTTGTTCTAATTCTTCCCGAAACATGGCGGTCGTCAGGTAGTGTCCAAAACTTTTACCTTCCCGTTTTCGCCATTATCGGAGTAAATATCGATGAAATTGCTCAAAAGAAAATTGGCTTTTTTATCATAGATGCGAGAGGCAGGCGACGAATAGACCCGCAAAAAGAATATCTTCCGGCAATCAAGGTTAATACCAATCTAGTGATGTAGATAGGAGAATTCATAAAAGGGGCGAGAAATTTAGATTTTCCGACAAAAATGTTATAAGAGCTTTCATTTTTTCAAAATTCACGTAAGTCACCCTGCCCCTTGGCCTCTGCAAATTGCCCCAGGGCCTCGAGGTGAATGGGGCCTTACAAAGTAATGAATTCTGTTTTGAAATAAAATTGATTAAAAATAACAAAATTATGCCCATAAACAGTAAAACATTTGAAGCGAATAAACGATTTTAAGCTAGCTTAAAGGGCGTGGTCGCAAAAAATTTCTGCTCGCTTCGCTTGCAGGGCCCTGATTCTCCACTTTAGCCCCAAGACCTCCAATTCTTTAGGCGGCCCTGCATGCAAGTTTGGCACCGTGACAAAACGGTCGGTCGCGGCTCGCCTGTTCGTTTACGCTAGCACTCTGGAACCGAGCTAATTGTGCTCTGCCATCCGGAATGGTTTTGACCCTGTTACGAAAGAAAACGAATTTTGTACCGTCTCGGTTCCGTTTTTGAACAGGATTGTGTAAACTGGGACCGAAATAGCCTGATTTTTAAGACTGTGAATCGCAGCACGCATGAAAGAAATAATGCCTGTGGTTTGCCATACGCATGATGATTTCCTTATGACGAAGACTGTAACAGCAAATCTTTTAATCTTAAAACTTCCAGTACTAGCTGAATTTATTAGCTTCGCTTCACAAAAAATGTGTATGTTCTGCGACAACGAACTTGGAAATAACAAGCCTTCAAGTACTTGAACATCAAAATGACAGTTTTCGAATGAATGCTAGTTTGTACTAATGTTATAACAAAATCACACTATGTGATTTAATTTTGGTTCTATTCAAATCTTGTTAGTGAGAATGTTACTGATTTGCGACTATACGAAACTATCGTTTCATTTCTGTCAGAGAATCGCCATCCTGTTTTGTAAACTTAGCTGTTAGGGACTGTTGTTTATTCATATACCTTTATTGACGATTTTCAAGAGACTCAAAATCACCTGCCTGACTTTACTGAGGAGAGTGATGTACCGCTCGCCTGCTAAAATGCTCACAGCCAGGCCTGTAATAACAGACTTTTCTAATAGTTTTAACAACTGTCACAATTCGCTGTGGTCTTGAAATAGACCATGTTGTCAGTTACTTTTAAAGTTAGGTATCAAAAAAGCAGTGGTTGTCAATTTAAATCCTTATTTCCATCTTAGCATGCCTTTTGAATGTTGAAAAAAACCTGGAGCTTATAGTGAATTGCAGATTTAGTGCCAACAACAAATCTTCAAACCACTAGTTTGTTTACCTTCATTCATATCATGGAATATCATATTTAACCAACAAAGCAACTACCTTTGCTTGATCATTTACTGATTATATGACAGGAAGGTCTCTGAAATACCTAACGCGTTTCTTCCAACAAGTGGATTTTACCTTAAATTTACCTATTGAAGTACTGTAGGGAGGAGGTATGACAACCCCCCTCCCCCACACCCCTCAGTCGCGATGCCCCTGAGCCGAAGTAAACTGAAAATGATGTCAAATTTCTAATGTTTCAGTTTATTTTTTAATGCAATGTTTCAGTTTATGGACACAAAACTACCAATATTTGAAGTTTAATCAATTCATTGAGTTTAATGAAGATTTTTATTTATCACTTTTGCTTAGGGGATAGCGCACAGTGGAACACAACCACATATAAATTAAGAAATTTTCAAACTTCATCAGAAAAGGTTGCAAAGTAATATTAGCTCCTTTGGGCTAAGAAATCACAAGCACAAAATCTTTTTGATACTGCTGAAGGTAAAAAGTTATTTCAGTTCAGCTATTCATACAGGCATGTATGTGCATTAACTACTTGTGCATAAAATTACTCTGACACCTGCACACACCTAATAACTCTTTTTTAAATTTCATGCCAGACTTGTTTCGGTGGCCGTTTACTGTGAGCACTGTTAGGCTGGTGATGTAAGGCTCATGAAAACAAAGTAAAATGTTGGTGCCAATGTAATTTTGTTGTTGGTTGTCACAAGTTTCATTGAAACTTGAATGCTTTATCAGATGGTTCTGCAAACCACCACACAGAGCTGTTGCTAGCTACTGTCACAACAGGGGTCCTCTAATCCAATTTGCAGACAAAGTTGGTGAAACATCCTTTATTTGCTGACAATTCATGTTGGGTTGATATTTAAGTTTATGGTGGAGCTGGCTCTGTGTTTGCTTCTTGCAAATCTTGAAAAATTATCGCAAACAGGCTATATTAAATCATTGCAAACAACAGAAATGTTAGATTACAGCTTACTGTTAGACTGTTTCTTTGTAAGAATTTTCATGGAGTATTCAAATGAAGAAAGCTTGACTTTTTAGACAGTTGATGTTTTGCCCTTGTTCCAGGGCCTTCTATTTTTGTTTTTGTGCAAATATTTAATGCTCTTGCTTGCTGGATTAATAGTCAAAATGTAATAAAATCCAGTGCCAGAACAATAACCATGGCATTCATTATTTCATTGAATTTTGCAAGATCCCTGTCTGCAATTATATACTGACGTATTTTAATTGGATGTACATATTATAAACAAACCAAACTTTTACAGGACTTAAAATAGTTGTCTGATTATCTAACGCAGGAGCAAAATTTGGACAGACCACACCCTAAAAGAGCCGAACCTCTAAAATACTGAGTTGTTCTTTCCTGAGAAAGAATGGATACTGTAAAACTTATCGAAATTTGAGAGGTTGGGAGACAAATGACTTTTATAGTTAGTCTGACATGATGATATGACCCTTCCTCTTTCCACAATAAGTCATAGAATATTCCACAAAAGGTAATTGTGATGGTTATACATTTTGAACATAAATTTGCATACATCTAACTTACAGAATAAAAGTGAAGAGGTTTTACTATAAACTTATAAAGGTTTTTGAAAATAGCTTGAAAATGACAACTGTAATAAAGTTGATCTTAAAATACTATTTAAAAAAATAATCGAACATTAAAGTTGCGAAAAATTACAGAATATTGTTTAACTTACCACCAACTAGTGAATTCAGACTTGGGTATTTTCGATACATCAAATATTTGAAGGCCTTTGCAAGCGAACAGTCGGACGCCATCTTTGCCTCGTGCTTCCAGTGAAGAACGTTGGCGCCTCCGCATAACCAAAAACAATACAGTCGCAGGGAGTTGATTTTCTGTAGCCTGCAAATTCAATAACTAAACCATTAAACAAAAATTATATGGATAAAGAAGTTCACTATTTAAGCAAAGGTAAATAAATCTCAAAATGGTCACTTTTTATAACTATTGTTCCCAACGGACAGACATTATCAGAAAAGGCTCACTTATTTCGAATTAAAAAGTTAACTAATGGCTTGTAAGACATTACCCTCTTTTCATATAGAGTTATAAAAGATATTCTGAGCGACCAAAACTTCCTAAAATGAGGTTTAGGGTCAAGTGCTCTCCAGCCTTCGTAGGATAACAAATTCATAGATTTTTCCTAGGGTGACAAAATAAAAACTTAACATAAGGGAGGAAAACAGTTCTTAAATCTATAATTGTAATTCAAGAGTGGTGTAGGCACAAACTTTAAGATTAAATGCAATGAAAGAATTTGAGATTCCTAATTAAAACCTAGGGAAGAAGCTCAGTTAATCATTTCAAAAAAATATCAGCAAAAAAAGAATCATTTCAGTCTTGAAATAATAGACTTTTTGCAGAGTAACAAAAAACGGTTTATTTTCATCCATGCTGCAAACTGAATTTTATTATAAAAAAATAACGAGAATGTTGTTGCGATAATACCGAAAACTTTTTCAATTAGAGGAAAAAAGAGAAAGATAATGAAAAGATATGTTGAAAAAGGGTTACATATAATCTTGATTAACTTCAGAACTAAAAACTTACAAATATATCCCAAGTCAACTTAAAGAAAAATATAACCACTATAAAATACCAACCAATGTTTAAAGTCACGATCAAAAGCAATATATGGGGGAAGTTATTCTATCTAGGTTGCAATCACAGACAACGATACCGTGGCTGCTATAAGAAAAAAAGGAGAGGAGAGAAAAATGATAAAGAAGAGCACTGAAAATGGTGCAATCTCAATTTTCTGCAGTGGTAAAAAACTTTAATTAAAATCGACAAGTCGATGAGAGAAGAAATATAATTACTATCCAATAACAAACCAAGGTATTGGGCCAAGATCAAAATATATAAATGACAAAGTTTTTCAATCTAGTTTGCAATCAAAGGCAAGTATACATTGACTGTTCTAACAAAGAGAAAAGAGAGAAAAACGATGGAATAGAGAATTGCAAGTGGTGCCATGTTTGTAGCAGACTTAAAATTCTGCAGTCGTACGGAACTTTGATTGGTAACTACAAGTCAATTAGGGGAAAGTTATAATTACTAATCAATAACAAACCAAGGTGTTGGGCCAAGATCAAAGCATTAAAAGAGGGAAATTTTTGCATCTAAGTGGCAATCAGAGGCAAGTTAACAGTGGCTCTTAAAAGAATGATAAAAGAAAGAAAAAAGAACGAATAGAGAATTGCAAATGGTGTCATATTTAAGCCAGCTTAGTATTCTGCAGTCGTATAGAACTTTGATTAGAAATTACAAGTTCATAAAAGGAAAGTTATAAATACTATCCAAAAACAAACCAAGGTGTTGGGCCAAGATCAAAGCATTAAAAGGGGGAAATATTTGCATCTAAGTGGCAATCAGAGGCAAGTTAACAGTGGCTCTTAAAAGAATGATAAAAGAGAGAAAAAAAACGAATGGAGAATTGCAAATGGTGCCATATTTAAGCCAGCTTAGGATTCTGCAGTCGTAAAGAACTTTGATTAGTAACTACAAGTCGATTAAAAGAAAGTTATAAATACTATCCAATAACAAACCAAGGTGTTGGGCCAAGATCAAAGTATTAAAAGGGGGAAATTTTTGCATCTAAGTTGCAATCAGAGGCAAGTTAACAGTGGCTATTAAAAGGATGATAAAAGAAAGAAAAAAGATCGAATAGAGAATTGCAAATGGTGCCATATTTAAGCCAGCTTAGTATTCTGTAGTCGTATAGAACTTTGATTAGTAACTGCAAGTTGATAAGGGGAAAGTTATAAATACTATCCAATAACAAACCAAGGTGTTGGGCCAAGATCAAAGCATTAAAAGAGGGAAATTTTTGCATCTAAGTGGCAATCAGAGGCAAGTTAACAGTGGCTCTTAAAAGAATGATAAAAGAAAGAAAAAAGAACGAATAGAGAATTGCAAATGGTGCCATATTTAAGCCAGCTTAGGATTCTGCAGTCGTAAAAAACTTTGATTAGTAACTACAAGTCGATTAAAAGAAAGTTATAAATACTATCCAATAACAAACCAAGGTGTTGGGCCAAGATCAAAGCATTAAAAGAGGGAAATTTGTGCATCTAAGTGGCAATCAGAGGCAAGTTAACAGTGGCTCTTAAAAGAATGATAAAAGAAAGAAAAAAGAACGAATAGAGAATTGCAAATGGTGCCATATTTAAGCCAGCTTAGTATTCTGCAGTCATAAAGAACTTTGATTAGTAACTGCAAGTTGATAAGGGGGAAGTTATAAATACAATCCAATAACAAACCAAGGTGTTGGGCCAAGATCAAAGCATTAAAAGGGGGAAATTTTTGCATCTAAGTGGCAATCAGAGGCAAGTATACAGTGACTGTTAAAATGGGGATAAAAGAGAGAAAAACGATGGAATAGAGAATTGCAAATGATGCCAAGTTTGTAACCAGCTTAGTATTCTGCAGTCGTAAAAAACTTTGATTAGTAACTACAAGTTGATAAGGGGAAAGTTATAAATACTATCAAATAACAAACCAAGGTGTTGGGCCAAGATCAAAGCATTAAAGGGGGAAATTTTTGCATCTAAGTGGCAATCAAAGGCTAGTTAACAGTGGCTCTAAAAAGGATGATAAAAGAGAGAAAAAAGATCGAATAGATAATTGTAAATGGTGCCATATTTCAGCCAGCTTAGTATTCTGCAGTCGTAGAGAATTTTGATTAGTAACTACAACTCGATTAAAGAAAAGTTATGAATACTATCCAATAACAAACCAAGGTGTTGGGCCAAGATCAAAGTATTAAAAGGGGGAAATTTTTGAATCTAAGTTGCAATCAGAGGCAAGTATACAGTGACTGTTAAATGGGGATAAAAGAGAGAAAACGGAACGAATAGAGAATTGCAAATGGTGCCATATTTAAGCCAGCTTAGTATTCTGCAGTCGTATAGAACTTTGATTAGTAACTACAAGTTGATAAGGGGAAAGTTATAAATACTATCCAATAACAAACCAAGGTGTTGGGCCAAGATCAAAGCATTAAAAGGGGGAAATATTTGCATCTAAGTGGCAATCAGAGGCAAGTTAACAGTGGCTCTTAAAAGAATGATAAAAGAAAGAAAAAATATCGAATAGAGAATTGCAAATGGTGCCATATTTAAGCCAGCTTAGGATTCTGCAGTCGAAAAGAACTTTGATTAGTAACTACAAGTCGATTAAAAGAAAGTTATAAATACTATCCAATAACAAACCAAGGTGTTGGGCCAAGATCAAAGTATTAAAAGGGGGAAATTTTTGCATCTAAGTTGCAATCAGAGGGAAGTATACAGTGACTGTTAAAATGGGGATAAAAGAGAGAAAAAGGAAGGAATAGAGAATTGCAAATGGTGCCATATTTAAGCCAGCTTAGTATTCTGCAGTCGTATAGAACTTTGATTAGAAATTACAAGTTCATAAAAGGAAAGTTATAAATACTATCCAAAAACAAACCAAGGTGTTGGGCCAAGATCAAAGCATTAAAAGGGGGAAATATTTGCATCTAAGTGGCAATCAGAGGCAAGTTAACAGTGGCTCTTAAAAGAATGATAAAAGAGAGAAAAAAAACGAATGGAGAATTGCAAATGGTGCCATATTTAAGCCAGCTTAGGATTCTGCAGTCGTAAAGAACTTTGATTAGTAACTACAAGTCGATTAAAAGAAAGTTATAAATACTATCCAATAACAAACCAAGGTGTTGGGCCAAGATCAAAGTATTAAAAGGGGGAAATTTTTGCATCTAAGTTGCAATCAGAGGCAAGTTAACAGTGGCTCTTAAAAGGATGATAAAAGAAAGAAAAAAGATCGAATAGAGAATTGCAAATGGTGCCATATTTAAGCCAGCTTAGTATTCTGTAGTCGTATAGAACTTTGATTAGTAACTGCAAGTTGATAAGGGGAAAGTTATAAATACTATCCAATAACAAACCAAGGTGTTGGGCCAAGATCAAAGCATTAAAAGAGGGAAATTTTCGCATCTAAGTGGCAATCAGAGGCAAGTTAACAGTGGCTCTTAAAAGAATGATAAAAGAAAGAAAAAAGAACGAATAGAGAATTGCAAATGGTGCCATATTTAAGCCAGCTTAGGATTCTGCAGTCGTAAAAAACTTTGATTAGTAACTACAAGTCGATTAAAAGAAAGTTATAAATACTATCCAATAACAAACCAAGGTGTTGGGCCAAGATCAAAGCATTAAAAGAGGGAAATTTGTGCATCTAAGTGGCAATCAGAGGCAAGTTAACAGTGGCTCTTAAAAGAATGATAAAAGAAAGAAAAAAGAACGAATAGAGAATTGCAAATGGTGCCATATTTAAGCCAGCTTAGTATTCTGCAGTCATAAAGAACTTTGATTAGTAACTGCAAGTTGATAAGGGGGAAGTTATAAATACAATCCAATAACAAACCAAGGTGTTGGGCCAAGATCAAAGCATTAAAAGGGGGAAATTTTTGCATCTAAGTGGCAATCAGAGGCAAGTATACAGTGACTGTTAAAATGGGGATAAAAGAGAGAAAAACGATGGAATAGAGAATTGCAAATGATGCCAAGTTTGTAACCAGCTTAGTATTCTGCAGTCGTAAAAAACTTTGATTAGTAACTACAAGTTGATAAGGGGAAAGTTATAAATACTATCAAATAACAAACCAAGGTGTTGGGCCAAGATCAAAGCATTAAAAGGGGGAAATTTTTCCGTCTAAGTGGCAATCAGAGGCAAGTTAACAGTGGCTCTTAAAAAGATGATAAAAGAGAGAAAAAAGATCGAATAGAGAATTGCAAATGGTGTCATATTTAAGCCAGCTTAGTATTCTGTAGTCGTATAAAACTTTGATTAGTAACTGCAAGTTG